CCCATATCCCTTGATATCCAGATAGCGCTGCAGTGTTAATATCTCATCTGAAACATGGTACTTGTGTTACATTCTGCCAATAAAGCACAAATTTGTGGCCACGTCACTTTTACTTACTCAGGATTGTTAGCATAAGCGTGCAGAATTAACATACTAACAATGGGTCAAAAGGAGTGAGAGGTCATGGAACATATGGAGTCAGTACAAGGAAAGAGGGTTGAAGGAAACATGATTGGATATGTTAATAACGGGTTGTAAACGACTGATAAGAGATTGGAGGAAGGTATAGAGGGAGTGGGATGAGAGTATAAAGACAGGGAGAACAAAGAAGGAAAAACAGAAGGAAAAGATCGGAGGAGCACGAGGGAAGACTTGATGGAAGATCAAAAAGCTTGAATACCCAGACAAGACAGATTGGAACCTCGGCTGCTGAACGTCTCGACCCGCGGTAGTATTGATTTGTTGTAATCCCTCTATGGTATAACTTTATGGAACTAATAAAGTTTGGCTTAACAGATTTTGCCTAAACGGAATGCTGGGTGACCTTTCTTGATATCCAACAGGATGAAACATAACAGGCTTTATAAAGCTCCTGTATTTCCAACGCAGAATGACAGAAAAGAATCAAAATGTAAACTACTATATTGTACAAAACAAATCACAATACAGCAAAACTCACATAAGTCATATCAGTTGGGGTCATAACATTTGATATGACTTTGTGAATAAGTCAAACTGTATAAGTTATACAGGATTCGATTAATCGATAATCTACACTGGGCGTGCACAATTGAATGCAGCCGATAAGTGTATGCGGGATTTATGTACGACAGCAGATTATACGATTTATAAAGATAAGACTTAGGTGAGCTTTACTGTACAAATATAACAATTATATAGATTTCACACCAGGAGGACGATAACCAGCACTTTTTACCATTACCAATATATCTGTATTGCATATTCAGCTGCATTTCTAAATTGTTCTGCTATTCAGGTGTTTGCAAGAACCTGTTGGCTGGTGAGATTTCATTGGGGGAAGGATAGTCGCAATGTAACTTTCCACGTGTGTGGCTGATTCTCTTGGGCTCGTTGAGAATTCTTCTATCATAGTGAAATCCAAAGGGCAGAGTGATGTACAGTAACACAAAACGGATTGACAGGTCAAAGAGCAAATGGAGACAGACAGACTGGGACACGTGGAGAGAGAGGGACATAGAGAGAGACAGAGAGAGACAGAGACAGACAAACAGCCTTAATATTCATCTGGTTTTTAATTTTAGTAATGATAGCGAGTGTAAGCAACGGCAGAACGTGTTCTGACAGACTTAAATATCTGTAATTATGAGGTGAATAATTTTCAAACCTGGAAAATTAAATATGTTGAATTGTTTCTGATCTTCATGATTTAACTAACGTTAACACTTGCCTTTCATGGAGTAGATATTAACTACATAACAGACTACACATTGAACATGATTTTAGATTTGAAATGAGTATTAAAAACATGGCAGACCTGCCCAGCAAGTGTTGATCAACTTAATAAATCAATCCCCATTTTTTACTTACTCAGAAATATCAAATGCGCCACTCTGTGAAGGGTGCCTATATAAAACAGGATAGCACAAAAAGGAGAAATCACTTAAAGAGCCATGTACTTTTAACAAAGAAGATGATTATCTTACTTTCCACTGCATCCCAAAATTGGAATTAAAAAGGTATTATTGCAGGGTGAAATGATTCTGGAAACATGTTCAATTATTGCTCATTTCAATGGTCACCCGGATTTTAATCTCACCTACTATTGCACACTATGGGGTGATGTTTGTGGCAGATCATTATCACACTGAGTGTGTTAAAGAGCACAGGAAATTACCATTCTTAAATTATCATCAGGGTAACACGTCTGCCAGTCAGTGCAGGCTGCTAGTACAACGGAACAACACATCGGGAGGGTTTTGTGCCTCAGCAGGGGATTGGGATCAGGAGGCCAAGGAGGGTAGGGGTAGGAGAATGACTGGAGGCGTAATCGAAGATGAGGGTCTTGAGAAGTGCCTTGAATGAGGCGAGGGAGGGAGCAAGGCGAAGGGACTGTGGGATGAATTGAGGGCAAAGAGGTTGAAGGCCTGATCTCCGATGGTGGTGCGGGCCAGTGGAGAAGGAATGTAAAGTCATGAAGTTTCCTCAGCCAGAAGGTGTCCTGCTCTGGCAGCACTGTTCGTGACAGCATTTTGCCTCTCCTGAGATGGAGTGCCTCGCAACTATGGAATGTTTCACTCAGCTGCCAAGCCGAGAACAGGGAGAAACCCGGGCAATGAAAGCAGGCGGGCGTGAATCAATGTGGAGAGAGGGAGACCTGAATTCAATCTCCTCAAGACATTCCTCTTTGACTGTGCCTTCGGTCATCCTGAGGCACTGTCATTGTTGAGTACTTTTTGTAAAAGTAAAAGAACTGTATGCAGCACTCAAGAGTCCTGTAGCTCAGTGGTTAGAGCACTCGCTTTGCAAGTGAGAGACCTGAGTTCCAATCCAGGCAGAGGGCGAAACCTTGGGCAAGTTTCCTTACTCCACACAGAGCCTAATAATAATCCCTCCAAAAAACAAAACAATAATAAATTGGTCATTTTCAATCCATGACCGTTTGTGGGACATTGCTGTGCACAATTGGCTGTCGCGTTCGCCCACAAATATAGAGTCAATTCACTTTACAGTATATTCTGTGAAGCGCTTTGGGACGTCTAGAAGACGTGAAAAGCGCTATATCAAATGCAAGGATTATTATTATTATTATTATTAAGAAGGTTCCCCCTGATGTCTGGGGATTTGACCTAAACTGATTTGGTAATATAGCTCAACAACGACGACAACCTGGATTTATATAGCGCCGCTCACGATGGGTAGTGTCCCAGAGCATTTGACAGTGGCGAAGCAAGACCCTAAGCCGGGGGAGGGGCAGGTGAGCGTAGGCACGGTCAAATAGGAAAGTCTTCAGGCGCGACCTGAAGGAAGGGGCAAGGCGGAGGAACAGAGGAAGAGCGTTCCAGAGTATCGGGGCGTCGTGGCTGAAAGCGTGGCCGCCAATAGTGGAACGCAGCCCAGCATCTTGTTTACCTTGTTTATTGAGAAGCAATAATAATAATAATCCTTAATAATAAAAATTAAATTATAAAATGACTCTTCATTTACTCGCTCTTTTTCTTACTTACCGAGGAAGATTTCCTGAACCCAAACTGGGACTAAACCCTAACGTCCTAACAGGAAGACACGAAAAGTGGAAAAAATTAAAACAGAATTTTCTGGAGAACGATCACATTTTCAACATTATGTTCAATGTTATGTCCAGCCTATCTGTGCTAGATTATATACTCAGTTTTGGTTCATTTCTACGTTGTATTATGCAGAATTTTAGTTATTAGTGTCAGCCTGGCTCAGTCGTAGCACTCTTTCTTCCAAGTCAGAGGATTGTGGGTTCAAGCCCCTCCTCAGAATACGTCAGGAATCACAGAGTCTAAGCTGATATTCCAATGCAACGCTGGGGGGTGTTGCATTGTTAGAGGTGCCATCCTTTGGATAAGACATTAAACCGAGTCCTGTCTGCCTGTTTAGGTGGAAGTTAAAGATCCCACGGCACTATTCTAAAAGAGTCTTAGCCAATAAATCTTCCAAATAAAATTGGTCACTCACTCCATGAATGTTTGTGGGACACTGCTGTACTCAAATTGCCTGCAGCATTTCACCCAACAAAAAAAGTCAATCCACTTTACAGTATATCTTGTGAAGTGCTTTGAAATATCTCGACAACATAAGGTTCTATATCAAATGTAAGGATTATTATATGGAATTTGTACTCAGCCCAGGGTCTACTGAAGATCTTGTCTGCCTTCCTGTAATTCCAACAGTTTGGAAATCCATTTCGTGTAACCATAAATACTGGTGAGCCTCAACCCTTGTGTCATTTTCCAATTTTCCTTCAATCCCGACTACATTTAGGTATCCCCTGAATTCATATTGCTCAGGCTCCCATTAATATATTATCTTTCTACACTAATTTAATTTTACCATTTCATAAACTTTATGCAAAAATCAATTAAACTGATGTGCGACCAAAGCATCTTACTTACTGGAAAGCAGAATGAACGGCAGATGACGTCATTTTTGGAGTTCTATATTTCAAAGCAGGAGAAATAAAAACATTTCTCACTGTTTTTGTGTCCCATCTATCTGGTGTCACATACTCAACTTAAACTCATTTCTAAATTGTTCCGTGATTTAGGTTTTTGTATACATCTGGCAAAGTTATATTGTTGTGCAGGTCATGATGGTGACAATTGGGTAAAATTTACCTTTTTTTAAAAAAAGATATAATAGTTAAAATTGGCAATAAACTACCGACAAGGTTAATTTATTCAACATTAATTTTGCTGCTGAAAACTAAATAGCCACTAAAAAGCAGTGCACTCCTCCTCTTTATCAATCAATTGGTCACCAACTTATATCAAAATAAGCCATTTTAGCTTTCCTGGCCTCTGGAGGTTTCAAAGTTATTTATTTAGCTGTGTTTTCCATTTCTGAACTGCCAAGGAGCAGCAAACCCCGAGATCTCCTGAGGCCACAATGACACCGTTCAAGCCCAAGTGGAATACCATGTTGTTCAGTCCGTGTCAGTAATTTGCAACTCTTATTGATATCTGGTGACTATCCTTTGGAGGGTGGAGATGGTTAAAAGGTAAACAGTGCCTCCTTGGAGCTGAGATTGCTCTGAGATTATAAGAGGAAGCAAAGGATGAAGACAGAACTAACAAACAGCAGTAAGGCTTACCCAAATGCAGAATTTTCAAATTCAAAGTCATCAAGCCTAGCGATAAAGATTACAATTATGAGGCCAGATATAGTTGTATATTATAAAATCATAGTAAGACAACGTTTTACAACCATCAACTTGTGACTAAGTGCTGTTATTTACTGCTTAAGATCTTATTCTTAAATTAACTTACCCTTGCTTAGAAGATTTTGGAGTACTTGGACCACTAGAATGCAGAACACAATGACACAAAGAAGAGAAAAACGTAAAACATTATTTTGATGATACCACTTCTATAACTAAATCTGTAATACAAAAGCAGCATTAGAGTTGTTTATGTATTACACACTTGCCCACATGCACATACATTTATTTATACATCTTGTAGCATTGAGTTTTATCAAATTCAACATTGCACAGTTACTCGTGCACCATGGTGGATGATTTTCGGGAGTCAGTTGTTGGAAAATTTACGCTTATTGTCATACAAACTATTCAACTGCCACTCACATTCTGACAGAGAAACATGACGTCAGCAGCACAGTCTGCAGCTGGCAGCCAGGGAGCCAGCCGAGGAACGGGTGATAGACATGCAGAGTTTGGTGCTTGCGAGGAAGTTGTGGCAGAGTTTTGGAGAAGTTTTGACTTGAAGTTTATGGAGCTAGACGGGTAAGTCAGGAGTTCATTAGAAATGTCCAGCCGACAGGTGACAAAGGCATGGATAAGGGTTTCGGCATTTAGAGTGAGTTAGGGGTTAATTGGGAGGGGTGGGGAAAATGTAGTTATATTAAATGGATGCTTGCATTAGAAAATCAAAACAAAATGGCACTGAAAAACAGAAGAGCTTGCTTCACGTCAAGAAGTGGTCATCATTATTAAGCAACGATGAGACAACCAGAAAGACAACCACTTCATTCATGTGCTGGGTGTTTTTAAACCTATGAGATCAACCAGAGCGCGTTTCAATCAGCTCCAGCAAAGATTAACAAACCCTGACTAGCAATTGAACAAGATCTGCATGATTCATTTGCACATTAGTGCTGTGTCTTTACCAACTGTCTCATTTGGCAGCACTGAAGACATCCAAAAGACATTACCTTTCTGATTTTATTCTCTGATCTTCTTTTGATAGTCAAAGTGATAAGTGAAGGGATCAAAAGAAAGCTTACATGATTACTGGATCTGAAGAAAGTCTTCGACGGAAATGTTCCCTAGAAATAAAAATATTGCTTTGATATAGAGCGACACTGAACATGTAAATGTTTCACTATCGCCAGTTTACATCTTTTGTCTATTTGCTATCAGCTAACACACTGAGCTATTAAGGGAGCACGGAAAACTCAAAAAACAACAAGTTTTGGATTAAAAATTTAAGTTTGGGTGAAGAACATGTCATCCAATAATTTTTATTCCAATATTTGTGGGTAGAAACATAGGTGGAGTCCTGTAGCTCAGTGGTTAGAGCACTCGCTTTGCAAGCGAGAGACCTGAGTTCAATCCCAGGTAGAGGGCGAAACCTTGGGCAAGTTTCCTTACTCCACACAGAGCCTAATAATAATCGTTCCAAAACCAAAAAAAAATAATAAATTGGTCATTTTCAATCTACGACTGTTTGTGGGACATTGCTGTGCGCAATTGGCTGCCGCGTTCGCCCACAAATATACAGTCAATTCACTTTACAGTGTGTTCTGTGAAGCGCTTTGGGACGTCCTCCCGACATGAAAAGTGCTATATCAAATGCAAGGATTATTATTATTATTATTATTATTATTATTAATATCCCTGACAATTGTTGTCTTACCTCTGTCTCTGAATTAGAGATTCCCTTGGGGCGCGACTAGAAACAAAAAGCATCATTATCAGATAGAGTGATGATAGACACACATTTTCAAATAGCACTGGTGATACTTGTCTGGCTTCAAGGTCAGCTGATCCACTCAAAGTCCTGGCTCAACAGGAACTGAGGCTGCCTATAACTAAAGTCAATCCACTGCATAATATATTCCGTGAAGCACTTTGAGACGCCTCAATGATGTAATAAGGCCGTACATCAAATGCAAGTATTATAATTATTATTATTGTTATTATTATTGTCTGATTCTCTCGAGGAACTGGTGGAAAGTGTACATCCCAGAGCTGAGGGGTCTCCATAAAGGTGGGGCCAGTTGACAACACGGATCCCAATTGTAAGGTGTGAGCATTTGATTAAAGATTTGGTTTAGGAAGAAGTCGTACAATTATTTTCATCCCAATACCTGCTGGCTTACCTGGGTGCACGACTTATAGATTTCCTGGGGCATTTCTCCAAAAGTAGAAAGCATCATTAGCAGATGACAGAGAAACAGTTTCAAATATCACTGGTGATAGTTGTCCAAGTCTTTTTCAAGCTCCAACTGATCTCACTCACCCAACCTTTTGCTGACCTTTGACACCAGCACCAACTAATGGTAACAAAGCATTTCTCCCACAGGGTAATGCTTCAGACATCCCCGGAGCGTAAGGCTGGAGATAATAATTGTCTTGGGCTGGGAAAGAGCTCCTTTATAGAGTGCTTCTTTTGTGGTGTTAATTTATTCGGGATAAAGAGCAGGTGAGTGTTGCCCGTTCCAAGTGAGAGGTGCGAGTTTTTGATTAAGGATTTCAGTTTGGCTGAAGAACAGGGTCCAATTATTTTTATTAAAATACCCCAAAAATCGCTGGCTTACCTGGGTGACATGCTGACAGATCTCCTAGGGGTGCGAATAGAAATAAAAAACATCATAATCCGACAGAGTCATGATAGACAAACACCTTCAACTATCACCGGTGATACTTGTCCAAGTCTTTTTTTATGCTCCAACTCCCACAAGGTCAGCTGATCCACTCAAAGTCCTGGCTCAACAGGAACTGAGTTTGTCTATCAATAAAGTACTTCATAATATATTCCGTGAAGTGCTTTGAGATGTCTCAATGACGTGATAAAGCGCTATATCATATGCAAGTATTATACTTATTGTTATTGTCTGATTCTCTAAAGGGCCAAGAGGCAAGCAAATTGCGAACTGAAGGGTCTCAATAAAGATAGATTTTTCTGACTTCTAACACCAGCACCAACTAATGGTAACGAGGCATTCTTCCCACAATATAATGCTCCAGACATTACTGGACAGTAAGGTTGAGGATAAGAATTGATTTGGGATAGGGGACAACTTCTTCACAGCGCTCCGAGACCCCAACTTCCTGAAGGGTGCTATAGAAATGCAAGTTATTGTTGTTTGTCTGAGTATGGAAGCCGGTTGGCGACACACATCTCAAGTGAATGGTGTGACATTTTGACTGAAGATTTCAGTTTGGTTGAAGAACATGTCATCCTATTATTTGTATCCCAATACCTGCTGGCTTACCTAGGAGCAGCACTCAGAGATTTCCTGGGCGTTTCTCTAGAAATAGAAAGCATCATTATCAGACAGCGTGATCATAGAGAAACATTTTCAAATATTACTGGTGATGCTTATTCAAAAGACTTTTTTTTAAATTATTGGCTTGGGCTGGGGAAGATCTCCTACATAAGGAGCTTCTTTTGTGGTGGTAATTTAGTCGGAGCAAAGAGCAGGTTAATGACTCACATCCCAAGTGAGAGGTGCGAGTTTTTGATTAAAGATTTCAGTTTGGCTACATAATCTTGTCCAGTTAATTTTATCCCAATACCCCAAAAATGCTGTCTTACCCGGGTGCGGTACTGACAGATCTCCTTCAGGCGCGAAGAGAAATAAAAAGCATCATTATCAGACAGAGTGGTGATAGACAAATACTTTCAATTATCATGGTTGATATTTGTTCAATAGACTTTTTTCTTGCGCCAACTGGCTGCAAGGTCAGCTGATTCACTCAAAGTCCTGACTCTACAGGAACTGAGTTTGTCTATACAGAAAGTCAATCCACTGTATATTATATACGTGAAACTCTTTGGGACGTCTCAACGATTGACAAGGTGCTATATGAAATACAAGTATTTTAATTGTTATTCTTGTTATTATTATTGTCTGATTCTCTCAAGGGCCTGGTGGAAAGTGAACTAGAAATCAAGGGGTCTCCATAAAGATGCAGTTTCCAGACTTCTGACACCAGCATCAACTAATGGTAAAGAAGCATTTCTCCCACATTGCAATGTCCAGACCTTTCTAGACAATAATAATAATCAATAATAATATATGCATTTGATATAGTGTCTGATCATGTATTCTAGACGTTTCAAAGGGCTTCACAGAATATACTGTGAAGTGAATTGACTGTATATTTGTGGGCAAAACACAGCAACCAATTGCGCACAGCAGTGTCCCACAAACAGTCCTGGATTGAGCAACCAAATTTTTTTATTTTTTTACTTTTAGGAATTATTATTCCCGGAAAAGCGATCCGCCAATCGACTAACAACCGAGTTCCTACTTATTGCTGAGTAAGAGTGGCGTATGCAGAGGAGAAACATGGCCAACATTTTGCCAGGAATAGAACCCAGGTCTCTCGCTTGCAAGGCGAGTGCACTAAACCCTGAGCGACAGGCTTCCATGATAAGGTTGAGGATCATAATTGATTTGAGTGAGGGGACAACACCCTTATAGTGGTCTGAGATGCTAACTTCCTGAAGGGTGCTATAGAAATGCAAATTATTGTTGTTTGTCTGAGTATGGGAGCCGGTTGGCGACATACATCCCAAGTGAAAGATGTGACCTTTTTGACTGAAGATTTCAGTTACATTTAACAACATGTCATCCAATTATTTGTATCCCAATACCTGCTGGCTTACCTGGGAGCAGGAGGCAAAGATCTACTGGGCATTTCTCTAGAAATAGAAAGCATCATTATCAGACAGCGTGATCATAAAGAAACATTTTCAAATATTACTGGTGAAGCTTATTCAAAAGACTTTTTTTAAAATTATTGGCTTGGGCTGGGGAAGATCTCCTACATAAGGAGCTTCTTTTGTGGTGGTAATTTAGTCGGAGCAAAGAGCAGGTTAAGACTCACATCCCAAGTGAGAGGTGCGAGTTTTTGATTAAAGATTTCAGTTTGGCTACATAATCTTGTCCAGTTAATTTTATCCCAATACCCCAAAAATGCTGCTTACCCGGGTGCGGTACTGACAGATCTCCTTCAGGTGCGAAGAGAAATAAAAAGCATCATTATCAGACAGAGTGGTGATAGACAAATACTTTCAATTATCACGATTGATACTTGAGACGTTTTCTTGCGCCAACTGGCTGCAAGGTCAGCTGATTCACTCAAAGTCCTGACTCTACAGGAACTGAGTTGTCTATACAGAAAGTCAATCCACTGTATATTATATACGTGAAACTCTTTGGGACGTCTCAACGACTGACAAGGTGCTATATGAAATACAAGTATTTTAATTGTTATTCTTGTTATTATTCTTGTCTGATTCTCTCAAGGGCCTGGTGGAAAGTGAACTAGAAATCAAGGGGTCTCCATAAAGATGCAGTTTCCAGACTTCTGACACCAGCATCAACTAATGGCAAAGAAGCATTTCTCCCACATTGCAATGTCCAGACCTTTCTAGACAATGATAATAATCAATAATAATATATGCATTTGATATAGTGTCTGATCATGTATTCTAGACGTTTCAAAGGGCTTCACAGAATATACTGTGAAGTGAATTGACTGTATATTTGTGGGCAAAACACAGCAGCCAATTGCGCACAGCAGTGTCCCACAAACAGTCCTGGATTGAGCAACCAAATTTTTTTTTTTTTTTACTTTTAGGAATTATTATTCCCGGAAAAGCGATCCGCCAATCGACTAACAACCGAGTTCCTACTTATTGCTGAGTAAGAGTGGCGTATGCAGAGGAGAAACATGGCCAACATTTTGCCAGGAATAGAACCCAGGTCTCTCGCTTGCAAGGCGAGTGCACTAAACCCTGAGCGACAGGCTTCCATGATAAGGTTGAGGATCATAATTGATTTGAGTGAGGGGACAACACCCTTATAGTGGTCTGAGATGCTAACTTCCTGAAGGGTGCTATAGAAATGCAAATTATTGTTGTTTGTCTGAGTATGGGAGCCGGTTGGCGACATACATCCCAAGTGAAAGATGTGACCTTTTTGACTGAAGATTTCAGTTACATTTAACAACATGTCATCCAATTATTTGTATCCCAATACCTGCTGGCTTACCTGGGAGCAGGAGGCAAAGATCTACTGGGCATTTCTCTAGAAATAGAAAGCATCATTATCAGACAGCGTGATCATAAAGAAACATTTTCAAATATTACTGGTGATGCTTATTCAAAAGACTTTTTTTTAAATTATTGGCTTGGGCTGGGGAAGATCTCCTACATAAGGAGCTTCTTTTGTGGTGGTAATTTAGTCGGAGCAAAGAGCAGGTTAATGACTCACATCCCAAGTGAGAGGTGCGAGTTTTTGATTAAAGATTTCAGTTTGGCTACATAATCTTGTCCAGTTAATTTTATCCCAATACCCCAAAAATGCTGGCTTACCTGGGTGCGGTACTGACAGATCTCCTTCAGGTGCGAAGAGAAATAAAAAGCATCATTATCAGACAGAGTGGTGATAGACAAATACTTTCAATTATCACGATTGATACTTGAGACGTTTTCTTGCGCCAACTGGCTGCAAGGTCAGCTGATTCACTCAAAGTCCTGACTCTACAGGAACTGAGTTTGTCTATACAGAAAGTCAATCCACTGTATATTATATACGTGAAACTCTTTGGGACGTCTCAACGACGTGACAAGGTGCTATATGAAATACAAGTATTTTAATTGTTATTCTTGTTATTATTCTTGTCTGATTCTCTCAAGGGCCTGGTGGAAAGTGAACTGGAAATCAAGGGGTCTCCATAAAGATGCAATTTCCAGTCTTCTGACACCAGCATCAACTAATGGCAAAGAAGCATTTCTCCCACATTGCAATGTCCAGACCTTTCTAGACAATGATAATAATCAATAATAATATATGCATTTGATATAGTGTCTGATCATGTATTCTAGACGTTTCAAAGGGCTTCACAGAATATACTGTGAAGTGAATTGACTGTATATTTGTGGGCAAAACACAGCAGCCAATTGCGCACAGCAGTGTCCCACAAACAGTCCTGGATTGAGCAACCAAATTTTTTTTTTTGCTTTCAGGAATTATCCCTTGTCACATCGTCAAAAAAAAAACAGTAAATTAGATTGGCTATTATTCCTGGAAAAGCGGTCCGCCAATCGACTAACAACCGAGTTCCTACTTATTGCTGAGTAAGAGTGGCGTATGCAGAGGAGAAACATGGCCAACATTTTGCCAGGAATAGAACCCAGGTCTCTCGCTTGCAAGGCGAGTGCACTAAACCCTGAGCGACAGGCTTCCATGATAAGGTTGAGGATCATAATTGATTTGAGTTAGGGGACAACACCCTTATAGTGGTCTGAGATGCTAACTTCCTGAAGGGTGCTATAGAAATGCAAATTATTGTTGTTTCTCTGAGTATGGGAGCCGGTTGGCGACATACATCCCAAGTGAAAGATGTGACCTTTTTGACTGAAGATTTCAGTTACATTTAACAACATGTCATCCAATTATTTGTATCCCAATACCTGCTGGCTTACCTGGGAGCAGGAGGCAAAGATTACTGGGCATTTCTCTAGAAATAGAAAGCATCATTATCAGACAGCGTGATCATAAGAAACATTTTCAAATATTACTGGTGATGCTTATTCAAAGACTTTTTTTTAATTATTGGCTTGGGCTGGGGAAGATCTCCTACATAAGGAGCTTCTTTGTGGTGGTAATTTAGTCGGAGCAAAGAGCAGGTTAATGACTCACATCCAAGTGAGAGGTGCGAGTTTTTGATTAAAGATTTCAGTTTGGCTACATAACTTGTCCAGTTAATTTTATCCCAATACCCCAAATATGCTGTCTTACCTGGGTGCGGTACTGACAGATCTCCTTCAGGCACGAAGAGAAATAAAAAGCATCATTATCAGACAGAGTGGTGATAGACAAATACTTTCAATTATCACGATTGATACTTGAGACTTTTTTCTTGCTCCAACTGGCTGCAAGGTCAGCTGATTCACTCAAAGTCCTGACTCTACAGGAACTGAGTTTGTCTATACAGAAAGTCAATCCACTGTATATTATATACGTGAAACTCTTTGGGACGTCTCAACGACGTGACAAGGTGCTATATGAAATACAAGTATTTTAATTGTTATTCTTGTTATTATTCTTGTCTGATTCTCTCAAGGGCCTGGTGGAAAGTGAACTGGAAATCGAGGGGTCTCCATAAAGATGCAGTTTTCTGATTTATGACACCAGCATCAACTAATGGCAAAGAAGCATTTCTCCCACATTGCAATGTCCAGACCTTTCTAGACAATAATAATAATCAATAATAATATATGCATTTGATATCGCGACTGATCATGTATTCTAGACGTCTCAAAGGGCTTCACAGAATATACTGTGAAGTGAATTGACTATATTTGTGGGCAAAACACAGCAGCCAATTGCGCACAGCAGTGTCCCACAAACAGTCCTGGATTGAGCAACCAAATTTTTTTTTTTGCTTTCAGGAATTATTATTCCTGGAAAAGCGGTCCGCCAATCGACTAACAACCGAGTTCCTACTTACTGCTACGTAACAGTGGCGTGTGCAGTAGAGAAACATGGCCAACATTTTGCATTGCCAGGAATAGAACCCAGGTCTCTCGCTTGCAAGGCGAGTGCATTAAACCCTGAGCGACAGGCTTCCGTGATAAGGTTGAGGATAAGAATTGATTTGAGTTAGGGGACAACACCCTTATAGTGGTCTGAGATGCTAACTTCCTGAAGGGTGCTATAGAAATGCAAATTATTGTTGTTTCTCTGAGTATGGGAGCCGGTTGGCGGCACACATCCCAAGTGAATGGTGTGACCTATTTGACTGAAGATTTCAGTTACATTTAACAACATGTCATCCAATTATTTTTATCCCAATACCTGCTGGCTTACCTGGGAACAGCACTCACAGATTTCCTGGGTGTTTCTCTAGAAATAGAAAGTATCATTATCAGACAGAGTGATCATAGAGAAACACTTTCATATATAACTGGTGATACTTGTTCAATTTTAATTATTGGTTTGGGCTGGGGAAGAGCTGCTTTATAAGCAGCTTCTATTGTGGTGGTAATTTAGTCGGAGTAAAGAGCAGATTAGTGTCGTACATCCTAAGTGAAAGGTGCGAGTTTTTGATTAAAGATTTCAGATCGGCTAAAGAACATCGTCCAGTTAATTTTATCCCAATACCCCAAATATGCTGTCTTACCCGGGTGCGGTACTGACAGATCTCCTTCAGGCGCGAAGAGAAATAAAAAGCATCATTATCAGACAGAGTGGTGATAGACAAATACTTTCAATTATCACAATTGATACTTGAGACGTTTTCTTGCGCCAACTGGCTGCAAGGTCAGCTGATTCACTCAAAGTCCTGACTCTACAGGAACGGAGGTTGTCTATACAGAAAGTCAATCCACTGTATATTACATACGTGAAACTCTTTGGGACGTCTCAATGATTGACAAGGTGCTATATCAAATACAAGTATTTTAATTGTTATTCTTGTTATTATTCTTGTCTGATTCTCTCAAGGGCCTGGTGGAAAGTGAACTAGAAATCAAGGGGTCTCCATAAAGATGCAGTTTCCAGACTTCTGACACCAGCATCAACTAATGGCAAAGAAGCATTTCTCCCACATTGCAATGTCCAGACCTTTCTAGACAATGATAATAATCAATAATAATATATGCATTTGATATAGTGTCTGATCATGTATTCTAGATGTTTCAAAGGGCTTCACAGAATATACTGTGAAGTGAATTGACTGTATATTTGTGGGCAAAACACAGCAGCCAATTGCGCACAGCAGTGTCCCACAAACAGTCCTGGATTGAGCAACCAAATTTTTTTTTTTTTACTTTTAGGAATTATTATTCCCGGAAAAGCGATCCGCCAATCGACTAACAACCGAGTTCCTACTTATTGCTGAGTAAAAGTGGCGTGTGCAGAGGAGAAACATGGCCAACATTTTGCCAGGAATAGAACCCAGGTCTCTCGCTTGCAAGGCGAGTGCACTAAACCCTGAGCGACAGGCTTCCATGATAAGGTTGAGGATCATAATTGATTTGAGTTAGGGGACAACACCCTTATAGTGGTCTGAGATGCTAACTTCCTGAAGGGTGCTATAGAAATGCAAATTTATTATTGTTTGTCTGAGTATGGGAGCCGTTTGGCGACATACATCCCAAGTAAAAGATGTGACCTTTTTGACTGAAGATTTCAGTTACATTTAAGAACATGTCATCCAATTATTTGTATCCCAATACCTGCTGGCTTACCTGGGAGCAGGAGGCAAAGATCTACTGGGCATTTCTCTAGAAATAGAAAGCATCATTATCAGACAACGTGATCATAGAGAAACATTTTCAAATATTACTGGTGATGCTTATTCAAAAGACATTTTTTTTAATTATTGGCTTGGGCTGGGGAAGATCTCCTACATAAGGAGCTTCTTTTGTGGTGGTAATTTAGTCGGAGCAAAGAGGAGGTTAATGACTCACATCCCAAGTGAGAGGTGCGAGTTTTTGATTAAAGATTTCAGTTTGGCTACATAATCTTGTCCAGTTAATTTTATCCCAATACCCCAAATATGCTGTCTTACCCGGGTGCGGTACTGACAGATCTCCTTCAGGCACGAAGAGAAATAAAAAGCATCATTATCAGACAGAGTGGTGATAGACAAATACTTTCAATTATCACGATTGATACTTGAGACGTTTTCTTGCGCCAACTGGCTGCAAGGTCAGCTGATTCACTCAAAGTCCTGACTCTACAGGAACGGAGGTTGTCTATACAGAAAGTCAATCCACTGTATATTACATACGTGAAACTCTTTGGGACGTCTCAACGATTGACAAGGTGCTATATCAAATACAAGTATTTTAATTGTTATTCTTGTTATTATTCTTGTCTGATTCTCTCAAGGGCCTGGTGGAAAGTGAACTAGAAATCAAGGGGTCTCCATAAAGATGCAGTTTCCAGACTTCTGACACCAGCATCAACTAATGGCAAAGAAGCATTTCTCCCACATTGCAATGTCCAGACCTTTCTAGACAATGATAATAATCAATAATAATATATGCATTTGATATAGTGTCTGATCATGTATTCTAGATGTTTCAAAGGGCTTCACAGAATATACTGTGAAGTGAATTGACTGTATATTTGTGGGCAAAACACAGCAGCCAATTGCGCACAGCAGTGTCCCACAAACAGTCCTGGATTGAGCAACCAAATTTTTTTTTTTTTACTTTTAGGAATTATTATTCCCGGAAAAGCGATCCGCCAATCGACTAACAACCGAGTTCCTACTTATTGCTGAGTAAGAGTGGCGTATGCAGAGGAGAAACATGGCCAACATTTTGCCAGGAATAGAACCCAGGTCTCTCGCTTGCAAGGCGAGTGCACTAAACCCTGAGCGACAGGCTTCCATGATAAGGTTGAGGATCATAATTGATTTGAGTGAGGGGACAACACCCTTATAGTGGTCTGAGATGCTAACTTCCTGAAGGGTGCTATAGAAATGCAAATTATTGTTGTTTGTCTGAGTATGGGAGCCGGTTGGCGACATACATCCCAAGTGAAAGATGTGACCTTTTTGACTGAAGATTTCAGTTACATTTAAGAACATGTCATCCAATTATTTGTATCCCAATACCTGCTGGCTTACCTGGGAGCAGGAGGCAAAGATCTACTGGGCATTTCTCTAGAAATAGAAAGCATCATTATCAGACAACGTGATCATAGAGAAACATTTTCAAATATTACTGGTGATGCTTATTCAAAAGACATTTTTTTTAATTATTGGCTTGGGCTGGGGAAGATCTCCTACATAAGGAGCTTCTTTTGTGGTGGTAATTTAGTCGGAGCAAAGAGGAGGTTAATGACTCACATCCCAAGTGAGAGGTGCGAGTTTTTGATTAAAGATTTCAGTTTGGCTACATAATCTTGTCCAGTTAACTTTATCCCAATACCCCAAAAATGCTGGCTTACCCGGGAGCGGTACTGACAGATCTCCTTCAGGCACGAAGAGAAATAAAAAGCATCATTATCAGACAGAGTGGTGATAGACAAATACTTTCAATTGTCACAATTGATACTTGTAAATTGACTTTTTTTATACTCCAACTGGCTGCAAGGTCAGCTGATTCACTCAAAGTCCGGACTCTACGAGAACTGAGTTTGTCTACAAATAAAGTCAATCCACTGTATATTATATACGGTGAAACGCTTTGGAAGTCTCAACGACGTGATAAGGTGCTATATCAAATGCAAGTATTTTAATTGTTATACTTATTATTGTCTGATACTCTCAAGGGCCTGGTGGAAAGTGAACTGGAAATCGAGGGGTCTCCATAAAGATGCATTTTTCTGACTTCTGACACCAGCATCAACTAATGGTAAAGAAGCATTTCTCCCAAAATGCAATGTCCAGACATTCCTGGACAATAATAATAATAAATATTGATCCTTCCATTTGATATAGCGCCTGATTACATCTTCTAGACGTCTCAAAGCGCTTCACAGAATATACTAAAAAGTGAATTCCCTGATTATTTGTGGGAAAAACACAGCAGCGAATTGCGCAAAGCAATGTCCCACAAACAGTCCTGGATTGAGTGAACAAATTATTGTTTTTTGACTTTTTAGAATTATTATGCCCGGAAAAGCGATCCGCCAATCGACTAACAACCGAGTTCCTATTTACTGCTACCTAAACACAGGCACGTGGAGTGAAGAAACGTGGGCCAACATTTCGCCCTGCCAGGAATAGAACCCAGGTCTCTCGCTTGCAAGGTGAGTGCTGTAATCCCTTGGCTACAGGATTCCACGGGAAGATTGAGGATAAAAGTTGATTTGGGTTGGGGTCAACTCACTTATAGCGCTTCGAGATGCTATTTCCCTGAAGGGTGCTATAGAAATGCAAGTTATTGTTGTTTGTCTGAGTATGGGAGCCGGTTGGGACACACATCCCAAGTGAACGGTGTGACCTTTTGACTGATGATTTCAGTTTGGTTTAAGAACATGTCATCCTATTATTTGTATCCCAATACCTGCTGGCTTACCTGGGAGCAGCACGCATAGATTTCCTAGGCGTTTCTCTAGAAATAGAAAGCATGATTATCAGACAGAGTAATTATATAGAAACACTTTAAAATATTACCGTTAATACCTATTCGATAGACTTTTTTTTAATTAATGGCTTGGGCGGGGGAAGATCTCCTTTATAAGGAGCTTCTTTTGTGGCAGTAATTTAGTTGGAGTAAAGAGCAGTTTAGTGTTGTACAACCCAAGTGAGCTGTGTGAGTTTTTGATTGAAGATTTCGGATTGGCTGAAGAACATCATCCAGTTAACTTTATCCCAATACCCCAAAAATGCTGGCTTACCCGGGAGCGGTACTGACAGATCTCCTTCAGGTGTGAAGAGAAATAAAAAGCATCATTATCAGACAGAGTGGTGATAGACAAATACTTTCAATTATCATGGTTGATATTTGTTCAATAGACTATTTTCTTGCTCCAACTGGCTGCAAGGTCAGCTCATTCACTCAAAGTCCTGACTCTACAGGAACTGAGTTTGTCTATAAAGAAAGTCAATCCACTATACATTGTATATGGTCAAACTCTTTGAGACGTCTCAACGACGTGATAAGGTGCTATATCAAATGCAAGTATTTTAATTGTTATACATAATATTGTCTGATTCTCTCAAGGGCCTGGTGGAAAGTGAACTGAAAATCGAGGTGTCTCCATAAAAATGCATTTTTCTGACTTCTGACACCAACATCAACCAATGGTAACAAAGCATTTCTCCCACAGTGCAATGTCCAGACAATCCTGGCCGATAATAATAATAAATAATAATACTTGCATTTGTTATAGCGCCTGATCATGTCTTCGAGACGTCTCAAAGCGCTTCACAGAATATACTGTAAAGTGAATTAACTGTATATTTGTGGGCGAAACGCAGCAGCCAATTGCACACAGCAGTGTGCCACAAACAGTCGTAGATTGAGAAACCAAATAATTAATGTTTTTTTATTTTTAGGAATTATTATCCCCGGAAAAGCGATCCGCCAATCGGCTTACAAATGGGTACCTACTTACTGCTACCTAAACACTGGCACGTGGAGTAAAGAAATGTGGGCCAACATTTCGCACTGCCAGGAATAGAACCCAGGTCTCTCACTTGCGAAGTGAGTGCTCTGACCCCTGAGCTACAGGATTCCATGGTAAGGTTGAGGATGACAACTCCCTTATAGCGCTCCGAGACCCTATCTCCCTGAAGGGTGCTATAGAATTGCAAGTTATCGTTGCTTCTCTGAGTATGGGAGCCAGTTGGCGCCACACATCCCAAGTGAATGGTGTGACCATTTGATTAAAGGTTTCAGTTTGGTTGAAGAACATGTCATCCAATTATTTTTATCCCAATACCTGCTGGCTTACCTGGGAGCAGCACGCATAGATTTCCTGGGCGTTTCTCTAGAAATAGAAAGCATCATTATCAGACAGAGTGATGAAAGAGAAACACTTTCAAATATTACTGGCGATACTTATTCAATAGACTCTTTTCAATTATTGGCTTGGGCTGGGGAAGATCTCCTTCATAAGGAGCTTCTTTTGTGGTGGTAATTTAGTCAGAGCAAAGAGCAGGTTAGTGACTCACATCCCAAGTGAGAGGTGCGAGTTTTTGATTCAAGATTTCAGTTTGGCTACATAATCTTGTCCAGTTAATTTTATCCCAATACCCCAAATATGCTGGCTTACCCGGGTGCGGTACTGACAGATCTCCTTCAGGCGCGAAGAGAAATAAAAAGCATTATTATCAGACAGAGTGGTGATAGACAAATACTTTCAATTATCACGATTGATACTTGTAAATAGACTTTTTTCATACCCCAACTGGCTGCAAGGTCAGCTGATTCACTCAAAGTCCGGACTCTACAAGAACTGTCTTTGTCGACAAATAAAGTCAATCCACTGTATATTATATTCAGTGAAATGCTTTGGACGTCTCAACGACGTGATAAGGTGCTATATCAAATGCAAGTATTTTAATTGTTATACTTATTATTGTCTGATTCTCTCAAGGGCCTGGTGGAAAGTGAACTGGAAATCGAGGGGTCTCCATAAAGATGCAGTTTTCTGACTTCTGACACCAGCATCAACTAATGGCAAAGAAGCATTTCTCCCACATTGCAATGTCCAGACCTTTCTAGACAATAATAATCAATAATAATACTTCCATTTGATTTATCGCCTGATCATGCATTCTAGACGTCTCAAAGGGCTTCACAGAATTGACTGTAAAGTGAATTGACTGTATATTTGTGGGCAAAACACAGCAGCCAATTGCACACAGCAGTGTCCCACAAACAGTCCTGGATTGAGTGAAGAAAATTTTTTTTTACTTTTAGGAATTATTATTCTCGGAAAAGCGATCCGCCAATCGACTAACAACCGAGTTCCTACTTACTGCTGCGTAACAGTGGCGTGTGTAGTAGAGAAACATGGCCAACATTTCGCATTGCCAGGAATAGAACCCAGGTCTCTCGCTTGCAAGGCGAGTGCACTAAACCCTGAGCGACAGGCGTCCGTGATAAGGTTGAGGATAAGAATTGATTTGAGTTAGGGGACAACACCCTTATAGTGGTCTGAGATGCTAACTTCCTGAAGGGTGCTATAGAAATGCAAATTATTGTCGTTTGTCTGAATATGGGAGCCGGTTGGCGGCACACATCCCAAGTGAACGGTGTGACCTTTTGACTGAAGTTTTCAATGGCATTTAAGAACATGTCATCCTATTATTTTTATCCCAATACCTGCTGGCTTACCTGGGAGCAGCACTCATAGATTTCCTGGGTGTCTCTCTAGAAATAGAAAACATCATTATCAGATAGAGTGATCATATATAACTGGTGATACTTGTTCAATTTTAATTATTGGTTTGGACTGGGGAAGAGCTGCTTTATAAGCAGCTTCCATTGTGGTGGTAATTTAGTCAGAGTAAAGAGCAGATTAGTGTTGTACATTTTAAGTGAGAGGTGTGAGCTTTTTATTAAAGATTTCAGATTGGCTGAAGAACATCGTCCAGTTAATTTTATCCCAATGCCCCAAAAATGCTGGCTTACCCAGGAGCGGTACTGACAGATCTCCTTCAGGCGCAAAGAAAAATAAAAAGCATCATTATCAGACAGAGTGGTGATAGACAAATACTTTCAATTATCATGGTTCATATTTGTTCAAGAGACTATTTTCTTGCTCCAACTGGCTGCAAGGTCAGCTCATTCACTCAAAGTCCTGACTCTACAGGAACTGAGTTTGTCTATAAAGAAAGTCAATCCATTGTATATTATATATGGTGAAATTCTTTGAGACGTCTCAACGACGTGATAAGGTGCTGTATCAAATGCAAGTATTTTAATTGTTATACATATTATTGTCTGATTCTCTCAAGGGCCTGGTGGAAAATGAACTGAAAATCGAGGGGTCTCCATAAAGATGCATTTTTCTGACTTCTGACACCAGCATCAACTAATAGTAACAAAGCATTTCTCCCACAGTGCAGTGTCCAGACAATCCTGGCCGATAATAATAATAAATAATAATACTTGCATTTGTTATAGCGCCTGATCATGTCTTCGAGACGTCTCAAAGCGCTTCACAGAATATACTGTAAAGTGAATTAACTGTATATTTGTGGGCGAAACGCAGCAGCCAATTGCACACAGCAGTGTGCCACAAACAGTCGTGGATTGAGAAACCAAATAATTAATGTTTTTTTATTTTTAGGAATTATTATCCCCGGAAAAGCGATCCGCCAATCGGCTTACAAACGGGTACCTACTTACTGCTACCTAAACACTGGCACGTGGAGTAAAGAAATGTGGGCCAACATTTCGCACTGCCAGGAATAGAACCCAGGTCTCTCACTTGCGAAGTGAGTGCTCTGACCCCTGAGCTACAGGATTCCATGGTAAGGTTGAGGATGACAACTCCCTTATAGCGCTCCGAGACCCTATCTCCCTGAAGGGTGCTATAGAAATGCAAGTTATCGTTGTTTCTCTGAGTATGGGAGCCAGTTGGCGCCACACCAGTTGGCGCCACACATCCCAAGTGAATGGTGTGACCTTTTGATTAAAGGTTTCAGTTTGGTTGAAGAACATGTCATCTAATTATTTGTATCCCAATACCTGCTGGCTTACCTGGGAGCAGCACGCATAGATTTCCTGGGCGTTTCTCTAGAAATAGAAAGCATCATTATCAGACAGAGTGATGAAAGAGAAACACTTTCAAATATTACTGGCGATACTTATTCAATAGACTCTTTTCAATTATTGGCTTGGGCTGGGGAAGATCTCCTTCATAAGGAGCTTCTTTTGTGGTGGTAATTTAGTCGGAGCAAAGAGCAGGTTAGTTAGTGACTCACATCCCAAGTGAGAGGTGCGAGTTTTTGATTCAAGATTTCAGTTTGGCTACATAATCTTGTCCAGTTAATTTTATCCCAATACCCCAAATATGCTGGCTTACCCGGGTGCGGTACTGACAGATCTCCTTCAGGCACGAAGAGAAATAAAAAGCATTATTATCAGACAGAGTGGTGTTAGACAAATACTTTCAATTATCACGATTGATACTTGAGACTTTTTTCTTGCTCCAACTGGCTGCAAGGTCAGCTGATTCACTCAAAGTCCTGACTCTACAGGAACTGAGTTTGTCTATACAGAAAGTCATTCCACTGTATATTATATACGTGAAACTCTTTGGGATGTCTCAACGATTGACAAGGTGCTATATCAAATACAAGTATTTTAATTGTTATTCTTGTTATTATTCTTGTCTGATTCTCTCAAGGGCCTGGTGGAAAGTGAACTGGAAATCGAGGGGTCTCCATAAAGATGCATTTTTCTGACTTCTGACACCAGCATCAACTAATGGTAAAGAAGCATTTCTCCCAAAATGCAATGTCCAGACATTCTTTCATTTGATATAGCGCCTGATTACGTTTTCTAGATGTCTCAAAGCGCTTAGAGAACTTCCAGAGAATATACTGTAAAGTGAATTGATTGTATATTTGTGGGCAAAACACTGCAGCCAATTGTGCACAGTAATGTCCCACAAACAGTCGTGGATTGAGTGACAAAATTATTATTGTTTTTTTACTTTTAGGAATTATTATCTCCGGAAAACCGATCTGCTAATCGACTAACAACCGGGTTCCTACTTACTGCTATGTAAACAGCGGTGTGTGGAGCAAGGAAACTTGGCCAACATTTCACCCTGCCAGGAATGCAACCCAGGTCTCCCGCTTGTGAGGCGAGTGCTCTGAGCTGCAGGATTCCACGGTAAGGTTGAGGATAACAACTGATTTGTGATGGGGACAACTTCCTTATTGCCCTCTGAGACCTCTCTCCCTGAAGGGTGCTATAGAAATGCAAGCTATTGTTGTTTGTCTGATAATGGGAACCGGTTGGCGACACACATCCCAAGTGAATGGTGTGACCTTTTGACTGAAGATTTCAGGTTGGTTGAAGAACATGTCATCCAATTATTTGTATCCCAATACCTACCTGGGAGCAGCACGCATAGATTTCCTGGGCGTTTCTCTAGAAATAGAAAGCATCATTATCAGACAGTGATGATAGAGAAACACTTTCAAATATTACTGGCGATGCTTATTCAATAGACTCTTTTCAATGATTGGCTTGGGCTGGGGAAGATCTCCTTTCCAAGGGCTTTGTTTGTGGCGGTAATTTAGTCGGAGTAAAGAGCAGGTTAGTGTTGTACATCACAAGTGAGAGGTGCGAGTTCTTGATTAAAGATTTCAGTTTGGCTAAACAACCTCATCCCGGTAATTTTATCCCAATACCCCAAAAATGCTGGCTTACCCGGGTGCGGTACTGACTGATGGCCTTGGGGTGCGAATAGAAATAAAAAGCATCATTATCAGACATAGTGGTGATAGACAAATACTTTCAATTATCATAGTTGATATTTGTTCAAAAGACTATTTTCTTGCTCCAATTGGCCACAAGGTCAGCTGATTCACTCAAAGTTCTGGCTCAACAGGAAATCAGTTTGTCTATAAATAAATGGAATCCACTGTATAATATATATTGTGAAACGCTTTGAGACGTCTCAATGATGTGATAAGGCGCTATATCAAACGCAAGTATTTTAGTGATTATAATTGTTATTATTATTGTCTGATTCTCTCAAGGGAATGGTGGAAAGTCTATAAATAAAGTGTCTCCATAAAGATGCATCTTTCTGACATCTGACACCAGCATCAACTGATGGTAACAAAGCATTTCTCCCACAATGCAATGTCCAGACATTCCTGGACGATAATAATTATAAATAATAATTCTTTCATTTGATATAGCGCCTGATCACGTCTTCTCGATGTCTCAAAGCGCTTAGAGAACGTCTAGAGAATATACTGTAAAGTGAATTGATTGTATATTTGTGGGCAAAACACTGCAGCCAATTGTGCACAGTAATGTCCCACAAACAGTCGTGGATTGAGTGACAAAATTATTATTGTTTTTTTACTTTTAGGAATTATTATCCCCGGAAAACCGATCTGCTAATCGACTAACAACCGGGTTCCTACTTACTGCTACATAAACAGCGGTGTGTGGAGCAAGGAAACTTGGCCAACATTTCACCCTGCCAGGAATGCAACCCAGGTCTCCCGCTTGTGAGGCGAGTGCTCTGAGCTGCAGGATTCCACGGTAAGGTTGAGGATAACAACTGATTTGTGATGGGGACAACTTCCTTATTGCCCTCTGAGACCTCTCTCCCTGAAGGGTGCTATAGAAATGCAAGTTATTGTTGTTTGTCTGATAATGGGACCCGGTTTGCGACACACATCCCAAGTGAATGGTGTGACCTTTTGACTGAAGATTTCAGGTTGGTTGAAGAACATGTCATCCCATTATTTGTATCCCAATACCTACCTGGGACCAGGACGCATAGATTTCCTGGGCGTTTCTCTAGAAATAGAAAACACCATTATCAGACAGAGTGATGATAGAGAAACACTTTCAAATATTACTGGCGATGCTTATTCAATAGACTCTTTTTAATTATTGGCTTGGGCTGGGGAAGATCTCCTTTACAAGGGCTTTGTTCGTGACGGTAATTTAGTCGGAATAAAGAGCAGGTTAGTGTTGTATATCCTAAGTGAGAGGTGTGAGCTTTTTATTAAAGATTTTAGATTGGCTAAAGAACATCGTCCAGTTAATTTTATCCCAATACCCCAAAAATGCTGGCTTACCCGGGAGCGGTACTGATAGATCTCCTTCAGGTGCGAAGAGAAATAAAAAGCATCATTATCAGACAGAGTGGTGATAGACAAATACTTTCAATTATCACGATTGATACTTGTAAATAGACTTCTTTCATACCCCAACTGGCTGCAAGGTCAGCTGATTCACTCAAAGTCCGGACTCTACAAGAACTGTCTTTGTCTACAAATAAAGTCAATCCACTGTATATTATATTCGGTGAAATGCTTTGGACGTCTCAACGACGTGATAAGGTGCTATATCAAATGCAAGTATTTTAATTATTATACTTATTATTGTCTGATTCTCTCAAGGGCCTGGTGGAAAGTGAACTGGAAATCGAGGGGTCTCCATAAAGATACATTTTTCTGACTTCTGACACCAGCATCAACTAATGGTAAAGAAGCATTTCTCCCAAAATGCAATGTCCAGACATACCTGGACAATAATAATAATAAATATTGATCCTTCCATTTGATAGAGCTCCTGATCTCATCTTCTATTTCCTCTGAAACATCGCCAGACTACGGCACTACCTCACCCCTCACGCTGCTGAAACTCTCGTCCATGCCTTTATCACCTCAAGGCTGGACTATGGGAACTCTCTCCTCGCCGGCCTTCCCGGCACCTCCCTCCATAAGCTGCAGGTCATTCAGAACTCTGCAGCTCGTGTACTGTCCCGCACCAGGCTTCGGGACCACATCACTCCTACCCTCGCTCGCCTCCACTGGCTCCCCATCCCCCAGAGGATCGAATTCAAGATCCTCATGCTCACCTACAAGGCCATTCACGGCCTCGCTTCCTCCTACCTCTCTGACCTACTATCCCCCTACTTACCTGCCCGTACCCTCCGTTCCTCTGGCTCCGGAGGGCTCAACATCCCCCGCCCCAACCGCCCATCGGTGGCCGGGCCTTCAGCATCTCAGCCCCTACACTCTGGAACTCCATCCCCCAGTGCCTTCGCCTTGCTTCCTCCCTTTCATCCTTCAAGGCCGGTCTCAAGACCTTTCTCTTTGACCGTGCCTTCAGCTCCCCTCTCGACTCTCTACCCCCTCCTCGCTCCCTCCCTTCCCTCCCCTCACCCTGACCATTTCCCCCTTGCTCAGGTCCTGACCCAACTGTACAGTGCCTTGGGACGTCCTCACGACGGGAAAGGCGCTCTATAAATGGAATCTTGTTGTTGTTGTTGTAGATGTCTCAAAGTGCTTAGAGAACTTGCAGAGAATACACTGTAAAGTGAATTGATTGTATATTTGTGGGCAAAACACTGCAGCCAATTGTGCACAGTAATGTCCCACAAACAGTCGTGGATTGAGTGACAAAATTATTATTGTTTTTTTACTTTTAGGAATTATTATCCCCAGAAAACCGATCCGCTAATTGACTAACAACCGGGTTCCTACTTACTGCTACATAAACAGCGGTGTGTGGAGCAAGGAAACTTGGCCAACATTTCACCCTGCCAGGAATGCAACCCAGGTCTCCCGCTTGTGAGGCGAGTGCTCTGAGCTGCAGGATTCCACGGTAAGGTTGAGGATAACAATTGATTTGTGATGGGGACAACTTCCTTATTGCCCTCTGAGACCTCTCTCCCTGAAGGGTGCTATAGAAATCCAAGTTATTGTTGTTTGTCTGATAATGGGACCCGGTTGGCGACACACATCCCAAGTGAATGGTGTGACCTTTTGACTGAAGATTTCAGGTTGGTTGAAGAACATGTCATCCCATTATTTGTATCCCAATACCTACCTGGGACCAGCACGCATAGATTTCCTGGGCGTTTCTCTAGAAATAGAAAGCACCATTATCAGACAGAGTGATGACAGAGAAACACTTTCAAATATTACTGGCGATGCTTATTCAATAGACTCTTTTCAATGATTGGCTTGGGCTGGGGAAGATCTCCTTTACAAGGGCTTTGTTTGTGGCGGTAATTTAGTCGGAGTAAAGAGCAGGTTAGTGTTGTACATCACAAGTGAGAGGTGCAAGTTCTTGATTAAAGATTTCAGTTTGACTAAACAACCTCATCCCGGTAATTTTATCCCAATACCCAAAAATGCTGGCTTACCCGGGTGCGGTACTGACTGATGGCCTTGGGGTGCGAATAGAAATAAAAAGCATCATTATCAGACATAGTGGTGATAGACAAATACTTTCAATTATCATAGTTGATATTTGTTCAAAAGACTATTTTCTTGCTCCATTTGGCCACAAGGTCAGCTGATTCACTCAAAGTTCTGGCTCAACAGGAAATCAGTTTGTCTATAAATAAATGGAATCCACTGTATAATATATATTGTGAAACGCTTTGAGACGTCTCAATGATGTGATAAGGCGCTATATCAAACGCAAGTATTTTAGTGATTATAATTGTTATTATTATTGTCTGATTCTCTTAAGGGAATGGTGGAAAGTCTATATATAAAGTGTCTCCATAAAGATGCATCTTTCTGACATCTGACACCAGCATCAACTGATGGTAACAAAGCATTTCTCCCACAATGCAATGTCCAGACATTCCTGGACGATAATAATTATAAATAATAATTCTTTCATTTGATATAGCGCCTGATCACGTCTTCTAGATGTCTCAAAGCGCTTAGAGAACGTCCAGAGAATATACTGTAAAGTGAATTGATTGTATATTTGTTGTTTGTCTGAGTATGGGAGTCGGTTGGCAACACACATCCCAAGTGAATGGTGTGACCTTTTGACTGAAGATTTCAGTTTGGTTGAAGAACATGTCATCCAATTATTTGTATCCCAATACCTGCTGGCTTACCTGGGACCAGCACGCATAGATTTCCTGGGCGTTTCTCTAGAAATAGAAAGCATCATTATCAGACAGAGTGATGATAAGAGAAACACTTTCAAATATTACTGGCGATGCTTATTCAACAGACTCTTTTCAATGATTGGCTTGGGCTGGGGAAGATCTCCTTTATAAGGGCTTTGTTTGTGGTGGTAATTTAGTCGGAGTAAAGAGCAGGTTGGTGTTGTACATCACAAGTGAGAGGTGCGAGTTTTTGATTAAAGATTTCAGTTTGGCTAAACAACATTGTCCAGTTAATTATATCCCAATACCCCCAAAAATGCTGGCTTACCCGGGAGCAGCACTGACAGATCTCCTTGAGGTGCAAAGAGAAATAAGAAGCATCATTATCAGACAGAGTGGTGATAGACAAGTACTTTCAATTGTCATGTTTGATACTTGATCAATAGACTTTTTTCATATTCCAACTGTCCTCAAAGTCAGCTGATTCACTCAAAGTTCTGGCTCAACAAGAAATCAGTTTGTCTGTAAATAAAGTCAATCCACTGTATAATATATACTGTGAAGCGCTTTGAGACGTTTCAACAATGTGATAAGACGCTATATCAAATGCAAGTATTTTAATTGTTAATATTATTATTGTCTGCTCTGATTCTCTCGAGGGCCTGGTGGAACGTGAACTGGAAATTGAGAGGTCGCCATAAAGATGCATTTTTCTGACACCAGCATTTCTCCCACAATTCAAATTCCAGACATTCCAGGACAATAATAATAATCCTTCCATTTGATATAGTGCCTGATCACGTCTTCTAGACGTCTCAAACGCTTCACAGAATGTACTGTAAAGTGAATTAACTATATTTGTGGGCGAAACGCGGCAGCCAATTGCGCACTGCAGTGTCCCACAAACAGTCATCGATTGAGTTACCAAATTATTAATAATTTTTATTTTTAGGGACTGTTATCCCTGGAATAGAGATCCACCAATCGACTAACAACCGGGTTCCTACTTACTACTAGGTAAACAGTGGCCTGTGGAGTAAGGAAACTTGGCCAATATTTCGTCCTGCCGGGAATAGAACCCAGGTCTCTCACTTGCAAGGCGAGTGCTCTAACCACTGAGCTACAGGGCTCCACAGGAAGGTTGAGGATAAGAATTGATTTAGGTTGAGGACAACTCCCTTGGTGCGCTTCGAGACGCTATCTCCCTGAAGGGTGCTATAGAAATGCAAGTTATTGTTGTTTCTCTGAGTATGGGAGCCGGTTGGCGACACACATCCCAAGTGAATGGTGTGACCTTTTGACTGAAGATTTCAGTTTGGTTGAAGAACATGTCATCTAATTATTTGTATCCCAATACCTGCTGGCTTACCTGGGACCAGCACGCATAGATTTCCTGGGCGTTTCTCTAGAAATAGAAAGCATCATTATCATACAGAGTGATGAAAGAGAAACACTTTCAAATATTACTGGCGATACTTATTCAATAGACTCTTGGCTTGGCTTGGGCTGGGGAAGATCTCCTACATAAGGAGCTTCTTTTGTGGTGATAATTTAGTTGGATTAAAGAGCAGTTTAGTGTTGTATATCCCAAGTGAGAAGTGCAAATTTTTGACTAAAGATTTCAGATTGGCTTAAGAACATCGTCCAGTTAATTTTATCCCAATACCCCAAAAATTCTGTCTTACCCGGGTGCAACACTGACAGATCTCCTTGGGGTGCGAATAGAAATAAAAAGAATCATTATCATACAGAGCCATGATAGACAAACCCTTTCAATTATCACTGCAGATACTTGTCTGACTGTCTCTTTTCATGCACTAACTGGCCACAAAGTTAACTGATCTACTCAAAGTCCTAGCTCAACAGGAACTGAGTTTTATCTGATTCTCTCGAGATCTGAGTGGAAAGCAAACTGGGAACCATGTCTCCAGAAATCATATAATCTTGTAGCACAGAAGGATGAGATTAACAAATTCTTAACTTGCAATCGAGGATATGAATTGATTTAGGTTAGGGGGGAACTTCCCTTATAGCTACCTGCATGAATGTTGCTATATAAATAAATGCAAGTTATTGTTGTTTGTCTGAGTATGGGAGCCAGTTGGCGATGCACATCCCAAGTGAAAGGTGTGAGCTTTTGATTAAAGATTTCAGTTTCGTTTAACAACATGCTATCCAATTATTTTTAACCCAATAACCGCTGGCTTACCTGGGAGCACCACTTATAGATGGCCTAGATGTTCGTCTAGAAATAGAAAGCAGCATTATCAGACAGATTGATGAATAGACAAACACTTTCTAATATCACTGATGATACTTTTCACTCACGTTTGCTCTCATCTATCACACAAGCAGTTATGACAAAGATCTTGTTTCAACAACACTACCTCTTAACCCTTAATCTTTAATCGGGAGTGTTTAAGCAATGAGAATTAAACTGGAAAATCATAACAGAGCAATGAGAAACAAAAGATCTTGCTTCACAAAGAGGCAGGAGGCTGCAAAGATAGAGGTTGCAGAGTACAGATAATATTGCTTAAGCGGGCAGGTAACTTGAAGGACGTCTCATGCCAGGTCCAAATATGAAAAACATTGTAATGAGACGGCATGACGTTGATGTTTTAAAACACCTCTGGTTTTAATTTCTACTCTCAGCTACTGCACTGGTAATTCCAACCACAGTTTATGCAAAATACTTTATTGCTGATTACAGATACAGAAAACAAAGTCAATACTTTGTTTATATATATATATCTATATATATTATCTACATATACGCACACATATATATATTATATATATATATACAAACACATACACCTACAGGACAGGCCAATTTGATTTGGGCGATAGAACTGCGTTGTTATTGAATCCAGTTGAAAACATAGCCAGATTCGTGAAGTATTTCATGCATTTCACAATAAAAATATAAACTTTAATGTTTAAACTGTGGTAAATATTGCTCTTTCCTCTTGCGAGACGCCACCTAGCTGCGGTCAACCCATCCTAGACTCTATGAGTTAGGATATTTATATAATACAAACAGGAGTCCAGCACAGACCCTTGAGACACAACAGCTAATATCTCCCACCACTTTAATCCAGCATTCCTAAAAACTATCCTCTGCCAGTTCGTCCTATTATTTTTATCACAATACACCCGGCAATAGACTAGATTAATCGCTTGGAAGATTTGAAGGCTGTCTTCTGCTAGGTGTAAGACTAAAAATAAAAACCATTGTTATGAATGATGGTGGATATGCACTTTTTAAAATATCACTGGTTTTAATTTCTACTTTAAACTATTCAACAACAACAAACAACAACAAGAAATTACATTTGTATAGTGCCTTTCACGACGGGAGTATGTGCCAAAGCGCTACTGTAAACATACTGGATATACTGTATACTGGATTGTTGATCAGGACACTAGGAAATAGTGTCTCTGCTCTTTTCAACCAGGACCATGGGATCTTCAACATCCACCTGAATGGGCAGATGTGGCTTTCATTTAACGTCTCATCTGAAGGACGGCACCTTCAGCAATACAGCATATCCCCAGCACTGCATTGGAGTGTCACCTTAGACTGGAACTACCACAACCTTCTGACACAGAGGCGAGAGTGCTACCATCTGAGCAAGGCTGACACACATTGACATCACTTTGCGAAGGAAATAACTATGAACTGACAATCCAGAAGTCATAACTGTTTCAGACCTCTCATAACACAGTCGCTAAGTCATTGAGCCGTGACAACTATGTTATAATTTCTGTATAATTTCCCCTGAAGGGCAACTCTACAGAACATGTGAACTTCTTTAAATGATGTTATTTTAAGATACTAGATGAGTAAGAATCAACTTCCTGATACGTGCTGTGCCCTTAACATATGGTTGCTGTGAGTTTTCAATGAAAGATTTCAGTTGTTTGGAGATTAAAAGAGAGATTTGAATAATGCTCCTATTTGATCACATCCCTTCAGAATATCCACCCTACCATCTTCCTGTTACAGCATCAAGTCCTTTGTTAAATGGGCAAGCATCCTGACTTCAACAACCCTTCCCAGTTTTCAATTTGTTAATTTCCCTCTAAGTAAAGAAATATTTCCTAATGCCTGTCCTGAAGTTACCCTTTATAATCCTGAACATGTGTACTTTTGTTCTACATAGATTTACATAGATGTACAGCATAGAAACTGGCTATTCGGCCCATCTAGTCCAGGTCAATGTTTACATGAGTTTCCACTCGCTCCTTACTCCCTCCCATAACTTTCTATTCCCTGAATTGTTCCCTTGTTGATGCTGCTTTTGGCATATCAAAATATTCTTCCCTGAAGCTAGGATTCTTCCCACTTCCCACTCTAATGAGCCCGGTGGTCCTAGCTGGACTGACAGCAGGAAGCTTGCTGACCAGTGTTTTCAGTGGCAAGATGCCCTTTTTTTAGATGGTTAAATCTGGGACTAACACCTCACAGGGTCAGGTAAGTAATGTGATTCCTCCAGAGCTGAAAGAACACACTGCATTTCGGGCAAATGTGCCTGAAGTCTAGTCTGAATAATCTTAATGATGGCTTAATACCCCAGTACTTGCTACAATAGGTTAGGTTACCCAGTTGGAAGAATTGAAGAAGTTCCTTGTGCATAACTAGAAATAAAAAAGAAAAAAAGTTATGCAAATTTTCAAAACATTTTTTTTTCATGTTTGCCTATATTTGCTCTTAGCTATCACACTGGCAATTCAGACTGTAGTTCATGTGAGACACTTTATTGCTGACTGAAAGATGAAGGAAAGGTTTCTACATTTGTAAAAGTTTGGACCACACTACCTGATTAAGAGTATTAAGACTATCTTAAGTTTTATTAAGTATAGTTGCAGTCTTGTTCGAATAATCCCTCCAAAAACCAAAAACATTAATTAAATTGGTCATTTTCAATCTACGACTGTTTGTGGGACATTGCTGTGCGCAATTGGCTGCCGCGTTCGCCCACAAATATACAGTCAATTCACTTTACAGTGTGTTCTGTGAAGCGCTTTGGGACGTCCTCCCGACGTGAAAAGCGCTAGATCAAATGCAAGGATTATTATTATTATTATAATGTGTTTCTGTACAGCACGGTGCAAATTTGGTTATCATGGAGCTGCAGGATGATCCCCATTACCTATGCATGTGCTCAGCTGGCCCAAAATGATCAACTTCCAGATCATTAGGTTGCTGCCGATGTGCAAATACAGAAAGCGACCTTGGCAATGACCAAATATCACAGAAGTCGGCTATTCTTTGAGCACAGGATCAGGCTGCCGCACATGGAGTAAGCCAGCCAACTGCTCTGATGCAAATTGAAACTGGCTGTCATATATTGTTATAAGAGCAGTTTGGGATATTATGGATTTCGACTGCCACGATATAATAAGTTTCAAGTACCACGTTCCTGAGCACTGCAGCGTGACAGTAAGTTAGACTGTCTTATCAAAGCTCAGCCATGATAATCATAACGTATCACCTGAACCAGTAAGAAACAGTTTTCTTTACCTCAGTCATTTTCAGGGGCGTGTTTAAACAAAAGGCAGATGGATTCTGGATGAGCTGGAGATTGTGGATGATAGAGCTACAGAGACCAGTGAGGAGGGCATATGTCATGTTTGCATGATTGTGGACTGTGCTTTTACCACCTAATCCACCAGCAGCACACAAAACATCCAAAACACAATGCCTTTAAAATTTCCCCATTAGTAACCTGGGCAGGGCAGGTTTATACAGTCAACTTAATAAAGGTTACCTTGAAGGTATTCTAGTACGACTTCTGGCCATTTTACTGGAAAAAAAACATTGTTTTAAGTTGGAATATGGTGACAAACACATTTTTAATATCACTGGTTTTATGTTTTTGCCTTCATTTACACTTAGCTCGCACTCTGGCATAGGAGAAGGAGTTTAAGAATAAAACATGGCAAGGGGAAATAAAGGATTAATGGAACAATATAGGAAAGAAAAATAATCTAACTTACATGAATGGAGAATTTGAATAACGTGTGCGTATACTACTGCAAATAAAAATTATAATTAAGATAGGATGAAACTAAAAGTACAAAATCAGTCCTTGATGGTTTCAATTTCTACAATTTTGCCCACAACATACAGTCAATCCACTTTACAATATAGTCTGTGAAGCACTTTGAGACGTCGCAAGGATTATTATTATCCTGATATCCTCTTGGGAAGAGTTTGTAGTTCAATACTTGGTCTTGTGGAAGCTTTGTGGAGTCTTTGTGGAGTCCTGTAGCTCAGTGGCTAGAGCACTCGCTTTGCAAGTGAGAGACCCGAGTTCAATTCCAGGCAGAGGGCGAAACCTTGGGCAAGTTTCCTTACTACACACAGAGCCTAATAATAATCCCTCCAAAAAAAACAAAACAATAATAAATTGGTCATTTTCAATCCACGACTGTTTGTGGGACATTGCTGTGCGCAATTGGCTTCTGCGTTCGCCCACAAATATACAGTCAATTCACTTTACAGTGTGTTCTGTGAAGCGCTTTGGGACGTCCTCCCGACGTGAAAAGCGCTATATCAAATGCAAGGATTATTATTATATTATTATTATTAAGCTGGTGGAGTACGAGTCATGTCGTCCTCTAAGTTTCCTGTCGGCCCACGCTTCCTGCCACTGGACCAGCGACAGGTCAGTGGCCTCTAATCTCATCCCTTCAGAACACCCAGCCCACCATACTGTCCTCACTTCCCAGCATCATGCTGTTTTTTTTAAAAAAAGGGACCAATGTCCTGGCGTCAAACATCCTCCCTGGCAACGTTTTCCAATCAGTAATTACCCTCTGGGTAAAGAAAAACGTCCTGGTTGTCATAGACACATAGAAAGAGGAGTAGTCCGATCAGCCTGTTCCGCCATTCTATCAGATCATGATTGATCTGTACCTCAAGTCCAATTACCCGCCTTTGTCCCGTATGCTTTTATACCCTGATCTAACAAATATCGATCCAATAGATAGATATTTGAGGACAGTGTCTGTCCTGAAGTTGACCTTTACAACTTTAAACCTATGTCCTCTTATCTTATCTTGGAGCATCCTAACGTATTGCTCTTGGTTTACTCTTTCAATCCCATTTAAAGTTTTTTTTCAATTCGATAAGATCTCCTACGAGATTTTTTCTCTCAAGATTAAAGCTCATCTAATTAGTATTCATAAATTAACTCATTCCTCTCATTGGTATCCTCTACAATGCTATGATCTTCCAGGTGTTCGCAACATCTATTATGATTCTAACACAGGCTATGATTGCTGTTTGACCATTTCAGAAGCCGTTATTTTAAAAGACCAATTCCAAGTTCCTTTACAGGCTGTATTGGCCCCTATTGAAAGCTGTTAGTGTTCCTCTTCCCCCATCCTCCCACACCCTCCCTGACCACTGTCCTGTCCTCATGTAGATAAACTGATTGGTAAAAGGTGTGCGGGAACAGAACAATGAACAGGGAATATCAAACATTTAAATTGGATGGCATAAAAGAATAAACAATAAACTAAGGAAACCGGAAGTGTCTTACCTTTTTGATCCCACGGGTACTACTAATTTAGAAGACTTCCTAGGAGAATGAATTGTAAAATAAACAATAAATGTATAACATGGAAACATTTGGAAAGTAAAACAGACTTGAGTCGAATGAGAAAGAAGAAAAATAAATGTACAATTGCAAACTATACAGATCTGAAAGTGTAGCAATATCAGTATAGTGCCAAACAGAAATGTAGTGTTCGTAATGTATTGGTGCTCATCTGCATGTATTTAATGGCACTAAAAATGTTAAACATTTTGCAACTGAGATTTATTCCCCCAGGCCATCATTCACACTTAAAACTGACACAGGTTTCACAATGGCAGGGTTGGGGGTGGGGGGGCAACTTAAAACGTGCTATGTAAATGTAAATTGTACTGTAAACACTGCTTAGTAGATGGTGGGACATCCTCCTGATATAAAAGGCCCTCTACAAATGTAATTTGTTGTTGTTTAGTTCTCAATCTACATTGTGACATTGTTGTCAGCTTCAATTAAGAGTGTATGATGCATCCAATGGAATATAATCCAGTCACGGAAGCTTTGTTGAATAATTACAGGTAGGTTTACAGTCGAGTTGACTGAAGCTCAATGACCATAACAATATGGGGATAGTGACGGCTAGAATATAATATGTAAAAGCAATAAATAAAAGAAAAACGATGGAATATCATACCTCCTTTTTGGTGTTTTTAGTTTAGCTTGTCCAATTCTAAAAAAAAACATTTTTAAAAACATTGTATCAGCATTTAGGATATTGCATTTAACGTTGTTGTACTAATTTGCTTTCAATCATTCCCAATGGGCAACACAGCTTAGCATGAAATGCATGAGAGAATTGCTGTCATCTTCATACAGCGAGTTGTTCGGATTAGGAATGCACTGCCTGAAAGGGTGGTGGAAGCAGATTCGATAACAACTTTCAAGAGAGAAGTGGATAGATATGTGGGGAGAACAAATTTGCAAGGCTATGGGGAAAGAACGGGGGAGTGGGATTAATTTGGGTAGCTCTTTCAAAGAACCGACACTGGCACGATGGGCAGAATGGCCTCCTTCTGTGCTGTACAATTCTATGACACTATCTTCCTGTCCGCAGCTCGGGCATAGGTTCCTTCCTATTGAGCAATGGTTCCACCAGTTGGAGGTGCGGAGATTAAGCAGGGGCTGCTTGCCTGTTTGCAAGCTAATCAAGCTGTTAGAGGGCAGCTAATGTCTTTAGATATCTAGCCCATCAAAAAATGAGGACCTCCAGAATAGGAGTAATCGTATTACTGGCTGAATCGAATGAATACATTACTAAATTGAATACAATATGCACCAACTTAATTACTCTCAGATATACTGCGGTAAGAGAAAAGAGAGTATTTGTTGAACTTACTTTAAAATATTAACCGGTGCCTGTGCCCTTGACAAAGAAAGAAACTTTAATTGTATTAATTATGACTTTCTTCTTGACATTGTTTACATCCATAAAGTAACTTTTTTAGTTATAAACATTCACAGAACAGTTTCTTGCTATGCATTAATAACAATATTAAATATTGCAATGTACATTATCTCTGTTCCTACCCCACTTGAAGGATGCTATATAAATGCAAGTTGTTGTTGAATGGAATGTCTTGCACTGTACATATATATGTGTGTATATCCATAAATTACTTGAATTTAGGGAAGTGCAAGTGTCAACATTTGCAAACTTGAAGGAGTATAGGGATAGGGCGAGGCGATGGGATTAAATTGATCTCCTTACTCTGTCTGTCGGCATAATCTTAGTGGGCCAAATGGCCTCTTGGGCTGTAGATTTCTGTTTCATTTTCTATTGGTTACAAATTCAACATTAAGGGAGTGGGCAAACTGAAGAGATACTCAAATATAAGGAATATTATTATTATTATAATAATACATGAAGCAATCAAGAGAGATGAAGGTCTGTTCCCATATAAGTATCCACATTTAAACTTCTCCAGAAGGAATAATGGATGAGTAGATAAGTAGAGCTTACAAGTCTGAGGGGTCAACATTGTGTACATCTGGAGAGCTAGAATAAAAACAGACATACGCTCATGTTTCTTGCCTCCACCTTCAATGGGCACATAGTGCTCCCTTGCCTTCAAAACTATATAGTGCTAATCCACACAAATGGCCCTTTTCTGCTCCCACAGTGCAAGTTCTACTCTTACCCACAATAGATTCCGGAGCTTATATCAATTCTGAACCTCTCTCTTTCTGTCAAAGTGAAGGCCTCTATGATATGGGGAGGCACGCATATATCATAATGAACATTTGGCAGGGCTCAGTCTCTCTTGGGAGATGAAATTCCAGTTGGCATGACACACAGTGGCATTGAAGATGCCAGCCAATGCCAGCCCCCCCCCCCCCCCACCCACATCATGAAATCACATGTGCCACATATCACAATCCAACATTTCAAGAAGACCTTCCACCATCCTGGCAGTCACTTGACATGTGTTGTTCCAAATTATATACTGTATCCTGAGATATTATTTTCTAGCAGAAATCTATATAATTTGTTCTTGAAACAAACAACATTTTCTCCTTCCACCGTCTCCCTAGTCAGAAGCTAAAATTTGTCTATGATCTAACAACCGTAGAGGGAGCAGCACAGCCCTGGCAGGTCAATAATTTCAGGTATTTGGTAACCCTAAAATAAAAGACATGGATTATCTTACCGAGAGAATACTGATGCATCCTGACCCATGTAATATGAAGCACTTGGAGAAAAATAACAATTAGTGCAGGATAGAATTTGCGATATTGCTCTTATTCATAATATGGATCGCTATAACATCAGAGATCTTTTTGTTGCATCTTTATAGTATGACACCCCAGTAAAATGTAACACATATAAGTATCAGCCTGGCTCAGTTAGTAGCACTCTCGCCTCTGAGTCACAAAGTTGTAGGTTCGAGATCCACCTGAGGACTTTTTACTCCTAGTCTAGGCAGACACTACAAAGGAGTGCTTGGAATAGTGCTGTATTGTTGGAGCTGCCATCCTTAGGGTGAGACATTATATAAAGTTACATAGGGTGAAACAGGCCCTGAGTCCTCAGCAGGGCTGGAAATAAAGTAGCAATGGAATATCTTCAGGACATACCTCTTTGATTGTGCTTTCGGTCATCGTCAATCAATCAGCGGCTGGGCTTTCAAGACATTCTGCCTCCGTACTCTGGAAAGCCATCCCGGAGTTCCTCTGACTCACTTACTCCATCACCTCGTTCAATATCTGGCTCGTTGACCGCGCTTTCGTTCATGTTTCCCCTCCCCACCCCCTTGGCTCCCACTCCCAGGCATGGTGCCTAGCCAGCAGTGTTAAGCGCTTCTCCCGATGTGAAAGGCATTACAAAATGTAAACGTTATTGTGTTGTATCTTACCCAGTTTCATCAGGAATGTTGCGAAATGAACTTTAAATAAACATTAAAACACAGGATTAGTGGGAGAAATTGCAATATTTGTGTTGATCGTACTATAATCTGGAAAATAGCGCTTGGTTTGTACATCTTTGTATATTTTTGGAAACCCCACGAACGAAAATGCTGCAAATACAGTTCAATAGCAGAGCGGCCCCAGGTCCAGCTGAACAGCTCAGATAAGCATTAGTCTCTCTGTATAATAGACACACAAGGAAGGCCCCACACCATGCCAGCCATTCTTTCTCTGCTCAAACGATGCTCTCCGTTCTCATTGTATATTTTTATGCCCTTTTTTCTCCGTGGGTAGGGTGGTCCGAGCTGGACAAACAGTGGGAAAGCTTGCCAGACAGTTGCAGTTTTAGCTGGTTAGACTCCAGCAGTTACCCCGACACACACTCAGGGGTCCCAAAGACATTGTCTCTTGCCAACCTGCACCTAATAAACTCCGGAAGTAGGTAAGCCCGATGCACATTCCACAACCTATGGATGTTCATGTGCCACAAATCACAATCTCACATTTCAGTCAGAAGCTTAAGAATGAGTATTGATCTAACTGAACCTTAGACAGTCCAACAGAACCCTGGCAAGTCCTGTGAACTAAGTATTTAGCAGCCCTGAAATAGAAAGAGCGTGGAATATCTTACCCGAAGTATTCTGAATCCATGAGATATGAAGGACTTTAAAAAGAAATAAGATAATTAGCTTAGAATACACTTTATGATATTGGTGTCATTTATAATATGGATTGCTAAAAATGCAGAGATCTTCAGGTGGACGCCTGAAGTGAGAGACAGGACATTGGTTTAACATCCCATCCTAAGGATGCTTTAAACCTAGATCACCTCTTGAACCCTACTAGCCAACCATCAATATTAAGCACTTTGAAATGATCTTCCAATGTGAAAGGCGCTGTATAAATGTAAATTATATTGTATCTTACCTGGTAAGAGGTTCAGAAGCCCTGTAAAATGAATTGAAATAAACATTAAAACACAAAACTAGCATGGAAAATTGAGCACTGTATTTGTGTTGATCATATTAAAATCCAAAAAAACAGAGCTGCCAGTGTTCATGGACTCAATAGCTTTTAAATAATCAGCAAGGAATATCTTACCTCGGAGGCTGCTTCACTCTAGGTGACATCGGTGGTTCAGAACTTGAAATGACCATTAATGCATAATTAGAATTGAATTTGTGAGCAAAACAGTTTACATGTCTAGCACTTTCATGTCAGGAGAACGTCTCAAAGCTCTTCACATTGAGAGTGCGGTGGGGGAGGATAGCTGAGGACCCGAAGGAAGATAGAAAGTGCAGGTGCCGTGATAGGAATTAAAGAGGGGCTTTAACCGTGGGGAGGGAGAGGACGGACAGAGGGCAGAGTGATTCTGGCATGGAGTTTCAGAACATTTCGAGGGGAGAATGGCTGAAAGCTCGTGCATCAGTGGGGCAGATCAATGGAGGGAGGGGCCGGATCAGTAGGGTTGCAGGATGTTACAGAGGGTGGTGAAGCCATGGAGGAATTTGAATGCAAGGATGAGGAGCGTGAATTTGAACTGCATGAGGCTGGGGACCCAGTGGAGCTGTGCAAGGATGGCATTGGTGAGCCTGTTGCAGGAGAGGACATGGACTGCAGAGTTCTGGGTGGTCTGCAGCTTCTGGAGGGAGGAGATGGGGAATCTGGCAAGTGCAGCATTGGAATCATTAAGGGTGTCAACCTGGCTCAGATAGTACCTCTCTCACTTCTGAGTACAAAGGCCTCTCATCAGGTCAGGCTGCCACTCCAGTACAGTGCTGGGGGAGTGCTGCATTGACGGAGGTGCTGTCATTCAAATGTAAGCAGTTGATACGGTAAACTGTATGATTTTATCTGCTTCATTTTAACTGGTAAATTTCCAAGGGTAGTTGCCTACATACGTAGAACTCTCTCTGGTTTGGATAAGCTTAAGCATGTGGTGATAGCTTTCCACATGTGTCACACCAAAGAGTGATACATAAGCAAATATAAAAATAGTTGGGAATACGGTTTAATCTACATAATTGAACTCTTTGATGTGTTTGTCTATCCTTTCCCCCCAATCTCATTATTTGTTCATTTATATTCAAAGTAGAATCCAACCAAACACGATTATGCTCACACTGTGCCAGTCAGGACCTGGTATAAAGGGATACAGGGCAAGAGTGGGTAATTGGACTTGAGGTACAGATCAGCCATGATCTTATAGAACAGCAGAATGGGCTCGAGGTACCGAGTAGCCTACTCCTGTTTCTATGACCCCCATCAGAATGGTTGTTTCACATATACATTTCTTACCTGGCTGAAAGTGGTGGTTCTGTACTAAAAGTAGAATAAAGACAGAATCGTTAGACAGGAGTGAAACTCTACATCAGGATTATCTATTAGTTGTGGTTTGAAATTAGATTATTTTCTTAAAATATTCAGTAACATAGAGATTTCTTCGATTGCAATTTTACAAGGATCAATTAACAAATTCACTCGTCTAAAGGCAATAGATATATATGGTGCCTCTAAACTAATGTCCTTGACAAATTTAGTGGTGGCCACTAAGCAGGGAAATAAGGTTGTTAACCAAAAGCTATTCAAGGTATTGAATAGCTGAGGTTCATGAAGGCAGGGCAAGAGCCAGCAAGGCAAGGCTATGGTGGAAGAAAGCTCTGGAGGATTGGTGCGTGGTGACTCAGCTACAGTGTTAATGTTAATCCTCAATGAGCATTCCTTTCCTGTCAGTATTTTCTATTAAACAGTGTTACATGATGATGATGATGATGATAGTCATTCCTCTCCTGGTGCTTTGTTTGACTGCCTTAGGGAGTCATTTAGTTTCAGGTAAATGACTTCTTCCCAAATTGACCATTCGGGGGATTTTCTCAATGAATCAATTGGAGAAATAAAGCCTTACCTGGTCGATTCTACTTCAGTAGGAGAGCTACAAATTAAAGACAGTATTGTCAAAGAGAAGCATGCTATACATAATACTTTGTTTTACATCAAAACGCCAGCTCTTCATTTTACCTCTTTGATCTACATCACACTCTATCTAAGATAGATTTTTTTAATATAGCCCATTTCAACACTGTCATTGCTGACACTAGCCTATAACTCACTCACACGTGCTACCTACAGTGACAATAGTCAGTAAGTTAATTCACTGCATAGAGGATATAGCTAGTGTATTGCCATTAGAGTTTAGTGTGGTTTCTTTTTGTAGAAAAATGAAGGAAATCCACTCGCAGGCTGTTAATACACATAATGCACACTTGGATCCCATCATACTCTCTCTGTTGTCTAAATATCATTGAATATTGCCAGGTGCCACGTCGCTAAATAGTATCAGGCAATATATTGTCAGTTTGTCCAAAATGCTATCAGTAAAATTGCAACAGAGGAAGATATCTTAAGAGAAATAATGCTATTTTGATTAAAGCAGCAAATCTGACTGGGCTTCGGTTTAATATCCTGATATTGTGTTCTACTTACGCAGCACTACCTTGATCTGTCCTAAACAACAAACAAAAAAACAGACCTCGTTGATGATTTCTGCATCCGTTTACAGACCCAAGGGTCATCAATAAAAACGACGAATACATCTGCAACCTCTATTCTCTTTAAAAAGGGCCAGAGACCAATATTACATGACCTACTGATCATTTAGTCATTTTAATATTTGTGAACAGTTCAGCTTCCACTTACAATTGTAAATTATTTATTCTACATAGTCTATTTGTTGAGAGGCCTTCAACCTTCACTTGTATATTAGAATCCCTTTTTTGTTATAAAGGAGAAGTTGGCACCCTATAAAGCTTCATGCTTCAAGTCAGGAAATCTACCCTCAGCTCTGTTGATCTGCAGACTATGCTGCAGCAGATCACGGACTGTAACAGTTAGGAAAATGGGTGTTGGGTGTGGAGATGACCTGGGCACTTGTCCAGACCAGAATGAGGACATGACAAGAGTTCTGTCATTTAGTAAATGTCGTGGAATCAACATGTGAGACCTGGCATGAGATCCAGGAGATTCTGAATGTGAAAAAAAGAACACCAGAATATTCTCTCACAATTTTTATTCCAAGTGATACTAAACGCTCTCAAAAAACAACAGGCAGTTCTGGTCGTAAGCTTGGTGCCCAACCGACCGAGCTATCTAAGAAATTACAATCACAATGTTAGCACTACTCTGCAATACCAGGGGGCAAAGAGTACTTCAAATTATACATCTGTTGAGATAGTTAACATTGACCCATGCCTGTGAAATCTTATATTTTACCACAATAAACGAGGGGTAACAAAACAGTTAAGTTGATATCTTACTCGTAAGCTGGTTTCTCTTTGCTAGAAATCAAAATAAAAAAAGAATCAAAGGATTAAAACAAGGAAAGCATTTCAGTACCATGTGTAATTGTTATGAAGTGGCATTGAAATGATTCGATCCACACTTCATTCAGATTCAAACATAAGCATCAGTCATCAACCGTACCTTGCAGGGAGAGCTTCGGTAAAGTGGTGGGGTGGGGGGGGGGCGTGAAATGGGAAGTACGAGTCTTACCTCCTGCTCTGACCCTCTTCCCGTCACTCTCCGCTGCCTCAGATAAGGAGAGCGGCCAGCAGAGAGACACAGCTGGAAGGTAAAGGCGTCAACAATATCTGGGGCCCCCTCAGATCTTGGGGCCCTAAGCCATGGTTTACCTGGTTTATGAGTTAATCCGGTCCTGGTTACAAGTTTATATTGCAGGGCTCAGTGGATCCAGAATTCTGAAAATCTAAAGGTGGTTTTATATGTCCTCGAGACTTCTGGAGACTGCCTGCATCAATCAGGGTTCACTCCTACTTGGAAATTGTGATATCCCTGGGTGAATTTTTCGAGACAAAACCCCAAGTCACCAGACATCATAATTATAAAGGATGGGTTGTTTGATGAGTGGTGTTTCACTGTCAGTTACCAATTGCATATCCACTTATGTGGCTTCAGGCTCCATATAAAGTAGATTTATAGTATATAGAAAGTAGAATTCGCGATAACCGAATAATAAATCAGAACACGTTTCTCCTGCCATTTTTTATGAATTGTCCATCGTTTGGAAATTGATAATGGATTAATTGAATTATGTTATACTGTACTTACATCTCACAGAATGGCACCTCACTTTCACCGACAGACTCACTCCCCTCCCTTCAAAAAATGCCAAATGTCAGTATTGCTCTAGTTGTGGCATTTTTCACATCATGACAAGAGGTGGAAGCTCATTAGAAATAATAATAATAATCATCCTTGCATTTGATCTAGCCATCATCATAATGTCGAGGTGTTTCGAAGCCTTTCAAAAGAATTTACTGCAGTAAATGGCTCATGATCATGTATCTAATATATTTTGTAGGCAAGCTCAGTACAGTATCTCTCAAACAGCCACGAAGGGACCAGCTTTATTGGGGGGGATTGTTGGTCAGGTTTATCAGATATAAATTATCAGATAACAGTTGATTTTAAATAGGACAGAGGAAGAATTATTCAAGCACTGCACAAGCATTGCGGTGAAAGATTGGTCAGGTGCTGTAAACCCAAATTTTGTGAATGTAAAATGAGTGTATTATACTGTACCAGTGTACAATTATTGTAGCATGTGCAAAGTGAATGGTAGCAAGTTCAAGTTACGAGGAAAGGAGTGTGTGCTGTAGAATAATTGTGCATAGATCACTGCAGTGTTACGACTGTAAAATATTGAATACTTCCACAAAGCTGTATCTAATCAGTAGAATGAATATGTTATACTTACTGCTCTGTGACTGGCTCCTGCCTCTCAACTCTGTAAGAAAGACAGAATTGGTGTTCTGATTCATGTTATTAACGTGATCAAGAGCAAATAAACATCTTACTGAATACAGAAATAAATAGTCTAGATCAGCTGGATAATTGTACTTAATCTCTAAATGACTGCTCAAAGATAATGTTTCTTCTTCTTTCAGAGAATAATTCAGCAGAGTGACTGGTTTGTACTTACGGTTCTCTGAATGACCGCTCCCTCTTCGTTGGCGACTGACTCCTCACCCTTTAAAATACAACGGAAAAGATGATTTGGTGTTCTGATTCTGTTACTCTGCAATGTGTGGGGCACATAATAAACACTGTACGGGTCTCCGAGCTATTTCACAGAGGTCAGAGTGGAGCGAATGGTTTGTACTTACATGTCACTGAATGATACCTCCTTTTCGGTTGACGATGGACTCCTCTCCCTTCAACACACAAAGAAAGATGACTATTTGCTCTTCTGGTTGTTAGTACTGGTCATCATTTTACCAATAGTTTAGTTTGTGGGAAGTAAATATGCATTGTACCCAATAATGACGTTTCTAAGAAAAAAACATGTGTGCCTTAACATGTCTCGTATGAGTGTGTGTGCGTCAACGTGGCGCTCTGGAAAGCCATCCGGCGTGAAGGCCACTATGTGAATGCAAGTTGCTGTTGTTGTAGTACTGCTGCTGTGGAATCATTTTTAGACCCAAGGACAGAGTGAAGTGGAATGTTTAACCCTAGGAATGTACAAACATTGAGAACATTGACATTCTGATTGTTATTAATGCAGCATGAGCAAATAATAATAAATATCTTTAGGACACAGCTCATTTCTGAAAGTTACAAAGAATGGCCAACTTAATGGTTAGCGGGTTACCACTTATAAAAGCTGTTGGGTTAAGTTTCTGGAAGGGAAACACAAAAATATTGCTTATGTGGCCCACAGATGTTTTTCGATTGCAGCATCCGGCCCTCAGCAGCCAAAAGGTTGGGTCACCCTGACGTAGGGCAGGTTATCCACCTTGAATTGTATTCAGCGTTAAAAAGTTGCTGATGAATGATTGTGTTACTAATGCGTGTGTGTTACTAACATCTTTACAGAGCATAAGCTCTTTTCAGAGAATTCAGAGCGACTGGTTTGTACTTACGACTCTCTGAATGACCGCTCCCTCTCGACTGGGGGCTGACTCCTCTCTCTTCAAAACGCAAGAAAGACAACGATTAAGTGTTCTAACTGTTATCAATGGGATCGTGAGTAAAGAAACGGTACCGGATTCAGCTTGTTTCAGAGAGTGAATGGAGTGAAAATGACAGTTTACACAGCGGGGTGGTGTCTCGGAGAGCTTAGTCAGTAGTAATAATAATAATAATCCTTGCACTTGATATAGCGCCTTATCACATTGTTGAGATGTCTCAAAGTGCTTCACAGAATATATTATAAAGTGGAGTGACTGTATATTCTGTGGGTAGGATTCCTTCTCGACTTGGCTGCAACATCCACAGGCTCTTTCTCAAACTCACTGAACCATCTGCAACCTCCGGCTCCATTCGATCCTCAGATGTCCTTCCACCCATGGTCAGTACCTGACCAGATAAGCTTTCCTACACCTCTGCCACGTTACCTGCCTCCGACCCTACCTCACCACAAATGCCACTGAAACCTTCATCCACTCCTTTGTCACCTCAAGTCTCGACTTCTCAAACTGTCTGCTCGCTCGTCTCCCCTGTTCCACCATCCGCAAGGTCCAGCTCACTGAAAGCCCCATCGTCCAAGCCCTCACTCATACCAAACTTGGGATATCCATCACTCCAATCCTCGGCAGGTTGCTCTGGCTCCTTAGCTCCGAAAGGGTTGATTTCAAGACCCCCACCCTCACATACAAATATCCCTTCATGCCCTAGCACCTCCCTAACTATCTGACCTGCTTGTGCTCACCCTTCACTCAGGTAAAATAGGCCACTTGACCCCTCCGTTCCACAATTGGTGGCTAAGTTTCAGCCACTTCGCCCTCTATCTCCTGAAAATGCCTGCCCCAATCCCTCCACCTCGCTCCCTCTTTATCTATCTTTAAATCCTACCTTTTCAATCCCGCCAATGTCAAACCCCCCCCTCTCCCACTTCTCCCTTGCTTGCTGTCCAACCCCACCTCTGTACTGCTCTCCGAGACACTACGCTGTGAGAAGGATGCTACATAATTGCACGTTGTTATTTTTGTTGTTAATGGGATTATAAACGAATACTTCTTACTGGGTGCAGCATTACAGAAAGTTAATGGAGTGAACCTTGTACTTATAGTTCTCTCAATGACCGTTCCTTCTCTCTGATCTCTCTTCAGTATACAAATATCAGAAAACACCATTACAATCCCTTACTTGGGGGTGGGGGGGCGGTCTGTAGTGAAATTGCCAGCCTGCGCTGCCAGGATGTGACATTATTGATCCCACAACATCATGATTGCGAAGCAGCTCCCAATGATAAAATAAATGGCCAACTTCTTGGTCACTGGTTACTACTTATAAAAACTATCATAGATTCTCCTTCAACCACCCTTCTTGGTACAGCATTCCATATTCTAACCACCACGCCCTGTTTCAAATAAAATTCTACTATCTTGCATTGTTTCCTGATGATTCAACAATCAGAAACTTCTTTCCCGTTTCAAATAACACCACAGAATCTTTAATATCCTCTCGAAAAGGCAGTTGGGACATTGGTTTAACATCTCATCCAAAGGATGGCACCCTTGACATTACAGAGCTCCCCCCAGCGCACTTACCAACTGAGCCAAGCACACACATATATCTTGGACATGATATTCACTTTGCGTTGTATTCAGCAGTAGAAAGCTGTTGCTCAATGATTACATTACTAATGTGTGTGGAAATAATAAACATACAGGATATACAGTTTGATTTAGTGAATAATTTAGCGGAGTGACTGGTTTGTACTTACGGCTCTCTGAATGACCGCTCCCTCTTGATTGGAGACTGAGTCTTCTCCCTTCAAAATGCAAAGGAAGACAATGATTTGGTGTTTAGATTGTTATTCTAGGGACCGTGAGAAATAATAATTCTATTAGCATATGAGAACAGGGATGGTCATATTGATGATACAGTATTGGCAAATTATCTTTAAAGAACATTATAATAATAATCCTTGCATTTGATATAACAAAACAACTTGCACTTATTAGCTCTCTCCATGCAGGGTAGTATCTCAGAGCGCTTAACAGTGGCGGAGCTTGACTCCGAGTCGGGGGAGTGGGGAGTTGACCGTAAGCACGGTCGAAGAGGAAAGTTTTCAGGCGGGACTTGAAAGAGGGGGAGAGGGGGGGGCAAGGCGGAGGGATTGAGGGAGAATGTTCCAGAGTTTCGGGGAGTAGCGGCTGAAAGCGGGACCTCCGATGGTGGGGCGGTGGGCGAGGGACGAGCAGGAGGCCGGTACCAGTCGAGCGGAGGAGCCGGGTGGTGGATTGGGGAGTGAAGAGGTTGGAGAGGGAGGGAGGTGCCAGGGAGTGAGTGAATGGATTTGAACACGAGTGTAAGGATCTTCAAGTCGATCCGTTCGGTGATGGGGAGTCAGTGGAGCCTGGGCCAGAACTGGTGAGATGCGGGCGTGGAGTTTGGTCCAGTATATATAGCACCTTATCACATCTTCAAGACGTCTCAAAGAGCTTCGCAGAATATACTGTAAAGTGAATTGACTGCATATTTTGTGAGCAAATCGTAAAGGAACATTACTGTAAAGAACAGTAAAGAAACATTATTGGACACAGCTTGTTTCAGAGAATGAATGGAGCAATAACAACAGCAACTGCATTTATATAGCGGAGTGCTTAGTAAATCAGCGGAATCTTGTACTTACGACTCCCTCTCAATTGGCGACCTGCTCCTCTCCCTTCAAAATACAAAGAAAGACGATGACTTGGTGTCCTGATTACCTTATTAATGTGCCAGAGCAAATAAAAATCTCAAAGGATACAATTCGTGTTAAGAGAGTTAATGGAGCAAATCGGTGGAATGTTTTACTTACAACTCTCTGAATGACCGCTCCCTCTCGCTGGCTGACGGCCTCCTCTCCCTTCAAAAATACAAAAAATATCAGGAAAGCCCCATTATAATGCAGTACCTGGGGCCTGTGGTGAAATAAAGTCATGCACTTTTCAGTAAAACCCTGTCAAGTGCTTTGAGATGTTTCAATGATGTGATAAAGAAGCTGCATCCAATCCAAGGAATATCATTTTATTAACAATATTCATTTGGAAACCAGTCTCAACTACAACGTTTCACAGAGCTTCAGATTGTAATTAAATTTAGGCAGGATACAGGAAAACCCATCAGACAACATGCAATCATTCTGGTAATAGACTGATCAGGAATAGCAATCCCACATTGGGTGAATGTAAAATGAGTGGAACACCGTACATCACTTAATGAAGTTAGTTTCAATGAAGTGAATATAGAATTCTAGAGCACAGGAGGAGGTCAGGAGGCTCATCATGCCTCTGCTGGCACTCTGAAAAAAAACTACCCAGTTAGTCTCACTTCCCTGCCTTTTCCCCGAGATACTTTTATAATGTGGTGTCCAGTAGCGCAGTGTTTAGAGCACTCGTCTCGCGAACAAAGGGACAAAACCTTAGGCAAGCTTCCTTACTCCACACACTGTTCAGTCTCCACAGACTGTTCACTCTCAACTAGTGATGGCACCCTCTCCCTTAAAAAATATTTGGAAACATCATCAATACCCTATTCACAACCTTTTAACATTATTATGACCAGCAGTCAAAGCTTTCTCTGAGCTGTCTTTCTGATAAGATGTTAAAAACATTTCTCAACTGCCTGTCAAGTGCTCAATAAATTGAAGGAAGGTGGGATTATAATAATAATAACAGTAATTTTTGCACTTAATGTAGCATCTTTGATGTTGAGAACTGCGTTAGTGTCAGCCTACGGATTGAAAGTCACAATGTGAGAGATGAACCTGGAGCTTCTGAATCTGATATACCAGTTATAAACCAATTTGCATCTTACAGCTTATTTCACAGAATCAATGGAGAAAAATGATTAGACTCCTGCACTTACGGCTCTCTGAATGATCGCTCCCTCTCTGTCACTGACGGTCTCCTCTCCCTTCAAAGTACAAAGGAAGACAGATTTGGTGTTCTGTTTATGTTAGGAATGTGACCGGGAGCAAACAAACAGAACTTGTTTCAGAGTGAATAAAGTAAATCAATGGAAACGTGTACTTTCTGAATGACCGCTCCCTCTCCCTTCAAAATACAAAGAAAGGCAGAGATTTGGTATTCTGATTATGTTATTACCATGACCAACATCAAACAAAACAACTGACTGGATACAACTTGGAGTCCTGTAGCGTATTGTTCAGAGCACTCGCCTCGCAAGCGAGAGGACCCGAGTTTGATTCCCGAGCAAGGCGAATCTTAAGGTAAGTTTCCTTACTCTTCATGCCTCTGTTTATCTAACAGTAAGTAGGAACCCAGTTGTTAGTAGATCGGCGGATTGCTTTCCGGAAGTAATAATCCCTTCAAAAAATAAATGTAAAAAATAATAATTTGGTCACTTCAATCCGCGACTGTTTGTGGGAAGCTGCTGTGCGCAATTGGCTGCCGGGTTTCATCCACAAAATAGAGTCAATTCACTTCACAGTATATTCTGTGAAGTGCTTTGAGACGTCTTGATGACGTGATAAAGCGCTATATCAAATGCAAGGACTATTATTATTATTAACGTGTTTCAGAGTGATTAAAGTAAATCAGTAGAAACGTAAACTTACGGCTCTCTGAATGACCGCTCCCTCTCCCTTCAAAATACAAAGACAATGATCTGTTTTTCTGATTGTTATTAATGGAACTGTGAGCAAATAAACATTTTACTGGATACAGCTTGTTTCAGAGAGAGAATGGAGGAAATCAATGGGATGTTGTACTTACGGCTCTCTGAATGACCGCTCTCTCTCACTGGCTGACGGCCTCCTCTCCCTTCAAGAAAACAAAGAAATATCAGAAAAGCCCCCAATTCATACAGTCCTTGAGGCTCGTGGTTAAGTTGCCATTCAGCACTGCAACATCATTGATCAGATGATATTACTGATCACTTGTCATTCCCACACTGGCAATGCAGAAAGCCTACTTGCCCGGCCTAAAAAAAGACAACTTTCACCTCACCAATTAGAACAGGTATTATGGATTCTGCGTCAATCACACTTTGTGGTACTGCATTTTATATCCTATGAGATATCATATAAAAAAAACAGAAATGCTCGTTTCGTGCCATTTTTAACAATTGTGCAATTGGCTGCCGGGTTTCGCACTTAAAACATACAGTCACTACACTTTACAGTGTATCCTGTGAAGCGCTTTGAAGCGTCTCAATGATGTGATAAGGTGCTATATCAAATGCAAGGATTATTATTATTATGTTCAGCAGTTAAATCTCATCAGAAAGAAAAAATGCAATCTTAGAACTCTCTGTTCCCCTGGATTGGAAGGTGCTGGGATCAGATCTTCCATTTTAAAGCACCACCAAAAACAGAAGGCAACATTAATAATAATAGTAATAATAATCCTTACATTTGATAAATAATATAATAATCCTTGCATTTGATATAGCTCATGATCACGTCTTCTCGACGTCTCAAAGCGCTCAAACCATAATCAAATAAACAACTGACCGGATACAACTTGGAGTCCTGTAGGCATTTGGTTAGAGCACTCGTTTTGCAAGCGAGAGGACCCGAATTTGATTCCCGAGCAGGGCGAATCTTTAGGTAAGTTTCCTTACTTCACACACTTCTGTTTATCTAACAGTAAGTAGGAACCCAGTTGTTAGTCGATTGGCGGATCACTTTCCGGAGGCAATAATCCCTTCCAAAAATAAATGTAAAATATAATAATTTGTCAATGAATCCACTGTGGGACACTGCCGTGCGCAATTGGCTGCTGGGTTTCGTCTACAAAATAGAGTCAATTCACTTTGCAGTATATTTTGTGAAGCGCTTTGAGACGTCTTGATGATGTAATAAAGCACTATATCAAATGCAAGAATTATTATTATTTTTAACGTGTTTTAAAGTGAATAAAGTAAACTTACGGCTCTCTGAATGACCGCTCCCTCTCCCTTCAAATACAAAGACAATGATCTGTTTTTCTGATTGTTATTAATGGAACTGTGAGCAAATAAACATTTTACTGGATACAGCTTGTTTTAACAACAACTTGGATTTTTACATAGCGCCCTCCATGCCGGACGGCGTCTCAGAGCGCTATATAAATAGAGAGAATATTTAAACACCGAATATTTAGAGAGAGAATGGAGTAAATCAGTGGGATGTTGTACTTACGGCTCTCTGAATGACCGCTCTCTCTCACTGGCTGACGGCCTCCTCTCCCTTAAAGAATACAAAAAGATATCAGAAAAGTGCCCAAATCATGCAGTCCCTAAGATTCGTGGCTAAATTGCCATTCAGCACTGCAACATCATTGATCAGATGATATTACTAATTGCATTTTATATCCTAACCCCATTTAAACTCAAAGTCTTCTCATTTGCATTTGTGCAAGTGATGCTTCCAGTTAACTGACTCAGCAATCAGAAACTTCCTTCTCGTTTCAAATAGCGATATGAGATCTTTACCATCTAACTGAACAAGTGGATGGGACCTTGGTTTAACATCTCATCCACAGACATGTTCTTTCGACAATGAAGGGCTCCATCCCAACATTCAACAACCTTAGAGCTCAGGGGCAAGAGTGCTACAAACTGAGCCAAGTACAGTCACTTATCCAGGGCTTTGAATTCCAATTGATTGGTATATGGAGAGGTAAGCAGTTGCAGTTCAATGATTATTGTTAACATGCACGGCCATGAGAAAATAAATATCGCACTGGGCAAAGCTCTTTGCTGAGATTTAACAGAGTAAATCAGTGCAATCTTGTTGGCTCTCTGAATGACACTTCTCTCTCACCGTTTGATGGATTTTCCCCTTTCTCTGCAAAAACAGACAGCGATTTGGTGTCCTGATTACATTACTAACATGACCCGGTGCAAATAGACATCATTCAGGATACTAATAAAGTAAATCAGTGGAAACGTATACTTACGGCTCTCTGAATGACCGCTCCCTCTCCCTTCAAAATACAAACACAATGATCTGTTTTTCTGATTGTTATTAATGGAACTGTGAGCAAATAAACATTTTACTGGATACAGTTTGTTTCAGTGAGAGAATGGAGTAAAGCAATGGGATGTTGTACTTACGGTTCTCTGAATGACCGCTCCCTCTCACTGGCTGACGGCCTCCTCTCCCTTCAAGAATACAAAGAGATATCAGAAAAGCCCCCAATTCATACAGTCCCTGAGGCTCGTGGCTTAATTGCCATTCAGCATTGCAACATCATTGCTCAGATGATATTACTGATCGCTTCTCAATCCCACACTGGCAATGCAGAAAGGCTACTTGCCCGGCCTAAAAAAAGACATCTTTCACCTCACCGATTAGAACAGGTATTATGGATTCTGCTTCAACCACACTTTGTTGTACTGCATTTTATATCCTATGAGATATCATGTAAAAAAAAACAGAAATGCTTATTTTGTGCCATTTTTAACAATTGTGCAATTGGCTGCCGTGTTTTGCACTCAAAACACACAGTCACTACACTTTACAGTGTATCCTGTGAAGCACTTTGAAGCGTCTCAATGATGCGAGAATCATTGACTGTCCAGAGCGTTGGAACGTCCTCCCGACGTGAAAGGTGCTTTACAAATGTAATTTTGTTGTTGTTGTAATTATTTGGTACTTACGGCTCCCTCTCGCAGACTGGTGGCTTCTCCCTTCAAAATACAAAGAAAGACAGAAATTTGGTTATCTGGTTACATTAATGTTGGGACATTGCTGTGCGCAATTGGCTGCCGCGTTCGCCCACAAATATACAGTCAATTCACTTTACAGTGTGTTCTGTGAAGCGCTTTGGGACGTCCTCCCGACGTGAAGAGCGCTATATCAAATGCAAGGATTATTTATTATTTATTTAATTAATGTAACCACAAGCAAATACGTTAATGGTTACAGCTTGTTTCAGAGTAAATGGAGCAAATAAATGTTCAGGTGCATGGAGTAAATCAATGGGATGTTGTACTTACGGTTCTCTGAATGACCGCTCCCTCTCACTGGCTGACGGCCTCCTCTCCCTTCAAGAATACAAAGAGATATCAGAAAAGCTCCCAATTCATGCAGTCCCTGAGATTCGTGGCTAAATTGCCATTCAGCACTGCAACATCATTGATCAGATGATATTACTGATTGCATTTTATATCCTAACCCCATTTAAACTCAAAGTCTTATTTGCATTTGTGCAAGTGATACTTCCAATTAACTGACTCAGCAATCAGAAACTTCCTTCTCGTTTCAAATAGCGACGTGGGATCTTTACCATCTAACTGAACAAGTGGATGGGACCTTGGTTTAACATCTCATCCACAGACATGTTCTTTCAACAATGAAGAGCTCCATCCCAACATTCAACAACCTTAGAGCTCAGGGGCAAGAGTGCTACAAACTGAGCCAAGTTCAGTCACTTATCCAGGGCTTTGAATTCCAATTGATTGGTATATGGAGAGGTAAGTAGTTGCAGCTCAATGATTATTATTAACATGCACGACCATGAGAAAATAAATATCGCACTGGGCAAAGCTCTTTGCTGAGATTTAACAGAGTAAATCAGTGCAATCTTGTTGGCTCTCTGAATGACACCTCTCTCTCACCGTTTGATGGCCTTTCCCCTTTCTCTGCAAAAATAGACAGCGATTTGGTGTCCTGATTACATTAATAACATGACCCGGTGCAAATAGACATCATTCAGGATACTAATAAAGTAAATCAGTGGAAACGTATACTTACGGCTCTCTGAATGACCGCTCCCTCTCCCTTCAAAATACAAAGACAATCATCTGTTTTTCTGATTGTTATAAATGGAACTGTGAGCAAATAAATATTTTACTGCATACAGCTTGTTTCAGAGAGAGAATGGAGTAAAGCAATGGGATGTTGTACTTACGGTTCTCTGAATGACCGCTCCCTCTCACTGGCTGACGGCCTCCTCTCCCTTCAAGAATACAAAGAGATATCAGAAAAGCCCCCAATTCATGCAGTCCCTGAGGCTCGTGGCTAAATTGCCATTCAGCACTGCAACATCATTGATCAGATGATATTACTGATTGCATTTTATATCCTAACCCCATTTAAACTCAAAGTCTTCTCATTTGCATTTGTGCAAGTGATGAATTAACTGACTCAGCAATCAGAAACTTCCTTCTCGTTTCAAATAGCAACATGGGATCTTTACCATCTAACTGAACAAGTGGATGGGACCTTGGTTTAACATCTCATCCACAGACATGTTCTTTCGACAATGCAGGGCTCCATCCCAACATTCAACAACCTTAGAGCTCAGGGGCAAGAGTGCTACAAACTGAGACAAGTTCAGTCACTTATCCAGGGCTTTGAATTCCAATTGATTGGTATATGGAGAGGTAAGCAGTTGCAGCTCAATGATTATTATTAACATGCACGGCCATGAGAAAATAAATATCGCACTGGGCAAAGCTCTTTGCTGAGATTTAACAGAGTCAATCAGTGCAATCTTGTTGGCTCTCTGAATGACACTTCTCTCTCACCGTTTGATGGCCTTTCCCCTTTCTCTGCAAAAACAGACAGCGATTTGGTGTCCTGATTACATTAATAACATGACCCGGTGCAAATAGACATCATTCAGGATACTAATAAAGTAAATCAGTGGAAACATATACTTACGGCTCTCTGAATGACCGCTCCCTCTCCCTTCAAAATACAAAGACAATCATCTGTTTTTCTGATTGTTATAAATGGAACTGTGAGCAAATAAACATTTTACTGCATACAGCTTGTTTCAGACAGAGAATGGAGGAAATCAATGGGATGTTGTACTTACGGCTCTCTGAATGACCGCTCTCTCTCACTGGCTGACGGCCTCCTCTCCCTTCAAGAATACAAAGAGATATCAGAAAAGCCCCAAAATCATGCAGTCCCTGAGGCTCGTGGCTAAATTGCCATTCAGCACTGCAACATCATTGATCAGATGATATTACTGATCACTTCTCATTCCCACACTGGCAATGCAGAAAGGCTACTTGCCCGGCCTNAAAAAAGACAACTTTCACCTCACCGATTAGAACAGGTGTTATGGATTCTGCTTCATACACTTTGTGGTACTGCATTTTATATCCTTGAGATATCGTGTAAAAATAAACGGAAATGCTCATTTTGTGCCATTTTTAACAATTGTGCAATTGGCTGCAATGTTTTGCACTCAAAACACACAGTCACTACACTTTACAGTGTATCCTGTGAAGCGCTTTGAAGCGTCTCAATGATGTGAGAATCATTGACTGTCCAGAGCGTTGGGACGTCCTCCCGACGTGAAAGGTGCTTTACAAATGTAATTTTGTTATTGTTGTTGTTGTAATTATTTGGTACTTACGGCTCCCTCTCGCAGACTGGTGGCTCCTCCCTTCAAAATACAAAGAAAGACAGAAATTTGGTTATCTGGTTACATTAATGTAACCACAAGCAAATACGTTAATGGATACAGCGTGTTTCAGAGTAAATGGAGCAAATAAGTGGTCCCGTTTGCCTGTTCAGGTGCATGGAGTAAATCAATGGGATGTTGTACTTACGGCTCTCTGAATGACCGCTCTCTCTCACTGGCTGACGGCCTCCTCTCCCTTCAAGAATACAAAGAGATATCAGAAAAGCCCCCAAATCATGCAGTACCTGAGGCTCGTGGTTAAATTGCCATTCAGCACTGCAACATCATTGATCAGATGATATTACTGATTGCATTTTATATCCTAACCCCATTTAAACTCAAAGTCTTCTTATTTGCATTTGTGCAAGTGATGCTTCCAGTTAACTGACTCAGCAATCAGAAACTTCCTTCTCGTTTCAAATAGCGATATGAGATCTTTACCATCTAACTGAACAAGTGGATGGGACCTTGGTTTAACATCTCATCCACAGACATGTTCTTTCGACAATGAAGAGCTCCATCCCAACATTCAACAACCTTAGAGCTCAGGGGCAAGAGTGCTACAAACTGAGCCAAGTTCAGTCACTTATCCAGGGCTTTGAATTCCAATTGATTGGTATATGGAGAGGTAAGCAGTTGCAGCTCAATGATTATTGTTAACATGCACGGCCATGAGAAAATAAATATCGCACTGGGCAAAGCTCTTTGCTGAGATTTAACAGAGTAAATCAGTGCAATCTTGTTGGCTCTCTGAATGACACTTCTCTCTCACCGTTTGATGGCCTTTCCCCTTTCTTTGCAAAAACAGACAGCGATTTGGTGTCCTGATTACATTAATAACATGACCCGGTGCAAATAGACATCATTCAGGATACTAAAAAAGTAAATCAGTGGAAACATATACTTACGGCTCTCTGAATGACCGCTCCCTCTCCCTTCAAAATACAAAGACAATCATCTGTTTTTCTGATTGTTATAAATGGAACTGTGAGCAAATAAACATTTTACTGCAAACAGCTTGTTTCAGACAGAGAATGGAGGAAATCAATGGGATGTTGTACTTACGGCTCTCTGAATGACCGCTCTCTCTCACTGGCTGACGGCCTCCTCTCCCTTCAAGAATGCAAAGAGATATCAGAAAAGCCCCCAATTCATGCAGTCCCTGAGGCTCGTGGCTAAATTGCCATTCAGTACTGCAACATCATTGATCAGATGATATTACTGATCGCTTCTCATTCCCACACTGGCAATGCAGAAAGGCTACTTGCCCGGCCTAAAAAAAGACAACTTTCCACCTCACCGATTAGAACAGGTATTATGGATTCTGCTTCATACACTTTGTGGTACTGCATTTTATATCCTTGAGATATCGTGTAAAAATAAACGGAAATGCTCATTTTGTGCCATTTTTAACAATTGTGCAATTGGCTGCAATGTTTTGCACTCAAAACACACAGTCACTACACTTTACAGTGTATCCTGTGAAGCGCTTTGAAGCGTCTCAATGATGTGAGAATCATTGACTGTCCAGAGCGTTGGGACGTGCTCCCGACGTGAAAGGTGCTTTACAAATGTAATTTTGTTATTGTTGTTGTTGTAATTATTTGGTACTTACGGCTCCCTCTCGCAGACTGGTGGCTCCTCCCTTCAAAATACAAAGAAAGACAGAAATTTGGTTATCTGGTTACATTAATGTAACCACAAGCAAATACGTTAATGGATACAGTGTGTTTCAGAGTAAATGGAGCAAATAAGTGGTCCCGTTTGCCTGTTCAGGTGCATGGAGTAAATCAATGGGATGTTGTACTTACGGCTCTCTGAATGACCGCTCCCTCTCACTGGCTGACGGCCTCCTCTCCCTTCAAGAATACAAAGAGATATCAGAAAAGCCCCCAAATCATGCAGTACCTGAGGCTCGTGGTTAAATTGCCATTCAGCACTGCAACATCATTGATCAGATGATATTACTGATTGCATTTTATATCCTAACCCCATTTAAACTCAAAGTCTTCTTATTTGCATTTGTGCAAGTGATACTTCCAATTAACTGACTCAGCAATCAGAAACTTCCTTCTCGTTTCAAATAGCGATATGAGATCTTTACCATCTAACTGAACAAGTGGATGGGACCTTGGTTTAACATCTCATCCACAGACATGTTCTTTCGACAATGAAGAGCTCCATCCCAACATTCAACAACCTGAGAGCTCAGGGGCAAGAGTGCTCCAAACTGAGCCAAGTTCAGTCACTTATCCAGGGCTTTGAATTCCAATTGATTGGTATATGGAGAGGTAAGTAGTTGCAGCTCAATGATTATTGTTAACATGCATGGCCATGAGAAAATAAATATCGCACTGGGCAAAGCTCTTTGCTGAGATTTAACAGAGTAAATCAGTGCAATCTTGTTGGCTCTCTGAATGACACTTCTCTCTCACCATTTGATGGCCTTTCCCCTTTCTCTGCAAAAACAGACAGCGATTTGGTGTCCTGATTACATTAATAACATGACCCGGTGCAAATAGACATCATTCTGGATACTAATAAAGTAAATCAGTGGAAACGTATACTTACGGCTCTCTGAATGACCGCTCCCTCTCCCTTCAAAATACAAAGACAATCATCTGTTTTTCTGATTGTTATTAATGGAACTGTGAGCAAATAAACATTTTACTGCATACAGCTTGTTTCAGAGAGAGAATGGAGTAAATCAATGGGATGTTGTACTTACGGTTCTCTGAATGACCGCTCCCTCTCACTGGCTGACGGCCTCCTCTCCCTTCAAGAATACAAAGAGATATCAGAAAAGCCCCCAATTCATACAGTCCCTGAGGCTCGTGGCTAAATTGCCATTCAGCATTGCAACATCATTGCTCAGATGATATTACTGATCGCTTCTCAATCCCACACTGGCAATGCAGAAAGGCTACTTGCCCGGCCTAAAAAAAGACATCTTTCACCTCACCGATTAGAACAGGTGTTATGGATTCTGCTTCAATCACACTTTGTGGTACTGCATTTTATATCCTATGAGATATCATGTAAAAAAAAACAGAAATGCTCATTTTGTGCCATTTTTAACAATTGTGCAATTGGCTGCCGTGTTTTGCACTCAAAACACACAGTCACTACACTTTACAGTGTATCCTGTGAAGCGCTTTGAAGCGTCTCAATGATGTGAGAATCATTGACTGTCCAGAGCGTTGGGACGTCCTCCCGACGTGAAAGGTGCTTTACAAATGTAATTTTGTTATTGTTGTTGTTGTAATTATTTGGTACTTACGGCTCCCTCTCGCAGACTGGTGGCTCCTCCCTTCAAAATACAAAGAAAGACAGAAATTTGGTTATCTGGTTACATTAATGTAACCACAAGCAAATACGTTAATGGATACAGCGTGTTTCAGAGTAAATGGAGCAAATAAAAGATCCTGTTTGCCTGTTCAGGTGCATGGAGTAAATCAATGGGATGTTGTACTTACGGCTCTCTGAATGACCGCTCTCTCTCACTGGCTGACGGCCTCCTCTCCCTTCAAGAATACAAAGAGATATCAGAAAAGCCCCCAAATCATGTAGTACCTGAGGCTCGTGGCTAAATTGCCATTCAGCACTGCAACATCATTGATCAGATGATATTACTGATTGCAATTTATATCCTAACCCCATTTAAACTCAAAATCTTCTTATTTGCATTTGTGCAAGTGATACTTCCAATTAACTGACTCAGCAATCAGAAACTTCCTTCTCGTTTCAAATAGCGACATGGGATCTTTACCATCTAACTGAACAAGTGGATGGGACCTTGGTTTAACATCTCATCCACAGACATGTTCTTTCAACAATGCAGAGCTCCATCCCAACATTCAACAACCTGAGAGCTCAGGGGCAAGAGTGCTCCAAACTGAGCCAAGTTCAGTCACTTATCCAGGGCTTTGAATTCCAATTGATTGGTATATGGAGAGGTAAGCAGTTGCAGTTCAATGATTATTGTTAACATGCACAGCCATGAGAAAATAAATATCGCACTGGGCAAAGCTCTTTGCTGAGATTTAACAGAGTCAATCAGTGCAATCTTGTTGGCTCTCTGAATGACACTTCTCTCTCACCGTTTGATGGCCTTTCCCTTTCTCTGCAAAAACAGACAGCAATTTGGTGTCCTGATTACATTAATAACATGACCCGGTGCAAATAGACATCATTCTGGATACAAATAAAGTAAATCAGTGGAAACGTAAACTTACGGCTCTCTGAATGACCGCTCCCTCTCCCTTCAAAATACAAAGACAATGATCTGTTTTTCTGATTGTTATTAATGGAACTGTGAGCAAATAAACATTTTACTGCATACAGCTTGTTTCAGAGAGAGAATAGAGTAAACCAATGGGATGTTGTACTTACGGTTCTCTGAATGACCGCTCCCTCTCACTGGCTGACGGCCTCCTCTCCCTTCAAGAATACAAAGAAATATCAGAAAAGCTCCCAATTCATGCAGTCCCTGAGGTTCGTGGCTAAATTGCCATTCAGCACTGCAACATCATTGATCAGATGATATTACTGATCGCTTGTCATTCCCACACTGGCAATGCAGAAAGGCTACTTGCCCGGCCTAAAAAAAGACAACTTTCACCTCACCGATTAGAACAGGTATTATGGATTCTGCTTCAACCACACTTTGTGGTACTGCATTTTATATCCTATGAAATATCATATAAAAAAAACAGAAATGCTCATTTTGTGTCATTTTTAACAATTGTGCAATTGGCTGCCATGTTTTGCACTCAAAACACACAGTCACTACACTTTATAGTGTATCCTGTGAAGCGCTTTGAATCGTTCAATGATGTGATAAGGTGCTATATCAAATGCAAGGACTATTTACCTCATATCAGAGAAGTAATCGGGTCTGAATCATTGACTGTCGAGAGCCTTGGGACATCCTCCCGACGTGAAAGGTGCTTTACAAATGTAATTTTGTTGTTGTTGTTGTTGTAATTATTTGGTACTTACGGCTCCCTCTCGCAGACTGGTGGATTCTCCCTTCAAAATACAAAGAAAGACAGAAATTTGGGTGTCTGGTTACACTAATGTAACCACAAGCAAATACGTTAATGGATACAGCGTGTTTCAGATGAAATGGAGCAAATAAGTGGTCCCGTTTGCCTGTTCAGGTGCATGGAGTAAATCAATGGGACGTTGTACTTACGGTTCTCTGAATGACCGCTCCCTCTCACTGGCTGACGGCCTCCTCTCCCTTCAAGAATACAAAGAGATATCAGAAAAGCTCCCAATTCATGCAGTCCCTGAGGTTCGTGGCTAAATTGCCATTCAGCACTGCAACATCATTGATCAGATGATATTACTGATCACTTGTCATTCCCACACGGGCAATGCAGAAAGGCTACTTGCCCGGCCTAAAAAAAGACAACTTTCCACCTCACTGATTAGAACAGGTATTATGGATTCTGCTTCAACCACTCTTTGTGATACTGCATTTTATATCCTATAAGATATCATATTAAAAAAATCAGAAACGCTCGTTTCATGCCATTTTTAACAATTGCTCCTCATTTCGCACATAAAACACACAGCTTTACAGCGTATCCTGTGAAGAGCTTTGAGGCGTCTTGATGATGTGATAAGGTGCTCTATCAAATGCAAGGGTTATTATTATTATGTTCAGCAATTAAATCCCATCAAAAAGAAAAACCGCAATCTTAGAACTCTGTTCCCCTGGATTGGAAGGTGCTGGGATCAGATCTTCCAGTCTAAAGCACCACCAAAATATTAATAATATAATAATCCTTGTATTTGATATAGCCCATTATCACATCGTTTCGACGTCTGAAAGCGCTCAAACCATAATCAAAATAAACAACTGATTGGATACAACTTGGAGTCCTTTAGGTATTGGTTAGAGCACTCGTTTTGCAAGCGAGAGGACCCGAGTTCGATTCCCGAGCAGGGCGAATCTTTAGGTAAGTTTTCTTACTTTACACGCCTGTTTAGCTAACAGAAAGTAGGAACTTTCTTGTTAGTCGATTGGTGGATCATTTTCCGGAGGTAACAATCCCTTCCAAAAATAAATGTAAAAAATAATAATTTGTCACTCAATCCGCGACAGTTTGTGTGACACTGCTGTGCGCAATTGGCTGCCGGGTTTTGTCCACAGTATATTCTGTGAAGCGCATTGAGACGTCGCAACGACGTGATAAGGCGTTATATCATATGCAACGATTATTATTAACGTGTTTCAAAGTGAATAAAGTAAACTTACGGCTCTCTGAATGACCGCTCCCTCTCCCTTCAAAATACAAAGACAATCATCTGTTTTTCTGATTGTTATTAATGGAACTGTGAGCAAATAAACATTTTACTGGATACAGCTTGTTTCAGAGAGAGAATGGAGTAAATCAATGGGATGTTGTACTTACGGCTCTCTGAATGACCGCTCTCTCTCACTGGCTGACGGCCTCCTCTCCCTTCAAGAAAACAAAGAAATATCAGAAAAGCCCCCAAATCATGCAGTCCCTGAGATTCGTGGCTAAATTGCCATTCAGCACTGCAACATCATTGATCAAATGATATTACTGATTGCACTTTATATCCTAACCCCATTTAAACTCAAAGTCTTCTTATTTGCATTTGTGCAAGTGATGCTTCCAATTAACTGACTCAGCAATCAGAATAAATAAATATCGCACTGGGCAAAGCTCTTTGCTGAGATTTAACAGAGTAATCAGTGCAATCTTGTTGGCTCTCTGAATGACACCTCTCTCTCACCATTTGATGGCCTTTCCCCTTTCTCTGCCAAAATAGACAGCGATTTGGTGTCCTGATTACATTAATAACATGACCTGGTGCAAATAGACATCATTCAGGATACAAATAAAGTAAATCAGTGGAAACGTATACTTACGGCTCTCTGAATGACCGCTCCCTCTCCCTTCAAAATACAAAGACAATCATCTGTTTTTCTGATTGTTATAAATGGAACTGTGAGCAAATAAACATTTTACTGGATACAGTTTGTTTCAGAGAGAGAATGGAGTAAATCAATGGGATGTTGTACTTACGGCTCTCTGAATGACCGCTCTCTCTCACTGGCTGACGGCCTCCTCTCCCTTCAAGAATACAAAGAAATATCAGAAAAGCCCCCAATTCATGCAGTCCCTGAGGTTCGTGGCTAAATTGCCATTCAGCACTGCAACATCATTGATCAGATGATATTACTGATCGCTTCTCATTCCCACACGGGCAATGCAGAAAGGTTACTTGCCCGGCCTAAAAAAAGACAACTTTCACCTCACCGATTAGAACAGGTATTATGGATTCTGCTTCAACCACACTTTGTGGTACTGCATTTTATAACCTATAAGATACATATTAAAAAAATCAGAAACACTCGTTTCATGCCATTTTTAACAATTGCTCCTCATTTTGCACATAAAACACACAGTCACTACGCTTTACAGCGTATCCTGTGAAGCGCTTTGAGGCGTCTCGATGATGTGATAAGGTGCTCTATCAAATGCAAAGGTTATTATTATTATGTTCAGCAATTAAATCTCATCAAAAAGAAAAACCGCAATCTTAGAACTCTGTTCCCCTGGATTGGAAGGTGCTGGGATCAGATCTTCCAGTCTAAAGCACCACCAAAATATTAATAATATAATAATCCTTGTATTTGATAATAGCCCATTATCACGTCTTCTCGACGTCTCAAAGCGCTCAAACCATAATCAAATAAACAACTGACTGGATACAACTTCGAGTACTTTAGGTATTGGTTAGAGCACTCGTTTTGCAAGCGAGAGGACCCGAGTTCGATTCCCGAGCAGGGCGAATCTTTAGGTAAGTTTTCTTACTTTACACGCCTGTTTATCTAACAGAAAGTAGGAACTTTCATGTTAGTCGATTGATGGATCATTTTCCGGAGGTAACAATCCCTTCCAAAAATAAATGTAAAAAATAATAATTTGTCACTCAATCCGCGACAGTTTGTGTGACACTGCTGTGCGCAATTGGCTGCCGGGTTTTGTCCACAGTATATTCTGTGAAGCGCATTGAGACGTCTCAACGACGTGATAAGGCGTTATATGAAATGCAAGGATTATTATTAACATGTTTCAAAATGAATAAAGTAAACTTACGGCTCTCTGAATGACCGCTCCCTCTCCCTTCAAAATACAAAGACAATCATCTGTTTTTCTGATTGTTATAAATGGAACTGTGAGCAAATAAACATTTTACTGGATACAGCTTGTTTCAGAGAGAGAATGAAGTAAAGCAATGGGATGTTGTACTTACGGCTCTCTGAATGACCGCTCCCTCTCACTGGCTGACGGCCTCCTCTCCCTTCAAGAATACAAAGAGATATCAGAAAAGCATCAAAATCATGCAGTACCTGAGGCTCGTGGCTAAATTGCCATTCAGCACTGCAACATCATTGATCAGATGATATTACTGATTGCATTTTATATCCTAACCCCATTTAAACTCAAAGTCTTATTTGCATTTGTGCAAGTGATACTTCCAATTAACTGACTCAGCAATCAGAAACTTCCTTCTCGTTTCAAATAGCGACGTGGGATCTTTACCATCTAACTGAACAAGTGGATGGGACCTTGGTTTAACATCTCATCCACAGACATGTTCTTTCGACAATGAAGAGCTCCATCCCAACATTCAACAACCTTAGAGCTCAGGGGCAAGAGTGCTACAAACTGAGACAAGTTCAGTCACTTATCCAAAGCTTTGAATTCAAATTGGATGGTATATGGAGAGGTAAGCAGTTGCAGCTCAATGATTATTATTAACATGCACGGACATGAGAAAATAAATATCGCACTGGGCAAAGCTCTTTGCTGAGATTTAACAGAGTCAATCAGTGCAATCTTGTTGGCTCTCTGAATGACACCTCTCTCTCAATGTTTGATGGCCTTTCCCCTTTCTCTGCAAAAACAGACAGCGATTTGGTGTCCTGATTACATTAATAACATGACCCGGTGCAAATAGACATCATTCAGGATACAAATAAAGTAAATCAGTGGAAACGTATACTTACGGCTCTCTGAATGACCGCTCCCTCTCCCTTCAAAATACAAAGACAATGATCTGTTTTTCTGATTGTTATTAATGGAACTGTGAGCAAATAAACATTTTACTGGATACAGTTTGTTTCAGTGAGAGAATGGAGTAAATCAATGGGATGTTGTACTTACGGCTCTCTGAATGACCGCTCCCTCTCACTGGCTGACGGCCTCCTCTCCCTTCAAGAATACAAGGAAATATCAGAAAAGCCCCCAATTCATGCAGTCCCTGAGGCTCGTGGCTAAATTGCCATTCAGCACTGCAACATCATTGATCAGATGATATTACTGATCGCTTGTCATTCCCACACTGGCAATGCAGAAAGGCTACTTGCCCGGCCTAAAAAAAGACAACTTTCACCTCACCGATTAGAACAGGTATTATGGATTCTGCTTCAACCACACTTTGTGGTACTGCATTTTATAACCTATAAGATACATATTAAAAAAATCAGAAACACTCGTTTCATGCCATTTTTAACAATTGCTCCTCATTTCGCACATGAAACACACAGTCACTATGCTTTACAGCGTATCCTGTGAAGCGCTTTGAGGCGTCTCGATGATGTGATAAGGTGCTATATCAAATGCAAGGGTTATTATTATTATGTTCAGCAATTAAATCTCATCAAAAAGAAAAACAGCAATCTTAGAACTCTGTTCCCCTGGATTGGAAGGTGCTGGGATCAGATCTTCCAGTCTAAAGCACCACCAAAATATTAATAATATAATAATCCTTGTATTTGATATAGCCCATTATCACATCTTTTCGACGTCTGAAAGCGCTCAAACCATAATCAAATAAACAACTGATTGGATACAACTTGGAGTCCTTTAGGTATTGGTTAGAGCACTCGTTTTTGCAAGCAAGAGGACCTTAGTTCGATTCCCGAGCAGGGAGAATCTTTAGGTAAGTTTCCTTACTGCACACGCCTGTTTATCTAACAGAAATTAGGAACCCAGTTGTTAGTCGATTGGTGGATCACTTTCTGGAGGTAATAATCCCTTCCAAAAATAAATGTAAAATATAATAATTTGTCACTCAATCCGCGACTGTTTGGGGGACACTGCCGTGCGTAATTCGCTGCTGGGTTTTGTCCACAAAATAGTGTCAATTCACTTTACAGTATATTTTGTGAAGGGCTTTGAGACATCTTCATGACGTGATAAAGCACTATATCAAATGCAAGGATTATTACTATTATTAACGTGTTTCAAAATGAATAAAGTAAACTTACGGCTCTCTGAATGACCGCTCTCTTTCACTGGCTGACGGCCTCCTCTCCCTTCAAGAAAACAAAGAAATATCAGAAAAGCTCCCAATTCATGCAGTCCCTGAGGCTCGTGGCTTAATTGCCATTCAGCACTGCAACATCATTGATCAGATGATATTACTGATCGCTTCTCATTCCCACACTGGCAATGCAGAAAGGCTACTTGCCCGGCCTAAAAAAAGACAACTTTTCACCTCACTGATTAGAACAGGTATTATGGATTCTGCTTCAACCACACTTTGTGGTACTGCATTTTATATCCTGTGAGATATCATATAAAAAACACAGAAACACTCATTTTGTGCCATTTTTAATAATTGTGCAATTGGCTGCAATGTTTCGCACTCAAAACACACAGTCACTACACTTTACAGTGTATCCTGTGAAGCACTTTGAAGCGTCTCAATGGTGTGAGAATCATTGACTGTCCAGAGCGTTGGGACGTCCTCCCGACGTGAAAGGTGCTTTACAAATGTAATTTTGTTATTGTTGTTGTTGTAATTATTTGGTACTTACGGCTCCCTCTCGCAGACTGGTGGCTCCTCCCTTCAAAATACAAAGAAAGACAGAAATTTGGTTATCTGGTTACATTAATGTAACCACAAGCAAATACGTTAATGGATACAGCGTGTTTCAGAGTAAATGGAGCAAATAAATGGTCCCGTTTGCCTGTTCAGGTGCATGGAGTAAATCAATGGGACGTTGTACTTACGGCTCTCTTAATGACCGCTCCCTCTCACTGGCTGACGGCCTCCTCTCCCTTCAAGATTACAAAGAAATATCAGAAAAGCCCCCAATTCATGCAGTCCCTGAGGCTCGTGGCTAAATTGCCATTCAGCACTGCAACATCATTGATCAGATGATATTACTGATCACTTGTCATTCCCACACTGGCAATGCAGAAAGGCTACTTGCCCGGCCTAAAAAAAGACAACTTTCTACCTCACCGATTAGAACAGGTATTATGGATTCTGCTTCAATCACACTTTGTGGTACTGCATTTTATATCCTATATGATATCATGTAAAAAATATCAGTAACGCTCTTTTCGTGCCATTTTTAACAATTGCTCAATTGGCTGCCGTGTTTTGCCCACAAAACACACAGTCACTACACTTTACAGTGCATCCTGTGAAGCGCTTTGAGGTGTATCGATGGTACCATGATAAGGTACTGTATCAAATGCAAGAGTTATTATTATTAGTAGTATTATTATGTTCAGCAGTTAAATTTTATCAGAAAGAATAACCCCAATCCTAGAACTCTCTGTTCCCCTGCACTGGAAGGTGTTGGGATCGATCTTCCATTCTAAAGCACCACCAAAAACAGAAGGTAATAATAATAATAATAATCCTTGCATTTGATATAAGCCCTTATCATGTCTTCTAGAGGTCTCAAAGCGCTTCACCGACTATACTGTAAAGTGTAAGGTCCCTTGGCACTATTCAAAAGAGAAGGCAGTATCTACCAGTTTCCTGGCCAGCAATCCCCCAAAACAAAATTGTTCACTGACTCCATGGCTTTTTGTGTGCAAATTGGTTGCCATGTTCACCTAGAAATTACACAGTTACTACACTTTATACTTCAAAAGCAAGTAAAAGCATGCATTTCTCTCTGATCTACCTTTCTGTTAAGTGAAACAAACTGTTTCCCTTTGTGGGACGCTGCTGTGCACAATTGGCTGCTGCGTTCCACCCAGAAAACACACAGTCACTACACTTTACTTTGAGGAGTATTATTATCTATCACAACCAGTTTCGGAGAGTGAATGAAATAAATCTGTGGAATCTTGAACATAAGGCTCTATGAATGACTGCTCCCTCTGGAAGATTGGCTCCCTTCAAATATACAAAGAGATACTTTACATTTTTAACATCATGATAAGCAACCGAAGCCCAGGAAAGAGAATGACTGAAATGCTTGAATTCTCTACTCCTGTTTTAGCAGATACAGAGACCATAGTTATATTCAAAAGTATAACCAAAAGTACATGGCAATTGACAAATATATCAGCAGCCTATCAAGTAAATAATATTTACTGAGGACCTGAATTAAGTAGTTAATGTTGGTACGTGGCATTGGACTTGGACCTTGAGAACATTAAAGTGGCTGGTATGTCACAAGCTGTCCTCTAAATATTCTTCCACCATCTGGAGGTAGATATCCTTCAAATAGCTGATGAGAAAACTCTGAGGCTGGGGACGACAGCTATTGGAAGGTGTTAGCTTGAGTCCTGTTTTGTGAACATATGCTCACATTTCCAACCTCGGGATGCATCTTGATTGGTTAGCGCAGAGGTAATCAACTATTTTCAGTCAAAAACAAATCTGCCTCTCATCTCCCCTCTCCCTTGCTTGTTGTCCAACTCTGTTCTGTTGAAGCACTTGGAGACATTACCCTACATGAAATGCACTATATAAATGTAAGTTGATATACGTACGCCTTTGTGAATAACGTCTCAGTCTCACTAACTGATGGTTCCGACTCCCTACAAAACACAAAGACATGGTTTCTGATTAAGTTATTAATGTGACCTTGAGCAAATAAACATCTTATTGGAAACGGCTTGGTTCAGCAAGTTAATGGAGTAAATCAATGGAATCTTAAACTTACGGCTCACTGGCGGACTCCGGGTTGTCAGGGGCTGACTGCCTAGTCTCCGTTCAAAAATACAAAGAAAGACAGAGATTTGGTGTTCTGATCATGTTATTAATATGACCACTCTATGACCTTGTTATTCCTAATAGTCCTATCCCATCTCCAGCTTGGAAGCTTCCTGCTATGACACTGCCACTGGAACAGGAATGGAAATGCATGTCTGAAACTGGCTTCAAACTGGCAAATCCTTGGTCTATGGAAATGGCCATTACAGTTGCAATTCATCCAGTGAGTAGTTTACTAGGATTCACCCTTTTTTACACACAGCATGCACGTTTGATAGTGTTTCTGCTGCACAGAAGAATAACAATAATAATATAATAATCCTTGCATTTCGAAAAGCACCTTATCACATCGTTGAGACATCTCAAAGAGCTTCACAGAGTATACTGTAAAGTGAATTGCGCACAGCAGTGTCCCACAAACAGTCATGGATTGAGTGACTTTTTTTTAGGGAATATTCGGGATATTGAAGAGTGGAATCATGTACTTACATCTCTTTAAATGACCGCTCCCTCTCACTGATTAACCGTGACTTCTGCCTTCAAAATACAAACACAGGTATATATCTTGGCATTTTTAACATTATGACACGTAATTAGAGAGAAAGATTGCAAAGAAAAAACTCTCTCCTCCCCTGATTTAGCAGATGTAATGACTATGACTTATATCAAAAGCACAAATATGAACGATTGTTTGTAGCAACTGAAAATAAGTATCAGCCCCCATAAAGCAAATAATAACTATTTATTTGGAAACATAGAGATAAATTGTTGGAATGGAATTCACACTCTCTCCTTGGAGGAATGCATTCTGCTTACCAAATTCTGGAGTGTATTAAACGCATTATTATTGTTATTATTACTTACTGCTCTCTCAGAAGGTTTCTTAATAATAGTTGCTCCCTCAAACTTTGCGGCCCGAAATCCTCCGGTCCTCTTTAAAATAAGTAAAGAGGCATTATAATCAAATACAAGAATTATTATTATGCCATTATTTAAGATACTTAATGAGATAGAGAACGTAAATCCATAAAAATATTTTCCACTACAACAATGCAGCATGCCTAATTGTTGGTTTGTTGGGCCTTTTATCATACCCTTATTTAGTAATTCAGTAGAGAGGATAAGCCTATTGATACTGCTGCTGCGGTAAATAAAAGTCCTCCTCCTGCTTTTCTAACCTTGCACAACTCAAAAAAGAAAAACAATGAGAAATGGAAAAGAAAATCAGCAGCTGTCCACTAGAAGCTAATCTGCCATGTGATCTTCCCTGCAGTTTAACAGGGAAAGGAGGGACAGTATTTAGTGTCTTGACCCCCTTCTGGAGCTCATTTCGGAGTTAGGGAGCCCTTTGGGAGTTAGGGAAAACAATTTTCCAAGAATTCTTTTTTTTCCCCAAAAAATAGTTTTGTTTTTTGCCCTGTTTTTGGCCTTTCCTAAGAGGAGAGCTATGCATAAAGTGAGGCAAGAGGCGTGAATGTGATGGCCTCTAGGCCTTCTTTCACTCCTTCTCCTTGATATGACACACAGTAGAACCTTGCCATAACATGCTTCGTTATAACACAGGTTTGCTTACAATGTAAATTGCATATGGACCCCATTCACTGCAGGTGCCCACAGCCAGCCAGTTCACATCCGCAAACTAACTCCTGAGACGAAAATGGACAATTCCTTTAGGTCATACATACAAAGTGAATGTGGAAGCACTAACCAGCAATCACAGCCATTATAAGGAGATTGGAATTTTATGGACCCAACTACTTGTGCTGTAATGGCTGGCCGCTGTTATGCATCTCTCCTTAGCATTTCTGACACCAAGTTGGAAACATGCAGGACAGACCAAAACAAAATTTAAAAAATGTAAGCCTCTTTAGCCTTGGAAAGAGATGGCACAAAGGGCCCTTCCAGAGCTACATATGGTGATAAATGTTACAGAGAAAACAAACACAGAATTTATATAAAGCAGGACTGGAGGATAGCTTAGTGTTATCAAGAACAATCTTGATTTTTTAATACAAACGTAATTTTGCATTGTATTTTGCAACAAACACTAGGAAGTATTTTGCAACACAGAGGATAATGGGATGCTACGACGGGAAGACAATAGGGTTGGTATTTTGGAAGAATGTGATTAAATGGGCAGAAAGGCCTTTGTCAATCAGGCTGTGCATTATCTAGAAATACCGCATGTTCCAGTTACTTTATCAATGTATCGGCAACAATATGTACTATAAACGTGAAATTAGTATCAAAAAGATTCCATATATCCCACAGACACACACACACACCATGCAGTTAGTCTGAGCAGTCCTCTCTCGATGAATCAATTATTGAACTCAAAAGCTTAGTCCAGAAGAATCCTGTATTTCGGTATTAAATACAACAACAACTTGCATTTATACAGCACCCTTCACACCAGACGGCATCTCAGAGCAGTATCTGAATAATGGCTGCCGATCAAACATGATATGAGAGTCCAGTACTGTATAACTATGACAATAAATTAAATTTTTCAGCTGCATCGTTGGTTCAATGGTGGTATTCTTGCCTCCCACATGGGAGGCCAGCATTCAATGCACTGAATGTCCCTGAGGAATGTGGCCTTTTCTTATCCATGACTTTTGAAGGACTTTATGCTGTACTTGCATAAATGTACACTTCCTGCTCTCCTATTAACATCTCCCTGCTTCAAATATACAGGAAATGCAAACGAGTACTGTTCGAATTTTTTTTATTTTATTAGAATCTGCACTCCACTGGAATGGAAAATAAACACACGATGTCCCCCACTGAAATATCATGCGATACTTGTGCATCTTAAGGAAGACTCGCACAACTAAGATTGCAATCACAACTTGCATTCTTATCCACGACTTTCAAAGGATTTGATATAGTAGTTACAGGCATTTGTTGTACTTACAGACTGTCTTCCTCTGACCTTGAAACATACAGAAAGTAAGAAGTCTCAGAAACAGTAATTCTCAGGTGAAGAACTCCCAAACTCATCATTATAAATTACAAAATAACTTGAATTTTCTATTTCCCGAAAAAATTTTCATAGAATTATACAGCACAGAAGGAGGCCATTCGGCCCATCACGTCCGTGCCAGTTCTTTGAAAAGAACTATCCAAATCAATCCCACTCCCCCGCTCTCTCCCCAGAGCCCTGCAAACTTGTCCTCCCCATTATCATTGAACCTTGTATTCATTCAAAGCTGCAACTGGCGACACTAACTCTGCTGAGTTATTATTATTATTATTATTATTATTACTACTGTGTGTTAATTTTTTTTAAAAATCTGTTGCAAATACCTGTATCAATGAGTGCCAGTGTGACTGACAACTGCTGTAAAGTTACTATGTTCCGAGACTGACAATCCAGTATATTGTTTTCAATACCAGAAATAATAGGATAAATATTATATTAAGAATGTTTGATTGTGAGTCTTTGGTTCCAATTTTGTTGGCAATGTGTTCTTGAACAAATAAGGAACAGCGATCCATTTTCTTAGATAGTTTGATTCAAGAATTGTAATGAAACAACACTGCATAGCGAATGTGTCGAACTTACTCAGTGAAGACATCCTCATCATCCATCCTTACAAAAAACAGAAAAAGCAAAGAATCAACATTGGAAATTCTCTTCATTTTACGTCTGTTACATCATATAACCGAATCAAAACTGACTTGTAAAACAATGAGGTTGTTGAATAAAGCAAGATATCCATACAATCATTCTGGGGTACTCTATGGACGTGGAGCATTATTCAAGATATTCTCTTTGACCGAGCCTTCAGCTCCCCTCTCGACTCTCTTCCCCCTCCTCGCTCCCTCCCTTCCCTCCCCTCACCCTGACCATTTCCCCCCTCCTCGCTCCCTCCCTTCCCTCCCCTCACCCTGACCATTTCCCCCTCCTCGCTCCCTCCCTTCCCTCCCCTCACCCTGACCATTTCCCCCCTCCTCGCTCCCTCCCTTCCCTCCCCTCACCCTGACCATTTCCCCTCTGCTCAGGTCATGACCCAACTGTGCAGCGCCTTGGGACGTCCTCCTGACGTGAAAGGCGCTTTATAAATGGAATCTTGTTGTTGTTGTTGTTGTTGTTGTGTGATGAGGAATGGGGGCTTATGTTTGGAGGTGACAGATTTTAAAGTTTGAAAACAAAAGTGGATGCAGGCTGCTTGGACATTTATGCAGCGCCAATGAATCATCTGTTGGTTCATAATTCCTAAACGAATACTTAATACTAATAATCCTTGCATTTGATAAAGTGCCTTATCAGGTCGTCAAGACGTCTCGAAGCACTTCAGAGACTATACTGTAAAGTGGATTGACTGTAGCCACAACGCAGCAGCCAATAATTAATTTAGGAGTTATGTAACCCCCAGAAAATCACTATCCCTTACTCCTTAATTTCTTTGCAAAATTATGCATCTCTCCTTAGCATTTCTGACACCAAGTTGGAAACATGCAGGACAGACCAAAACAAAATTTAAAAAATGTAAGCCTCTTTAGCCTTGGAAAGAGATGGCACAAAGGGCCCTTCCAGAGCTACATATGGTGATAAATGTTACAGAGAAAACAAACACAGAATTTATATAAAGCAGGACTGGAGGATAGCTTAGTGTTATCAAGAACAATCTTGATTTTTTAATACAAACGTAATTTTGCATTGTATTTTGCAACAGACACTAGGAAGTATTTTGCAACATAGAGGATAATGGGATGCTACGACGGGAAGACAATAGGGTTGGTATTTTGGAAGAATGTGATTAAATGGGCAGAAAGGCCTTTGTCAATCAGGCTGTGCATTATCTAGAAATACCGCATGTTCCAGTTACTATATCAATGTATCAGCAACAATATGTACTATAAACGTGAAATTAGTATCAAAAACATTCCATATATCCCACAGACACACACACACACCATGCAGTTAGTCTGAGCAGTCCTCTCTCGATGAATCAATTATTGAACTCAAAAGCTTAGTCCAGAAGAATCCTGTATTTCGGTATTAAATACAACAACAACTTGCATTTATACAGCACCCTTCACACCAGACGGCATCTCAGAGCAGTATCTGAATAATGGCTGCCGATCAAACATGATATGAGAGTCCAGTACTGTATAACTATGACAATAAATTAAATTTTTCAGCTGCATCGTTGGTTCAATGGTGGTATTCTTGCCTCCCACATGGGAGGCCAGCATTCAATGCACTGAATGTCCCTGAGGAATGTGGCCTTTTCTTATCCATGACTTTTGAAGGACTTTATGCTGTACTTGCATAAATGTACACTTCCTGCTCTCCTATTAACATCTCCCTGCTTCAAATATACAGGAAATGCAAACGAGTACTGTTCGAATTTTTTTTATTTTATTAGAATCTGCACTCCACTGGAATGGAAAATAAACACACGATGTCCCCCACTGAAATATCATGCGATACTTGTGCATCTTAAGGAAGACTCGCACAACTAAGATTGCAATCACAACTTGCATTCTTATCCACGACTTTCAAAGGATTTGATATAGTAGTTACAGGCATTTGTTGTACTTACAGACTGTCTTCCTCTGAACTTGAAACATACAGAAAGTAAGAAGTCTCAGAAACAGTAATTCTCAGGTGAAAAACTCCCAAACTCATCATTATAAATTACAAAATAACTTGAATAACTTCTATTTCCCGAAAATTTTTTCATAGAATTATACAGCACAGAAGGAGGCCATTCGGCCCATCACGTCCGTGCCGGTTCTTTGAAAAGAACTATCCAAATCAATCCCACTCCCCCGCTCTCTCCCCAGACCCTGCAAACTTGTCCTCCCCATTATCATTGAACCTTGTATTCATTCAAAGCCACAATTGGCGACACTAACTCTGCTGAGTTATTATTATTATTATTATTACTACTACTGTGTGTTAATTTTTTTTAAAAATCTGTTGCAAATACCTGCATCAATGAGTGCCAGTGTGACTGACAACTGCTGTAAAGTTACTATGTCCCGAGACTGACAATCCAGTCTATTGTTTTCAATACCAGAAATAATAGGATAAATATTATATTAAGAATGTTTGATTGTGAGTCTTTGGTTCCAATTTTGTTCGCAATGTGTTCTTGAACAAATAAGGAACAGTGATCCATTTTCTTAGATAGTTTGATTCAAGAATTGTAATGAAACAACACTGCATAGCGAATGTGTTGAACTTACTCAGTGAAGACATCCTCATCATCCATCCTTACAAAAAACAGAAAAAGCAAAGAATCAACATTGGAAATTCTCTTCATTTCACGTCTGTTACATCATATAAACGAATCAAAGCTGACTTGTAAAACAATGAGGTTGTTGAATAAAGCAAGATATCCATACAATCATTCTGGGGTACTCTATGGACGTGGAGCATTATTCAAGATATTGTGTGATGAGGAATGGGGGCTTATGTTTGGAGGTGACAGATTTTAAAGTTTGAAAACAAAAGTGGATGCAGGCTGCTTGGACATTTATGCAGCGCCAATGAATCATCTGTTGGTTCATAATTCCTAAACGAATACTTAATACTAATAATCCTTGCATTTGATAAAGTGCCTTATCAGGTCGTCAAGACGTCTCGAAGCACTTCAGAGACTATACTGTAAAGTGGATTGACTGTAGCCACAACGCAGCAGCCAATAATTAATTTAGGAGTTATGTAACCCCCAGAAAATCACTATCCCTTACTCCTTAATTTCTTTGCAAAATGGGAATGATTACATAATAACACACCACTTTCCTTTCACTCAGTCCAAATAACAAACTCGATCTCAAATTGACTGTGTACAAGCGGAAAGGGAGTTTGGGTTGTGCTTACAGGTATTCAGACAATCTGAGGCACAGAACACAAGAAAAACATTATTAGAAATGCTTTCTTCTGAACACAATAATTTTCGAGTTCTATTCATTCAGGACAAAATAAGTGTGTGATGTTATTCTCCACTTCCAGCAATTGTTTCTATTTAAATGAATGTGTAATACTGTTAACAATTAAGTCAATGTACAGCAGTTAGTACGATCAGATGGTGCCGCATTCCTGTGATGGTAACTGTGAGCCAAGTATACACTGAATGTTCGGATCACATTATATTTACCCAGCAAAACCCCTGAAATTGGTTCGTGTACGTTTTCAAAACAAATTTGTATTTCAGCGATATTACTATGTTGTGAAATTATCAAGAATGCCTAGAGATTGATTGTTAATGTTCTTGATTATAGAAAGGATTGTGTATACTGTGTTAATACAGTTATACTTATAGAAATTCAGTCTGTTTCCTCAGTAGGACCAGCTTAAAAAATGGCACTGCAATGTTGACTTCCTGCAGGCTGTCCATTAACAGTGATTCCTTCTTCCTATATATTGTCCCCATATATTTCTTCCTCGTCCCTGGCTTGTTTCGTTTGGAAAATTGCTGCTATAATTCGATACAGTGAAATATACTTACTCATCGTCAAAGAAATGGTCTTCCCTTCAGAAACACAAAGAAATATCACACGTTGATACTGTCATTTTCACATCAGAATACATAACCAAATGTCTGCATTCTGTACTCATTTGAAGTGGAGGCCATAACCTAAGGACCACATTCTGTATTCGTACCCACAATAAATAAAAGCAAGTTTACTGTGTGGTAACTCTTAATATTAGTTGTTGTAACTCATGTAGAGAAGTCTCAATTTGTGGAGTGTGCTTGGAACGAAGTACCACCCAGTCTAAGGTAATGAGGCCCTATCTTAGTATTTAAGAGCATTAAAGACTGTGGAAATGTTTCCATCGAGTGGTAATTTGGAAGCTAGACATTTTAAGAGCTGTAGAAAACCGGCTGTCAAATAAAGACTAAATATTATTTTTAAACAAAATGATTTTATATTAATGGGATTCTGGGTCTATGATCTTTACTATTCACTCACTTATCATTTCCTTATTCAGCCCCGGCGTCCCTCTGGTTTGTATCTAGAGCCAGATGTCGCTCTGAAACAGTTGTAGAGCTCTCAACTCGAGATCAGTCAATTGTGCGCTCAAGCTCCAGGTCAGGACTTAAAGCCTTCAGTCTCGGCTGATACTGCAGTGCCTGACCCGAGCAGCTCTGCCTTGTCTTTCAGCTCACCGTTAAAACAAGGAACATTCTCCTTGTTCAGGTGAACAACAACAGTGACAGCTGCATTTATTAGCACCCTGCACATCAGGTAGAGTCCCGGAGCGCTTGAATGTTTGAGATCCCATGGCATTTTTTTCCCTGTGGACGAGCCAACAATCCTCCAGATAAATTGGTCATTTAGTCCACGGTTACTCATATGGCATCAATTGGCATTGGCTACAAATATACACTAGACAGCAATTACCATCCAAAGCCGTTTGACATTATTGGTACTTTATCAAATGTTAGGATTACTATTACTGTTAAAATTGTAGCAAGTGAGGGAATTATACTTACATATTTGCTAAGGGGAGATCACTTCAAACAGAAAAAAGAACAAACATTTTTGATCTGTTTGTATACAATTGACTTAATCAAGATCAAAAACATTCAAGATATCAAATAGCAGCAGTAACTTTATGTAACGACTGAAGACAATATTTAATATTTAATTTCCATACTGCAATGCTGTAACAATTAAGTTCATGTGCAGCAGTTCAGTGCTGTGATTATACAATCAGATTGCGCTGCAATCCTGTGATGGCAACTGTGGGGCAAGTAAACACTAAATTGCCCAGATTACAATATATTTATCCAGCAAAACCTCTGAAATTGAATCATATAAGTTTTCAAGCTAAAATTGTATTTCAGTGATATTACTCTGTTGTGAAATTATCAAGAATGTCTAGAGATTGAGTGTTAATGTTCTTAATTATAGAAAGGACTGTGTATACTGTATTAATACAGTTAATTCTCATTAGAAGCTAATAGTTGAACTGGGGGGGGGGGGTCCATAAAATTCCATGCACACACACCCGCCCTATAATGGAGCAAAATTGCCAGTCAAGGCGTTTTCCTTCACTGTGCATGTCTTCAGAAATTCAGTCTGTTTCCTCAGTAGGACCAGCTTAAAAAATGGCACTGCAATGTTGACTTCCTGCAGGCTGTCCATTAACAGTGATTCCTTCTTCCTATATATTGTTCCTATATATTTCTTCCTCGTCCCTGGCTTGTTTCGTTTGGAAAATTGCTGCTATAATTTAATACAGTGAAATATACTTACTCATCATCAGAGCACTGGTCTTCCCTTCAGAAACACAAAGAAATATCACACGTTGATACTGTCATTTTCACATCAGAATACATAACCAAATGCCTGCATTCTGTACTCATTTGAAGTGGAGGCCATAAACTAAGGACCACATTCTGTATTCATACCCACAATAAATAAAAGCAAGTTTACTGTGTGGTAATTCTTAATATTAGTTGTTGTAACTCATGTAGAGAAGTCTCAATTTGTGGAGTGTGCTTGGAACGAAGTTCCACCCAGTCTAAGGTAATGAGGCCCTATCTTAGTATTTAAGAGCATTAAAGACCTTGGAAAATTTTCAATCGAGTGGTAATTTGGAAGCTAGACATTTTAAGAGCTGTAGAAAATCAACTGTCAAATCAAGACTAAATATTATTTTTAAAACAAATGATTTTACATTAATGGGATTCTGGGTCTATGATCTTTACTATTCACTCACTTATCATTTCCTTATTCAGCCCCGGCGTCCCTCTGGTTTGTATCTAGAGCCAGATGTCGCTCTGAAACAGTTGTAGAGCTCTCAACTTGAGATCAGTCGATTGTGGGCTCAAGCTCCAGGTCAGGACTTAGAGCCTTCAGTCTCGGCTGATACTGCAGTGCCTGACCTGAGCAGCTCTGCCTTGTCACAGGTTCGTCTTTCAGATCACCATTAAACAAGGAACGTTCTCCTTGTTCAGGTGAACAACAATAACGACAACTTGCATTTATTAGCACCCTGCACATCAGGTAGAGTGCCGGAGCGCTTGAATGTTTGAGGTCCCATGGCATTTTTTTCCCTGTGGACGAGCCAACAATCCTCCAGATAAATTGGCCATTTAGTCCACTGTTACTCATATGGCATCAATAGAGCAATTACCATCCAAAGCAAGTGAGGGAATTATACTTACTCGTTTCCTGAGGGGAGATTCCTTCAAACAGACAAAAGAACAAACATTTTTGATCTGTTTGTATGCAATTGACTTATACAAACGTAATCTTGTTGTTTTTGTTGTTGTTAATCAAGATCAAAAACATTCAAGACAGCAAATAGCAGCAGTAACTTTATGTAACAACTGAAGACAATATTTAATGATGAGTTTCCGTACTGTAATAGTGTAACAATTAAGTCGATGTGCAGCAGTTCAGTGCTGCGATTATACGATCAGATTGCGCTGCGATCCTGTGATGGTAACTGTGGGACAAGTATACACTGAATTGCTCGGATTACATTATATCTATCCTCAGAAATTGGTTTGTTTCCGTTTTCAGGATAAATTTGTATTTCGGTGATATTACTATGTTGTGAAATTATCAAGAATGTCTAGAGATTGAGTGTTAATGTTCTTAATTATAGAAAGGACTGTGTATACTGTATTGATACTGTTAGAATCTCATCATAAATTAATAGTTGAGGCGGGAAGGGTGGAGGGGGGTCTATAAACTTCCACACACACACCCCCGCCCCACCTTATAATGGAGCAAAATTGTCAGTCGATTTTGAGTGTATTATACTTACAGATTTTCAAAGGGGTACATCCTTCAAAGAGACAAAAAGAACAAACATTTTTGATCTGTTTGTATACAATTGAATTAATCAAGATCAAAAGCATTCAAGATATCAAATAGCAGCAGTAACTTTAAGTGATAACTGAAGACGATATTTAATAATGAGGTTCTGTACTGAATTGATTGTATTGTTGTAAAACGAGTCTCTGATGCTTCAAATGTGAAATTGTGTAACAAACGTTCAAACTTAGAAATAATATTTCAAGATTCCAATGAAAAGCTATGTGATATACACTGTATTGTAAGTTGTTCTTACCTCCCACCAGGACTCCTTATGTTATCCCTACGAGCAAATAAAATCATTTTTCCGTCAAGATGTTCTCCGAGTGCTTTACATTTGAGCGCTCAAGCCCGCAGGAATTAAGGGGATTAGTTGAGGCGGGTGAAAAAGGTGACTGAAAGCGCGGTCAAAGAGTTCGGTCTTAAGGCTGGCTTTAAAAGTGGGGATGGAAGGGATTCTCGGAGGGACTGTGGGTTAGGCTTTCAGAGAACAGTAACAGAATGGCTAAAAGCTTGCCCACTGATGGTGGGACAGATGGCGAAAGGGGGTATGAATCATCAAGAACTGCTCTCGGTAACCTTTTTCATATTCTGTTCAATTAATCAAAATGATTCAAGATCAGGGCAATCGTAGTGATCTTTGAAATGTGTTTGAAATGAGTGTGTACGCTAATAACTAAATTAGCACGTAACTGGGTTGTGAACATGGCGCATGTGTGCTGCATTCCTCCGATATGTAGCACTGTTAGGATTTGAGCATGCAATGAATTGTTCCAATTATTAATCGAGTCTGTAACACTAAAAATTATGAGTAGCACTTTCTAAGATGAATCTGCATTTCAGAGGGACAATCGTGAAATCAGGGGTTCAAATTTGCAATAACAATAACATTTGCTCCAGACAGTAACAAGCTAAACAGCAAGTATTCAATATCCTCAATACCAAGAATGCCATAACATTGAGATCAGTTTCACAGCTATGGGAGTCTGAAGCACTGAACGTTTTGTTAATGTGAGCTGATAATCAGCAATGCTTTCAGCTTTCTTTACTAAGCTACTGTAATTCCGTGCAATGTACATTTTGAGCTTACCGGAATGCTGCTAACTTTTGCACTGCCTTTCTAAAATACAAAGAAAGGAACATTAGCAAAAACTATCATTGTAATTTTTTATAATCCGCCAAGACAAATGATGTGCAGCAACAAATTAAATTTGGGGCTAACAGTGGAGATTTTCTTTCAAAAACAAACAGAGAAAATGTTAGACGTTAGCTAGTTTCAAAAGAATATTGTAGAAATTCAGCACGAATATGTTGTACTTACAACAACAACAACAACAACAAGATTCCATTTATAAAGCGCCTTTCACGTCAGGAGGACGTCCCAAGGCGCTGCACAGTTGGGTCATGACCCGAGCAGGGGGGAAATGGTGAGGGGAGGGAAGGGAGGGAGCGAGGAGGGGGGAAATGGTCAGGGTGAGGGAGGGAAGGGAGGGAGCGAGGAGGGGGAAGAGAGTCGAGAGGGGAGCTGAAGGCTCGGTCAAAGAGAATCAGTGTAGGTTAATTACGGATCAGTGTAGGTTAATTTCTTGAAGCTTTGAAGGTATAAAAATGTAACACAATCAATTGTTATTGGCTTTTTTCCCAGGATATTGATGTAGAGATCAACATTAGCATAAACACGGCGGAGATGATGGATACAAAAGGGAATCGTGAAGTATAGATGGGGGAAATAGGTGGGGGCTCATGTGTGGCACAAACACTGGCGGGAACTAATTGGGGTGAATGGCGTTTCTATGTAGTTTCATTCTATGTAATTCCACGGAGGTAAATTACATTTGGTTTGCTCTCCTGCTTTTGCTCTCCTGCTCATTGACCTATGACTCTCTGAGAGTTTTGAAAAACAACCTTTTAGCAGTTTGGGATATCCTCCCAACGTGAAAGGCGCTATAAATAAACATAAAGTGTTATTGTTGTTTTTATGTTATTGAAACACCGAATGCACAACCAGCTCTTTAACGACATTTTTAAAGGAACTGGTTTTGTTGTTCTGAGAACATGTCAAAGTGGAGGTGAGGATGGAAGGAGTGAAGAAGTTGGCTGTTTGTAAAAATTGATCCCATTTAAACTTCACGTAGTTTATATTTATAATTTGTCCTCCTGGAGGGGAAGGTTTTCTGGTACAGATACTATAGGGATAAGGGAAGCAGAGATAGGGAAGTATGGGAAAGGGAGTCAGCGCAAGGGATACTCTTCCACGTGAGAAATGACGTTATTGTATTTATTTGTGTGCTTGTGTAGGGATTCAGCAAATAAATCATACTTACTGTTCCGTTAAATTTTCTGGTGGCAGCCTTGTAAAATATCCAAAACAAGAAAATGTCACCACAAGTTCTTACTCTGTTTTCCACAAGAATTCTGACACCATCTGCAAGTGCTCTGTCATAAAACCATTCGGATTCTCTAGGGTGTGTGTGAGGGGCAGCGAGGGTGTGTTTGTGATGGGTTGTATGAGAGGGGGTGTCAGTTTTTGTTTTGGGTTTGTCAGTACACAGCAACAGTATACATGAAGTTGTTTCAAGCGGTAGGTAAAGATCAAAGAGTAGATAGCGCTGGTAGTGCAACTATGAAGAGAATTAAGCACTCTAACTTTAAAACATTTTTTTATTCAATTATTCAATTAAAACATGGATAGTACTCTATATTTAATGAATAAACTTATTCTGTATTTAATGATCGTCTAGACCTGGTATATATGACAGCAGACTAAGTGCGCTTCACTCAAAAAACTGCCACATTTGCTACAGAAAACATGTGCCAAGTTATTTATGGAGTGCTTTGGGTAGTTTCAACATTATAAGTGCCATAAAAAGGCCATTTTTCTGATACAACTTTTTTTCAAGCAGTAGTGAATGTGTCATACTTACACATCACTGAAAGATAGCCTCCTCCTTTGAAAAGAGAAAGAAGATATCATCAGGGTTGACACTGGTATTGTTCACATCCCATCAGTAGCCAGAATCAACAACAACAACTTGGACTTATATCACGCCCCTACACGCAGGGTAGAGTCTCAGAGCGCTTAACAGTGGCGGAGTCTGACTCTCTATAGCAGGGGGAGGGGGGAAGTGGACGTAAGCACAGTTGAAGATGGAGGTCTTCGGGCAGGACTTAAAAGAGGGGAAAGAGGGGGCAAGGTGGAGGGATTGAGGGGGTGTTCCAGAGTTGTTTTTTTACAGAGTCCAGGCAGTCGGTGTGAGGGACGATCAGGAGGCTGGTGCCAGTCGAGCGGAGGTGCATTTGGATTCTCTATTCCCCTGAAAGGGAAAGGACAACACTGGGAGAAACTTCTCTTTTTGCCAAATGTTATGTGTCCCTTAACATCCACCCGATCAGACAGGTGGGACCTCACTCAGTTTAACTTCTCACCAGAAGGACGACACCTCTGCTTTGATACTGCAGAGCTCCCCCAACACTGGACTGGAGTGTTAACTCAACTGCGACTACTTCAATGTAGCATTACGAAACAAGTGTACCACACAAGGGTATAAAGTAATATGCGAGCAGTATTGTGGGATGAGTCAGGAATTGGTCAAACGCTCCCCAAAATAACCGATTCTGTGCAGTAAAAAATATAACTCAGTCTTTGCTTCCCAAACTGCAGCCACAATCAGTCTCCTGATGAGAAGAAATCAATCAGCCCCTCTAACAAATGTGTTGAATCAACCCTGAGGCAACCACCAAAAATAAAAGTTTTAACCGTACATCATAGGTACCCTTCCTAATTTGAGCAAAAGAACACATATTGCCAAAACACAGTGACAGATAGTCAACCTACAGCACTTGAAGTAAAAAATATATACTTGTAAATAAAGAGTAATTGGGCCTATTGCATTTTTCTCACTGTCTTTCTTAATTATCATTGCTGTTGTACGTACGGAATTGTGCAATGCAGTTCCATGTCATCTCTGAAAATCCAAAAAAGAATCAGAAATTCTCTCTTGCTGCATCATTTCAATCACATCAAGGTCACGGAACTGCTCTAGAGAGCCCAAATATATATTTCATTCAAAAACCACGAGTGGCAACAACTCTTTTATGTTAAGTGAAAATATATGCTGCGTTTCTTGACGATGAGTCCCCTTTGTTAAATGTAAAGCGACTATTGTTGTGATTGTGAAATAAGTCTGAACTGCTGTTCTGCGATGACGAATCAATGAGCGCAGGATTGCAATTCTGCAATGTTTGCTATAGGTGCTATATTTGTGAAACTGTGCCAGTACTTGTTGCCCTGTTTAGGATTTCTATGACATATGCATTCAATGGAATGCTGACATTGAGGAAAATATGATTACCCACAAATATGGAGTCTTTATTTTTAAAAGGAATGAAAAACATCCTTCACACATTGATAGTTTAGGAACATAGGAAAACAGGAACAGGAGGAGGCCATTAAACCTGTTATCAGTCAGTTTACTAGATCTGGGCAGTTCTTTTTGTCCCAATGCTCTGCCCTTTCACCATAGTGTAGAGTCTCCTAGTGTAGTGGTTAGTGAGCTCGACTTGGGTTTGATTCCCGGACGGGGCAAAACCTTAGGCAAGTTTTGTTACTCCGCACGCCTCTGTTTACCTAGCAGTAAGTAGGAACCCGAAGTAGGTCGTTAGCCAGTTGGCAAATCGCTCTCTGGGAGTAATAAACAAACCCGCACCCCCAGGAGGATAGGCACTAATTGGTCGTTGGACATCCAGCAAGCGTAGGTTTGAGCCCTCATTAGGTGGATCGTAGGTACCAGTAATTCCCTGTGAGATTCCCAGTGAGCAACACTGTTCAGCATGAAATAGGAATAATAGAAAAGACTGTTTGTTGAACTTACTCAGAAACAGAAGAACGTTCCAATGGCCTTGACAATAAAAGAAACTTTAATTGTATTAATTATGCTCTCTTGGCATTATTTACAGCCGTAAAATAACTGCTTGTTATAAACATTCAAATTTTCAGCCTCTTGCTATAATTATGCATTAGAACAATTTATTAAATATTGCAGTGTACAGTATCACTGTTCCTGCTCCGTATGAAGGACGCAGGTTGTTGCTGTGTGAAGTGTCTTGCGCTGTGTATATGTGTGTGTATAAATTATGTGAATTTAGGGAAGTGAAGGTGTCAACATTTGACGACGTGGAGTCCTGTCGCTCAGTGGTTAGAGCACTCGCTTTGCAAGTGAGAGACCTGAGTTCAATTCCAGGCAGAGCGAAACCTTGGGCAAGTTTCCTTACTCCACACAGAGCCTAATAATAATCCCTCCAAAACCAAAAACAATAATAAATTGGTCATTTTCAATCTACGACTGTTTGTGGGACATTGCTGTGTGCAATTGGCTGCCGCGTTCGCCCACAAATATACAGTCAATTCACTTTACAGTGTGTTCTGTGAAGCGCTTTGGGACGTCCTCCCGACGTGAAAAGCGCTATATCAAATGCAAGGATTATTATTATTATTATTATAACTTGAAGGGGTATGGGGATAAGGCAGGGTGATGGGACTCACCTCCTTGCTCTGTGAGCTGGTATAGGCTTGATGGGACGAATGACCCTGGCAATTTCTATGTTCTATTTGAATATTTCAATACTTTGATCATTTAACTGATTGGGAGTCTGGCGTTCTGATTTTGTTGCCAATGTGGCCATAAACACATAAGGAATGACGATTGCAGCTTATTGGACAGAGGCTGTTCGGAATGTTAATGAAGGAATGCAGTGCAATGAATCCGTGTGGTACTTACATCAATGATGAGTCGTCTGAAAAACTACCAAATTGTGAAACAAAAAATAATTGTAAGAAATTGTCTCCTCATTATTTTTCACAGTCTATCAGAATGTACAGATTATTCTTAGAACCCATCAGATGGACACAATGTTATTTTCCTGTTCCTATAAACTCCTATGTTGGTAATGGATACAACAACAACAAGATTGCATTTACAGAGCGCCTTTCACGTCAGGAGGACGTCCCAAGGTGCTGGACAGTTGGGTCGGGACCCGAGCCTTGGGGGGAAATGGTCAGGGTGAGGAGGAAGGGAAGAAGCAAGGCAAAGGCACTGGGGATGGAGTTCCAGAGCCTCGGGGCTGAGAGGCTGAAGGCCCTGCCACTGATGGTAGGGCGGTTAGGGCGGGGGGTGTGGAGCAGACCGGAGCCAGAGCAACTTTGAATAACTCTGATATGATAACTCTGAAATGAGTGCATACCATGAGAATGCACTCGTGGTGTTTAAATTAAGCTCTCGTGCTATTTTAGAAAACTAGCCTGCAGTTCTATGATCTTAAGGAGCAGTGATTCTACTTTATTTTTTGGATAGAGATTGCTCAAAAGATTCCAGTAGTGCACTGAATGAATGGAACTCACTCATCAAGCAATGGGTTTTCTGACTTAGCAAAATACAAAACAAAGAATACGCTTTCTCTCCTCTTAATTTTTCACTTTGACACAACCCACGACCCATTGCCTCCACTTGACTGGCTCCGGGCCCCTTCATGTCCCTTGTGCCCTCTGCTCCACTATCGGCGTCCACACTTTCAGCCACTACGGTCTGAAACTCTGGAACTGAATTCTCCCTCCATCCCTCCGCCTTGTCCCTTCCCTCCCTTATCTCCAGCACCTGAAAACCTTCCTCTTTAACTGTGCTCCCCCCACCCCATTGGTACTCCACCATTGTCAAGCGCGCTGGGATGTTTCCCTGTGTGAGCGTCGTTATATAAATGCAAGTAGTTGTTGTTCAATGGTGTAATTCAGCACTTACTCTGTTTCATCTCGTGTTGTGTCCGCTGCCAAGCTACCAAAAAGCAAAAAAAAAATATTTGTTAGAAATACTCGTGTCATTATTTATGTTACGATATGCATGTTATTCTTGGAACCCATTCGTCTAAAACTACGTCACTTCACAATATATCTGTGAAATGTTTCAAGACATCCTCCCGACTTGAAAGGCATGAAAGCAAATAGAGTGGAAGCCGCTTAAGGGCTGACCATTTTGTCCCGCTACCAAAGTAAACCCAGAACAATTCTATCAGATGCACAAAGTCAGCACAACCTGGATTCTAAGAGATTTGAGTTGCAAAATCGCTTTCCAGGACAGACACCAGGAAGTATTTCTTTACCCAAAGATTAATTAACACCTGGAACAGGTTGTCAGGAAGGATAGTTGAGGCTACTTGAAGTCAACACCCTGGACTAATTTAAAACAAAATAGTATAATGCTTGGATGAGAAGACAGTAGGAAGAGTATTCTGGCAAGGTGAGATCAAATGAGTCAAAAGGCCTTCGTCATCCAAACCAATCTTGCATAAAGGTGGAAGGTATTAAACTGTGTCCACGTAACAACTATAAGATAGCAGATCTAAAAGGGAGTTTAGGAGGAGGTTCTTCTATGACAGTGGAATGTGGAACTTACTGCTGAAAGCTGTGACTAAAGCGAAAAGCATCAACTTATTTAAGAGGATGCACCCAAGAAAGGGCAGGAAATAGAGGGATATGCGAAAGAGGATTAGGAGGGCTGGAGGCTCATGTGGAATATAAACCCCCATAATGGACCAGTTGACCCGAATGGCCTGCTTCCATTCACTAACTTTCTACATAATTCTACGAAAGTGTATTGTGGAGTCCTGTAGCTCAGTGGTTAGAGCACTCGCCTCACAAACGGTTCAATTCCTGGCAGGGCAAAATGTTGGGCAAGTTTCCTTACTTCATACCCCTCTGTTCACCTAGCAATAAGTAGGAACCCGGTTGTTAGTCGATTGGCGGATCGCTTTTCCAGGGATAATAATTCCTTCAAAAAAATAATAATAATAATAAATTGGTCACTTCAATCCATGACTGCTTGTGGACACTGCTGTGCGCAACTGTCCGCCACGTTTCGCCCACAAAATACATAGTCAATTCACTTTATAGTATATTCTGTGAAGCGCTTTGAGACGTCTCAAAGATGTGATAAAGCGCTATATCAAATGCAAGGGTTATTATTATTATTTATATGGTGTGATACCATGAACAAATAAAGAACAGTAATTCCACTTTACCGAATAGAGGTTGTTTGGGAATAAAGTAACTCAGTACACTGAATGTACTTACGTCTTATAGCGTAACTCCCTTGAAGTGTCTCTGGAGTACAGAACAAAAAACAATTATGAATAAATCTGTCCTCGTTATTTTTTACATTACGTCACAATGTGCACATATTGTCTGGGATCTGCCCAGTGCTCATTGTAGTTGCTTTACACTATTGTAGTTGCTTTACACTCACCCCCACTCACTGTCCCCTCCCCCTCTCCCCCTCCCCCCGCCCCTCTCCCCCCCCCACTCACTGTCCCCTCCCCCTCCCCCCCCCCCACTCACTGTCCCCTCCTCCTCTCCCCCTGCCCCCTCTCCCTCTGTCATAAAGTGACTATGCTCCTTGGTGGGAGGTAAACAGGATCGTCTAAGAGCTGGACAGACTTGGAGCCGGGCTGCTCTGTGTCCCCGACACAACCCACCATCGCTGGTCGGGCTTTCTGTCCCTGGCCTTTGGAACTCCATCCCACAGTCCCTTCGCCTCGCCCCCTCCCTTGCCTCCTGTGCCTCCCGACGTGAAAGGCGCTCTATAATGTAGTGGAGTCCTGTAGCTCATTGGTTAGAGCACTCGCTTTGCAAGTGAGAGACCCGAGTTCAGTTCCAGGCAGGTCAGGGCGAAACCTTGGGCAAGTTTCCTTACTCCACACACAGCCCTAATAATAATCCCTCCAAAAAAACAAAAACAATAATAAATTGGTCATTTTCAATCTACGACTGTTTGTGGGACATTGCTGTGCGCAATTGGCTGCTGCGTTCGCCCACAAATATACAGTCAATTCACTTTACAGTGTGTTTTGTGAAGCGCTTTGGGACGTCCTCCCGACGTGAAAAGCGCTATATCAAATGCAAGGATTATTATTAGTATTATTATTATTATTATTATTTACACTGAGAATAAAGTGTGGTGTTGTTATCATTAAGCTCCATGCTGCATTAGGAAATTGGTGTCCAGTACTATGAATATGAACAAATGAAGAAGTGATTTCAACTTATTATCCAGAAGAGTAATTCGATGCATTGAATACTTACATATCCGAGGCAGACTTCTGCAATAACGTCCTAAAATACAAAGCAAAGAATTGTAAGCAAATAGTTATGAGAAATTCTTTGCATATATTTCTTTCCACATTTCATCACAATATATCACAATAAGCACATTATTCATAGGACCCATCAGGTAGTTCCATATATCCCAAAACAAAAATAACAGCACATTTTCTGTGTGATAATTTTCAAAATATCTAAAGGTTTGGTCCTTCTATTTTGATCATTGATAACATTCTACATCATTCTATTTTATAATTCAGTTTATACAATGTGTGATACCACGAACAAACAAGGATTCCATCTTACAGAGTAATTCTGTCTGGAAATACAGTAATTCTGTACAGTGAATGTGTTGTACTTACGGCGTAGGGAGTGACTGTTTTGGAACCTCACTAGAGAACAAAATAAACAATAATTATGAGCAATTCTGTCCACGTTATTTTTCACATCATGTCACAATATGCACATTTTGTTCGGGATCTGCCAGATGGAAAATATAATAATAATAATAATAATAATCCTTGCATTTGATATAGCGCTTTTCACGTCTTCTAGACATCTCAAAGCGCTTTACAGAATATATTGTAAAGTGAATTGTATATTTGTGGGCGAAATGCAGCAGCCAATTGGGCACAGCAGTGTCCCACAAACAGCAGTGGATTGAAGTGACCAAATTATTATTGTTTTTTTCTTGAGGGATTATTATCAGGCGTGTGGAGTAAGGAAACTTGCCCAAGGTTTCACCCTGCCGGGAATCGAACCCAGGTCTCTCGCTAGCAAGGCAAGTGCTCAAACCACTGAGCAATAGGACTCATCCTTTGTCAAACAGTCAGAACTATATGTATCATATCGATATCCCAAACCAAAAACAACATTATATGGTCTGTGTGATAATATTCAAAAATATCTAAAGATTTGGTCCTTCTATTTTGATCATTGATAACATTTTACATCATTCAATGAAAGTTTATATAATGTGTGATACCACGAACAAACAAGGAATAGTGATTCCACCTCTACAGAATCGAGATTGTTTGGAAATACAATACTTCTGTACACTGAATGTGTTGCACTTACGTCCTAGGGAGTGATTGCTTTGAAGCCTCACTAGAGAACAAAACAAACAATATTTATGAGCAATTCTGTCCTCGTTATTTTTCACATCATGTCACAATATGCACATTTTGTTTGGGACCTGCCAGATGGAAAATTAGTGTGCAGGACTATGAATAAATAAAGAACAAGGATTTCATCTTATGATCCAAAGATAGTTTGAAATTTAAGAATAATTTAATCAATAGAATACTTACGCCTCTCTTAATGACTTCTCCGACAACCTTCTACAATACAAAGCTAAGAATTATAAGCTAATAATTATCAAAACATTCTCTCCATTTATTTCCAGTGATATATTCAAGAAAATAATTTATAATTGAAAAGACCTGCAAGCAGTTACATAGGCAGTTTTTGGAGGTCATTGTTGATTTAAGTAAAACAAATATTGGGCTGAATGGTCCGTTTCCGTTCAGTAACGTTCCATATAATTCTACATAGTGTGTGATACCACAACCAAATAAGGAACAGGGATTCCACAATACAGAACAGAGGTGGTTTGGAAATACAGTAATTCTGTACACTGAATGTGTTGTACTTACGGCCTCGGGATTGACTGCTTTGAAGCCTCACTAGAGAACAAAACAAACAATAATTATGAGCAATTCTGTCCTCGTTATTTTTCACATCATGTCACAATATGCACATTTTGTTTGGGACCTGCCAGATGGAAAATATAGATATTTGTTGCACTTCTTGTGTGAGATGTTTATTGTACAGTAACAGCAATCGCTGATTGTGAAATGTGGCAATCCTTGAAGAGCATATTGATGAAATGAGAGGATTAACACTGAAGTGACATAAATATGGAACTCATTTGTACTGAAAACTTGTGCTGTAACTGTGAAAGAGCGGCGATGACTTATTATTGTTAAATGTATAACTGAAATTGCTGTGAAATGAGTATGTATCACTGCTTTACATTGACAATAAAGTTTGGTGTTGTTGAAATTAAGCCCTGTGCTGCATTAGAAAACTATGAATAAATAAAGAACAGGGATTTCATTTTATTATCCAGAGGAAGTTTGAAATTTAAAAATTATTCAATGTATTGAATACTTACGCCTCTCTTAATGACTTCTCCGATAACCTTCTAAAATACGAAGCAAAGAGTTATGAGAAATTGTCTCCATTAATTTCCTCATTATATCACAATATGCACATTATTCTTAGGACCCATCAAATGGGCAAATTGGTGTTTTCCAGTCCCATGTATTCCTGTGTTAACAATTCAGAACAAAGAAAAACGCAGAACTACAGGTAACATACCTTTATCCCAAACCAAAAACAACGGCACATTTTCTGTCTGATAATTTTCAAAATATCTAATGGTTTCTTCTTTCTATTTTGGTCATTGATAATATTCTACAGTGTTCCATAAAAGTTTATATAATGTGTGATTCCACGAACAAACAAGGAACAGAGATTGTTTGGAAATACAGTAATTCTGTACACTGAATGTGTTGTACTTATGGCCTAGTGAGTGATTGCTTTGAAACCTCACTAGAGAATAAAACAAAAGATAATTATGAGCAATTCTGTCCTCAATATTTTTCACATTATATCACAATATGCACATTATGTCTGGATCTGCCAGATGGAAAATTAGTGTGCAGGACTATGAATAAATAAAGAACAAGGATTTCATCTTATGATCCAAAGATAGTTTGAAATTTAAGAATAATTTAATGAATTGAATACTTACGCCTCTCTTAATGACTTCTCCGACAACCTTCTACAATACAAAGCTAAGAATTATAAGCAAATAATTATCAAAACATTCTCTCCATTTATTTCCAGTGATATATTCAAGAAAATAATTTATAATTGAAAAGATCTGCAAGCAGTTACATAGGCAATTTTTGGAGGTCATTGTTGATTCAAGTAAAACAAATATTGGGCTGAATGGTCCGTTTCCGTTCAGTAACGTTCTATATAATTCTACATAGTGTGTGATACCACAACCAAATAAGGAACAGGGATTCCACAATACCGAACAGAGGTGGTTTGGAAATACAGTAATTCTGTACACTGAATGTGTTGTACTTACGTCCTAGGGATTGACTGCTTTGAAGCCTCACTAGGGAACAAAACAAACAATAATTATGAGCAATTCTGTCCTCGTTATTTTTCACATCATGTCACAATATGCACATTTTGTTTGGGACCTGCCAGATGGAAAATATAGATATTTGTTGCACTTCTTGTGTGAGATGTTTATTGCACAGTAACAGCAATCGCTGATTGTGAAATGTGGCAATCCTTGAAGAGCATATTGATGAAATGAGAGGATTAACACTGAAGTGACATAAATATGGAACTCATTTGTACTGAAAACTCGTGCTGTAACTGTGAAAGAGCGGCGATGACTTATTATTGTTAAATGTATAACTGAAATGGCAACTGTGAAATGATTATGTAGCATTGCTTTACATTGAGAATAAAGTATGTTGTTGTTGAAATTAAGCTCAGTGCTGCATTGGGAAACTCTGATTAAATAAAGAACAGGGATTTCATTGTATTATGTAGTTGGAAATTTAAGAATAATTCAATGCATTGAATACTTACGCCTCTCTTAATGACCTCTCCGATAACCTTCTAAAATACAAAGCAACGAATTATATGCAAATAATTATGAGAAATTCTCAGCATTAATTTCCTCATTGTATCACAATATGCACGTTATTCTTAGGACCCATCAGATGGGCACATTGGTGTTTTCCGGTCCCATATATTCTTTTGTCAACAATTCAGAACAAAGAAACACTCAGAACTACAGGTAACCTACCTTTATCCCAAACCAAAAACAACAGCACATTTTCTGTCTGATAATTTTCAAAATATCTAAAGTTTGGTCCCTCTATTTTGATCATTGATAATATTCTACATTATTCCATGATAGTTTATATAATGTGTGATTCCGTGAACAAATAAGGAACAGTGATTCCACCTTACAGAACAGAGTAATTCTGTCTGGAAATACAGTAATTCTGTACACTGAATGTGTTGTACTTATGGCCTAGGGAGTGACTGCTTTGAAACCTCACTAGAGAATAAAACAAAAGATAATTGTGAGCAATTCTGTCCTCGTTATTTTTCACATCATGTCACAATATGCACATTATGTCTGGATCTGCCAGATGGAAAATTAGTGTGCAGAACTATGAATAAATAAAGAACAAGGATTTCATCTTATGATCCAGAGATAGTTTGAAATTTCAGAATAATTTAATGCATTGAATACTTACGCCTCTCTTAATGACTTCTCCGACAACCTTCTACAATACAAAGCAAAGAAGTAGATGTAAATAATTATCAAAACATTCTCTCCATTAATTGCCAGTGATATATGCAAGAAAATAATTTATCATTGAAAACAAGACCTGCAAGCAGTTACTTAGGCAGGTGTTGGAGGTCATTGTTGATTCAAGTAAAACAAATATTGGGCTGAATGGTCCGTTTTCGTTCAGTAACATTCTATATAATTCTACCTAGTGTGTGATACCACAACCAAATAAGGAATAGTGATTCCACAATACAGAACAGAGGTGGTTTGGAAATACAGTAATTCTGTACACTGAATGTGTTGTACTTACGTGCTAGGGCTTGACTGCTTTGAAGCCTCACTAGAGGACAAAACAAACAATATTTATGAGCAATTCTGTCCTCGTTATTTTTCACATCATGTCACAATATGCACATTTTGTTTGGGACCTGCCAGATGGAAAATATAGATATTTGTTGCACTTCTTGTCTGAGACGTTTATTGTACAGTAACAGCAATCGCTGATTGGGAAATGTGGCAATCCTTGAAGAGGATATTGATGAAATGAAAGGATTAACACTGAATTATGTAAGGACATAAATATGGAACTCATTTGTACTGAAAAGCTGTAACTGTGAAAGAGCTGTGATGTCTTATTATTGTAAAATGTATAACTGAAATTGAAACTGTGAAATGAATATGAAGCATTGCTTTACACTGAGAATAAAGTATGGTAGTGTTGAAACTAAGCTCTGTGCGGCATTAGGAAACTATGAATAAATAATGAACAGGGATTTCATCTTATTATCTGGAGGTAATTTGAAATTTAAGAAGATTCAATGCATTGAATACTTACCCCTCTCTTAACGACCTCTCTGACAACCTTCTAAAATACAAAACAAAGAATTATATGCAAATAATTATCAAAAAATTCTTTCCATTAACTTCCAGTGATATATTCAAGGAAATAATTTATAATTGAAAAGATCTGCAAGCAGTTACTTAGGCAGTTTTTGGCGATCATTGTTGATTGAAGTAAAACAAATACTGGGCCGAATGGCCCGTTTTGTTCAGTAACGTTCTATGTAATTCTACATAGTGTGTGATACCACGAACAAATAAGGAACAATGATTTCACAATACAGAACAGAGGTTGTTTGGAAATACAGTAATTCTGTACGCTGAATGTGTTGTACTTACGTCCTAGGGAGTGATTGCTTTGAAACCTCACTAGAGAACAAAACAAACCATAATTATGAGCAATTCTGTCCTCATTTGTTTTTGAGTGAGCCAGCCAGGTGTCTGATACATGCAGAAACCCATCACCGTGCTTAAGAGTAAGCAAACCAAACTGACAATTCCATGCATCCCACTTGCACATAGAAATTCCAGAGGTAGATTACTGGAATGGAATGCGCCCTCTCTCCCTGGAGGGACACATCCTGCTTTCTTAATTACTCGGCACAGATTAACAAGAGCAAAGGCTTGGGGACCCCAGAGTTTGTGCTAGCGTACTGCTGGAGTCTAATCAGTTAAAAGCGCATAGGTTGCCATTGATATCGCTGTCTCGCTACTGAGATCGCCAGAGAGGCTGTGCTCGATTCTGACATTCCGTTGCCAAACACGTCACCCTGGAGCCAATCCACTTCCAAGGAGACCCCCTTATCTCCCACCACCCCCCCACCCCCACCCCCTTCCCCACCCCCCAAATTTAAGAATACTTCAATGCATTGAATACTTACGGCTCTCTTAAAACACTCCCCAGCAACCTTCTAAAATGCAAAGAATAATGCAAATAATTATGAAAAATTCTCTCCATTAATTTCTCCATATTATAGCCAATATGCACATTAATAATAATAATAAAATTATAATAATACACATTAAGTAGAGTATTAGTTAGTATCATACCAAGAGCTGAAAATTCAAGTTCCAGTTGAAAATGTATTGAAGCAGTTAGATAGCCAGTTTTTGGAGATCATTGTTGATTGAAGTAAATTGTTTAATAACTTTTATAGAAGAATATAGCAAATAGGACAAAATACGGGAAATAATTACATAGTGGTTGACATTGTGTACATAATATAGCATTCCTGTGTGGATGAGATGGTGGGACTTCAAATTTAACTTGAAGGAAAATGTAACGATTCCAAACAATGTGAGAAAGGGTAGAAAGAGATTATAAGAATATATAAACTAGTTGAGTAGATAGGCCAAGCAATGAAGACGGATCTTAATGTGAATAAAACGTATTGCAACAAGATCGAAAACACCAGAGATGAGCATTGGAGATTAGTTGAGAAGAAAATAAGAAATGAATAACAAGTATCTTACCTTATTGAATCCTCGTCCATTAACTTCCTATAAATTAAATGTAGCAGATCATTAAATGTAGGAACACCCACATTCTGAAATCAGTTTTACCAACCCAAGGACCAAACTACTAATATTTAGCGGCAGCAGCAAACCCCTTCAGGTCAGGTACAGCACAATGTTATTAAGATTAAAGTTTCCACTGTTATTCTGCACCCTCGTCACTCCATTATGCAGTGACATTGTTGCATTTCTCTTGCTAATCCTGTGATAGCTCACAGAGGTAATTTTTGCTGCCGTGTGAAAATACCCAGTTGTGCCACAGTTACCATGATGTCAACCAGCGAGGACTAACAAAAAGGACTTTAGTCCAATATTCTATTAAAAAGATGAATCCTTCTAAATCATGTTTGATGCATTAACGGTATCCCACAACACTGCTCCACATAGTTAGCGAGCCCATGCTGCTAACACTTGCAAAATTTGAAACAAAGAGCAGGACAGAGACCGACTAGTGAAAGAAATAGACCTGGAAACGAATACAAAAGATTGGCAAAGAATGTACAGCATGGCAACTGGCCACTCGGACAACCAGTTCACGCCAGTGTTTATACTCCACTATTCTTCACCCACTCCTTACTCCCTCCCACACCCTTCTTTTCCCCTCTCCCTCATGTGAGGGACTAGCTTCCTCTTGAATGCATCTACAGCATCTGATTCAACAACTGATCCAGGAAGCAAGTCCCACAATCTCATTACCCCACTAGGAAAATATAATTGACATCAAAAAATGGAAAGGTTTAGCTTACATTAGTTTTCTGAGTTCGGATTGACTCCTAGAATGTGAAATCAATATTGATATGTATTGGAACGAGTCCATACTCAAACGCTTATCATTACAACAGTCACTACCTTACTGAAATTCTCTTTCTCTCTCTCTCACGTTCACCACATTCATCACTGTAGCACTTTCCACATTCAGTGAAATTCGGATTATTGAATACGTTTGGTTTATTGAATAGAAATTAGAGCTCCAGGAGATGAGTCTCCTATTATGTATAGTTTGGTTGTATAAATAGTTTGGTTTATTGAATAATTTTCACTGACAAACTGCATATTCAATGAACAGAATTTCACTGTACTGTAGCACTGTCAATCAGCATAGTATCAAAAGCATCTCCATACTGTTGACTACATTCTAACTATAGGTAGGGAACACTTATTAAAAATAATAACTGTTGTCATTGCAGAATAAACACAATAAATTGCATGTATATAGCACCCTTCAAGTTGGAAGGACGTCCCAAGGCGCTGGACAATCAAGGGGTTACCCGAGCTGGGATAGAGTTCTGGAGAATGGGGGCAAAAAGGCTAAAAGCAGAACCTCCGATAGTGGGATGGGTTGGGTGGGGAACGTGAAGCAGGCCAGTGCCTACAGAGCAAAGGGAAAGGGTGGGTTGGTAAGGTTTTAGAAAGGTAAGGTGAGGCAAGACCATGGATGACTTTAAAAGTGAAGACAATGATCTTAAATGCAATCCAAACTTGATGGAAAATCAATGTAGTCAGGCGAGGATTGGGGTCATAGATTCACAGTGCCTCATATGGGAGAGGTCAAAAGCAGCAGAATTTTGAATAGTCTGTAGCTTGTGGAGGAAAGAGTGGAGAAGACCAACATGGATAAGAGTCAGGACTTCTCGAGGGGAGAGGAAGTGGTAGAGGCTGGAAATGTTGTGAAGGTGGGTAAAAGATGAACAGGATATGTGGTTTAAAGGGTAATTGAAAATCAAAACAAGACTCTGTAATGTATAGTGATACTGTCAGTGCCAGAGGTAAAAATACCTCTGTTTTGTCGACATTCAATTGGAGAAAGTTGCTCTCTTGTAGGACCTAAAGTCTGACAGGAAAACAACCAGGACAGCAGTGGTCCTGAAATCAAGGTTCGAGGCAGAGAGATAGAATTGGGTGTCATCCACATACATTAACCCCAAGTTAACCCCATGCTTGTAGATGATATAACCAAGCAGGAACACATAAATGTTAAAGAGGATAGAGTCCTATATTCAAATGCAAGCATTATTATTATTATTTTAAATCCTATCTAAAAGCCTACCTCTTTGAATGAATGAACCAACTGTCACCTCTCCATTCCCCCCTCCCCTCCTCCCTTGCTCGGTGTCAGACTTCATCTTTGTGAAGGGCTCTCAGATGTTATCCTTTCATATAATAAAGTACTATAAGCAAGGATTATTATTATCTGTATGAGGTGGTATTGTTAGGTAAATGTAGATAAAGCCTACAAACTAGTCACTACACTTTACAATAAATCATGTGAAGTGCTTTGCGACGTCCTCCCAACATGGAAATCTACATAAATCAGATGCAAGGAATATTCTTAATATGCAATACGATAGAAACTACTGGAGGCAAGCATCACAGGTAATGGGAAATGGAATTGGAAAGGAGAAAAAATAAGAAATACAATAATATCTTACCTGGGTCTAGTTGCTTCTATACAATACCTAGAAATCAAATGTGGTTCTGTCACATTGGAACAAACTACATACTAGAATTTATATTGTGAACCTTTGAAACTCTGGAAAATTGGATTAAAAGATCTGTTATTATCTAATAAAATAGGGTACCCGAAGTCACAGTCAAAGAGACAGATTTTTAAGGTGGTCTGTGAAAGCAATTCATTGACATGTCATGTGAAAAGCTAAGACATATTGGGGAGGACAAGTTTGCAGGGTTATGGGGAGACAGCGGAGGAGTGAGATTGATTTGGAAGCTCTTTTCAAAGAGCCGGCAGAGACACGATGGGCCGAATGGCCTCTTTCTATGCTGTGTAATTCTATGATATTTTATTTTATTTTATTCAAAACAAATACTGTATCACGAGGAACTGTTTTGTGACTGTTTTGTGTTAAAATTACTTGTTACATCTCAGGATAACAAGTTTCAGTTAAAGGTGTACTTGCTGCAGTGCTGTTTGCTCAACAAGTTCTGCGATTTATGTTCTGTGACGACAAACAAATGCAATTGAGAATTC